CGTCTACCAGAGTACCTACTGGGTAAGCAAGGTAGCTACGCTAGTTAGCTAGTTAGCTATTGGAATATCTTTTGGATTCAAATCAGGTTTGTTTGATTTATTGCTATAGTATTCTCCATTCTCCATGGACACCATGCAAGGAGCGCATTCAATAACCAAACCCAAAACCTAAAGTCTTGGACCCGTTCGCAGAGACAGTGGATAAGTTTGCACTGATGATAAGTAATTGATTATCCGATTTTCCGAATTAATACCAGTCATGCACTGCACAGTAAGGTTAGTAGGCACGGTCAGGTTAGTAGTAGGTACTCGTAGAAATGATGTTCTCCCTGGTCTTGGAATGTCCGTGACCTTTCGGTATATTGCCCGACTGGGTGGGTGTTGTATCTTCATCGGGCAGGTTTATACTCCTTATAGCTATGGTAGATTCTGAAATCTGAGTCAATCAATAAATCTGCACGGCGTGTATAAAACTATATTATCTGCCTCCATAGTACATACCTACTCATACCTCATTGTGTCGTTGTCTCGTTGTCTTGCAGATTCAGATTCAGATTCAGATTTTTCTTTCCAATTGCTTACAATCCGCCATTCACCAACAGTTTCTTCATGCCCTGTACAATGTGCCATCAGAGCTTTTGGCTTGGATCAAATCAAACTTTTAAGTTACTACCACAAATGTAATTACTATCATGGGGATACGAATTATTAGATTGGCGACAAGCAACAAGGCACAAATCGAACTGGGCATTTCTCTTGGGACTACATGGGAACCTCATCACCAGATGCAGTGGGCAATAATGCGTCATGAATGAAAATTCATAATTAATTCATTTTGAAATATGTGTGCAGCCTTTGTATTGTTTGCTCAATTGTACCACTGCTGTTCTGTAAAAACTGCCTATCTACCTTAATGCCTGCCAAAGTCAAAAATATTCCCCTTACTTTGAATGCATTATACTTCAGATATCGTTCGTTCCCTTACTTGCAATGCCAACACGTTTTTCACTTCCCAGCACAACGCCCAAATGCATGAATGAAAACAAATACACCCGTAGGAGTGATGAGAAACTAAAAGTTTGAATGAATGCAACTGTCGATGAAGTATGTATTTGAGCTCCGGATGACGATCATTAAAAAGATTCATTCCATCGCTTTTTCCACTGCGTGGTAACTATAAATATTGAAGCCTTCCAAGGATTAGGGTTCAGAGATGCCTTTGTCGCGTCCGTTAAAAACAAGGAGGGTGTGTCGAACGCTTATTTCACTCTCCCATCCAGTTCTCGCAAGCAGACCACTGAAGCCCGGTGAAGGGAGAGTTTGCAGGCTTGAAAAGGAGGAATCGTACTCAAATAATACACGCTGGCTTTTCATCATCTGTAAAATATACATTAGCAAATTGCACAAAAATTTCTAAGGGTTGATGTTGGGGTCTTACATGTTTAAAACTTGGAAGGATGGAGAAGAAAAAAGAGATTTTGAAAAGTTCGCGACAATATATAAAAATTATGAGGAGCGGATTTTGCCGAGACGCTAACCACACCTGGAGAGCTTCGAGATATCTAGCACTCTGATAATTCGATTATTCATGATTTTTTGAGGAATTGATTTGAGCCATGATATCCTGCTATCGCAGGCAGTTACTAAGAAATGGAAGTTTCTATGTGTGCAAAGCCTTACCACGGGCTCGCACAATTGGGTTCCCCTCACTTGTAGTTCACCAGAGAAGCTTTACCAATACCAAATCTCGATTAGAAGGCGCGGAAGAACAAGTTAACATTGACACAAGTGGCACGTTTTGGAAAGAATATAAGGACAGCTGTCAGTATCAGTCTTTCTAGTATTTCAAATATTGCTAACATCCTCTATATAGTCACTATTCCAAAGTCAAGTGTCGATCCATTCAATCCACGGGCCAGGATTCGACCAGCGAACGTTGGGCAAAACATCACTGTTGTTGGTTTCCTGCGCAATAAGAAGCAGCTGAGTAAAGGACTCATATTTGCTAAAATATGTGCAGGGCCTTCAGCAGATGCTGGTATCCAAGTTATATTAAAGGACAGCTCCGAGGAAGGGAAGATCGGAGATTTCTTCAAAAGTATCAAGGAACACAGCGCCGTGTCTGTGACAGGAGTTTTGCAGTACAAAGTCAAGAAGCCAGAAGTTACACCCGAATCGCAGGTTTCCATTTCCGAAGAGCTTTCTAGTTCGGTCGAATCAAATTATTCTCCATCAGACTTTGAGATCCATGCTGAAGACGTGAGAGTAATTAATTCATTTCCCAAGGACATTATTGTTGGGCCTGCCCAGAAATTTGGGCCCGATTCAAGACATCTTGAGGTTCGATTCGTACCAAATCTTTATCAGAGATTAGTGTTCCGGTCAAAGCTAGCTAAAATAGTAAGAACACATTTCAATGCCAACGGCTTCGATGAGATCGAGACCCCTATCTTATTCAAGTCGACTCCTGAAGGTGCAAGAGAATTTCTCGTTCCTACTAGAAAGCCAGGTTATGCATATGCTCTTCCACAAAGTCCGCAACAATATAAGCAGATTTTGATGGCAAGTGGCGTCACCAAGTATTTCCAATTTGCTAAATGCTTTCGAGATGAAGATCTTCGTGCAGATAGGCAGCCAGAGTTTACCCAGGTACCGTATTGTCCAGCTGGCACACTCTACATATACTAATACCATGTAGATTGATATGGAAATGCCATGGGCGGATGGTCGACGTGTCATGAGAGTTGTTCAAGGGCTTGTAAAACAAGTGCATAGGGTGATACAGGATGAACAGATTGGAGCTGACCACGTTCAATTTAACTTCACACGCGAAATTCCAAGAGTGACATATGAGGAAGCCATGTCAAAGCATGGATCTGACAAACCTGATCTCAGAATTGTGGACCTGGTAAAAGATCTATCATTATTTCTTGAGCGAAGCTAATTATTACAGATCCATCGCGTGGAATCGGTAATTCCAGAAAACCTCAAGGGAATGCTGACTTCAATTGAAAACCCTATAATTGAAGCCTGTAAATTCCGGCTTAGTGGAAATCCTAGGAAGGTACAACAGTTCATCCGCAACTTTATGGACTCGCCAGATGCCGAATCATTTCAGAAAAACCCTGATGGCCCTCCCGGAATATTTGTTTTCGATCCCAAGAGACCATTAGAGGGTCTCCAAGCATTTGGCTTTGAAGGTTCTGAGGCCTTGAAGCATCTATACTCTTCTCTTCAATCCTCTTCACACAAAATCATTGACCCACGAGGACCGAACGCCGCAACCACTTTTGATGAAGGAGATTTACTTATCCTTCAAGCGCGTCCCAATGTGCGTCATTCCGGTGGTTCTACTACTCTAGGTAAACTCCGACTGGCTCTTTACAAAGCTGCGATCTCCGAACAGCTTCTTGCTCCTATCCCGGGACTTCATTATCTCTGGGTCACAGACTTCCCTCTCTTTACTCTCAATACTAGCAAGCCAGACGATCCTGGTCAAGGGCGGCACAGCAGGGTTTTCTTCTACTCATCACCCATTTACCGCGCCCAAGACCGCTGCTGATGTCGACCTCCTACTCACCCGACCCACTCGCAGTCACTGCCGATCACTATGATCTTGTTGTTAATGGTGTCGAACTCGGCGGTGGCTCAAAACGTATCCACTCAGCCGAGGTCCAAAAATTCATCATGAAGAACGTATTGAAAATGAGTGACGAAAAAATGTCAGATTTCAAGCATTTGTTTGAGGCTTTAAGAGCCGGTTGTCCAACACATGCCGGGTTTGCTATTGGATTTGATAGATGGGTTGCAGTGTTGACAGGACGAGAGAGTGTAAGAGATGTCATATTCTTTCCAAAAGGGAATAGAGGTGAGGACGCTATGGTAGGAAGCCCTGGGATGATCACGAAGGAGCAAGAAGAAACATATGGCTTGAGATCCAGGTGAAGATAGGTCACAAGGCAATAGCATACATGAAGTACACGGAAAATAGGTAAAGTTACATTGGATGGCTGATAGGATGTACGGCGACAGTCCTATCATATCAACATAATTGTGACAGCATTGAACGACATCGAAGATATATTTGGGCATTCTAGACTCCACTCCCCTCCCCCTGTTTATACCACAAATTTAAAGATTTTCACGCACACAGACATATCACAGAGCAAAATGTATTTTCTGTCGCATAGCGCGCTTACAATAAAGCAGCTTCGGATCATGCAACTTCCTCGTGAGACTCAAACGCATGCTATTCCATTGTGTAGCAGTCATACAGCATAGCATGTAAATATTGTTGGAAAAAACCAAGTCTACAACCCTGTTCATTCGCTTGATCCATTTGATTCGCTTGAACAAAACGCACAGTAAAGAAGCACGAGGAAGCAGAAAATCCAATTATTTTACTTCATTTCTTCTCATTTGCTTCAACATTTTGACTCGTCTATCCTTTCTGCACGCATGCAAGATACCGCCGACACCGACGAGAGTTCTCAATCGCTGCATGGATGATGTCTATATGCATGCGGTAGAGCTCCACATGATGGGCGGGGCGGGATTAATCGTGATACGTTTTCGGAACAGGGCTCGTAGACAGGCAGGTAGGTAAATCGAACAGCAGAGCAAGTCCAGGAGAGAAAACTTGTTTGTTTCTTGCCAAGTCGGAGGAAATGTCATTGTACGTCTTTCGGGTCAGCTAATGCCGATTTTTCAAGATTTTTTTTCCCCCCAGTGGAGGGTTGTTGTCCGGCTCCGCACTTGCGAGTTACTTGTTGAGGGAGTCGCATTTGCTTTCATTAGTCACCTCCGTAGAGTTCACAGTATGATGCATTGTTCGTGCGACGTTTGGATATTTTGGATGAGTTAAATTTGGATCATCTCATAGCGTGTGTCATGCCCAAGGCCTTGAGCCATCTATACTTCATACTTCTATCCTGATTAGCCTATAAGCTGATCTTGTATGTATATAGTAGAGTATACTCTATACATATCTTTCTCTCTTTCCCACCCCACCCCTCCAAGTCCCATGTTGAATAATATGATCCCCATCCCTAGATAGTAGTAGAAAAATCGTAATCGTAAAACCCGCCATCACATAAACCATCTTTAGTCCCATTGGCACCGTTTGGTGCACATTTCCATATCACATCATGCAAGGGCTTCATAACCCATGGGCTCCGCTGTCCCCTTTCTCTTGAATCAAGATCGCCTCAACTCGCCCATTTAACGCCTTCCACATTCCTCTCCACGTCGTCCCAATGTTCACCCTTCGCTTTCTCCTGGTATGCATCATATTCCTCCACGGTCCAAGACTTGTAGTCCCTAGGTTCGTTCTCATATCGGTTAATTGCTTCACCTTGAAATCTTTGGCTTGCTGGATCCTTGTGAGATGATCGAGATGAAGAAGTGGGTGATGAAGTTGCGGACGAAGATGACGAGTGGTGAGGGATACGTGATCCATCCTGGACCTTTCGAGAGGTGGAAGATGAGGTAGACTTTGTTTTTGAGGAGGTTGAAGGAGTCGAAATGTATTGTTTTGAGGATGTTGAGGAAGAAGCGGATTTCTGGCTTGAGGTACACATTGTTAAGTAGGTTTATTTTGGATGAGTTTTTGAGAGATAGCTTGAGATGTAGACGACTTGAGTGAAGGTGGAGATGAGATGTCGAGGGTTATCCAGAGTTGAAGTACCCGAGAGAGATAGCAATTAAATAGGCGTGGGTATTAGCTTTGACGCGGTCAATGAATGCAGACAGATGAGACACAAGACTGGCAATGTATATTTGCCACTGAGTGCAGCATACAGAGTAGGGGCATGGAAGATGATTCCAACTATGGAAATAAAAGCTCTCAAATCATTAGAGTGCAAAGAATACATAAACGACTTTGATGACTATGAACGACCAAAACAGCCAAACAAAATATTTTGGCCCCTTGGTATCCTAAAAGGATGATTGACTATCGATTCAACGGGTGTGCTTTCCAAAAAGCTCCTTGAATTACACGAGGAAAATCTCCCTTCTATACCCGACTTGAGTAAATAACAACATAGGAGCTCTGAAAAGGGCAAACTCCATCCGCCTCTGAAAACATCAACCTCAGAAATTTTCAACGAGAAGGGCGGTGAAATCGAAAAATGCCTACGAGATCGTCGACGACACTGCGGCAATTAATCCCATAGGATGCAACTAAAGTTGTTTTTTGAAGTATAATGTACGCTCCCAAGTATCACGACATAGAAAATAAGCATTTCCCCATGTTTGTGTCTCCCCACACCAACCCTTCTAAGGTATTTCCAAAGTTCGATAATAAATGCCATGCCGGTATTAATTTTAGTCTCGGATAAGAGCGGATAGAAAGTAGAAGTACATACGAAAAAGGGCGGTGCAGGGTGTACTGAGGCTTATGACTGTATGTACCTGTCGAACATGCACACATAAGGCAGGAGAAAATAGATTAGATTGATTAGTTTTTGTCTCAGAATTCGTGACACTCGAGTCGTGAGGATATTGGTAGAGGCGTTCGGGTGTAGAGTGGTCTCGGGCCGGAAACAGAGTAGCCAAAGGTCCCGAAAGTAAGGAACACGAACACCAGTTGTTTAGATTTTTCGGCTGGTGGTGTTACCTCGATTCTAAGATCTTGTCCCTTGGATTCCGGGCCAGATCAAGATGGAACAAGGCCGAAAACATGAATAAGGTGGTATTTGTGTTCTTGTCCACCCCACGTGGGGTTTGCTATTGGGGTTGAGGATGAAGACATACGGGCGGAGATGGAGTCCGATGTAGTGTAATCTGAGAGAGGTAGAATAAGTGACAATGCCTTAAGTAAAGATGATGAGGAGTGATTGTGAGGCAAAATTGATGCCCGATACGTTGAGTACCTAGTTTGCAGGGCGATTGTGAGGTTGTACCACCAAGACTTTCAGCTGTCCAATCTAATGGGATCAAAAGCGGCAAGTCTACCGTCTAAACTCAAGTACTTTGTACCACACCTAAGCCCTTTTGAATTAAGGTTATTTATTTTTTCTTATGTCCGGGTAGAGAATTAGCGAAATGGATTAGAAATCTTCGATTCATCAATCTACTTTTGTGATCCATCCAATTATATAACGTGGTTTATCAGGACCCTGTACACTTTTACCTCAATTGCTCATATGTTACGACGGCTATCTTCTATGCAGCGTCACATGACTAAACCAAGGTAACGTGATTAAAGTCACGTTATGGACCGCTGAGGAACACTGGCTGTCCAGGACCGCTGCGCGGTCCTGACTAGCCATAGGCATGAAGGTCTATATAATCAAGATGGATTTCCTTTGTATAGAGCTTCGTGCTCAAGATCAATCATTTAGTATACTCTACTATTAGTTACGAATTGCATTATTGTCATTACTTTAAGTCCCTGCTTGACGCCTAGTTATAAACCATCTCGAGAGCCTAGAGCACTTCCACGTGATCTAGACGGCAAACCTCGTAACATCATATTCCATTGAAATAAAATTACAATAATACTATAAATTAGAATTAAATTATATATAATTTAAATATCAACTAATGCTGGATCTAATTGATAAGTTCGTACATTATGTAAAGCATTATTATATTTGCTACATCGTTATATAGTAGCTTGCCTCCTTGTTAAAGAATCATTATATAACGATACTGAACTGAAGGCAGCGGCTGCCTGAGGTTTCGTCTGGTTGGTAGTTGTGGGTTAAGGCTTTATCATTAGTATTCATTTGGAAGTGAAGTGTAACGATACTGTACTGGAGGCAGCGGCTGCCTAAGGTTTCGTCTGGTTGGTAGTTGTGGGTTAAGGCTTTATCACTGGTCTTCACTTGGAAGTGAAGTCGTTACTAGATCAAGTAGAATGTAGGTAAACTAATTGATAACTAAGTTGAGCACGAAGCTCTTCGAATATGAAACTATCTTAACTATATACTTCTGAATGTTATTGGATAGCCTGGATAGACTGGTCTACCTGGGCTATCCCCTAGACTGGATAGACTAGGCTATCCAGTCTATCCATCACGTGATCCTTAAAAGGCCTCAGGACACTAATCCTGGGACGATTCTGATCCTAGGATAATTGTGATTCGTGACATGAAGTCGTTATTAGATCAAATAGAATATAAATAAACTAATTTGTTAAAGTGAATGGTTCCTGCGTAGCACGTGCACAGGGCACTAGTCCTGTTAGGACTAGATTGAGAAGCTCTCTTACAGAGAGCTTCGCACTTCCGTAGAACTTAGAAGAGAGATTAACCTACTAGACCAATATTACCTCAGTTCTGCCCTATCAGCTTCCCACTATTCCCTGTGTGAGGTCATTCCTTTTAACAATTATCGTAATTTGTGACATTACAATTATTATAATATAATAAAAGCAAGTATGGCGGTTTGGGCCACTGTTTCCGAGGGGTGTTACGAGGTTTGCCGTCTAGATCACGTGGAAGTGCTCTAGGCTCTCGAGATGGTTTATAACTAGGCGTCAAGCAGGGACTTAAAGTAATGACAATAATGCAATTCGTAACTAATAGTAGAGTATACTAAATGATTGATCTTGAGCACGAAGCTCTACACAAAGGAAACCATCCTGATTATATAGACCTTCGTCCTCCATTGGATCTCTTGGATCCTGAGAGTTTGTGGACCTTCGATTCGTATGGACCTACGATTCGTATCCCTGAATATGCAGGGTCCATCACGTGACTTGGATCAGACTATATGTCTGTGCTTGCTGAAGGTGGGGAGACTCTACGAACCGATTACCATACAATTTTGTATGTGAATCGGTTTGCTTTTCCACGGGGTCTAAGCTCATATGGACAGGTTGACTGTTACTACGTAACATACAGCATCGTTATATCAAATTTCTTTGTATTTTGTATTTCGAGTATATAATTCGCTATATCTTCTATATCACTTATTCAAGGACTAAACCCTCTTTTATTTATATTCAATATATATTGAAAAAGCGATTTCTCTTTCAATTCTATCATTTTATGATTTGTTGATCGATGTTCAATAAAAGACAGAATTCCATTCATTCTAAAGTGTTACAACGGCTATCTTCTATGCCGCGTCACATGACTAAACCAAGGTAACGTGATTAAAGTCACGTTATGGACCGCTGAGGAACGCTGGCTGTCCAGGAACGCTGGCTGTCCAGGACCGCGCAGCGGTCCTGACTAGCCATAGGCATGAAGGTCTATATAATCAAGATGGATTTCCTTTGTATAGAGCTTCGTGCTCAAGATCAATCATTTAGTATACTCTACTATTAGTTACGAATTGCATTATTGTCATTACTTTAAGTCCCTGCTTGACGCCTAGTTATAAACCACCTCGAGAGCCTAGAGCACTTCCACGTGATCTAGACGGCAAACCTCGTAACATAAAGATAAGAGTAGTATGAGATATATTATAGAGTTTTGTAGCTTTTCGAATACTCAAATTTTGAGATGTATAAATAGCCTCAATAGCTAAATTGATTCGAGCTTCTTTTGAAGTAGTTTACATAATTAAATATTGATAAATCGCATGTTGAAGTTGAGAGGTAATAATTGAGGTAAAAGTGTACAGGGTCCTGATAAACCACGTTATTCGGAACCTCATTATAATAGGGAGTAGTCATCCCTTGTGCACGTACCCAGGGTCAAGGCTACCCTAACCTTACTCTCGCTTAAAATATTCCTTTCTGAAGCTATCAGAAACGCAAAAGGGAAGGGATATTGAACTCAGAAGGGTGGAAATAAAGAGTAAAACAAATGCATGCCATGCGGAGTCTCAGATTAGTGAGAGACTCAAGGCTCCGGATAAAAGGCGAGCCGAGGTAATCTTACGATAGCACTTTGGAGGTTCTCTCATACATGCCCATACCCGGTGGCATCACACACCCTGAAAGTCAGCAGAATGTTGGGAAAAGGAGGCGTTGAGTAAACTCTCATCTCCCCTACGAAGTGGATATGATTTTGCAAGTCGTGATAACCAGCAAATCATTCATATTTCACGATTAGAACGATGATGTCATTAAGGATTTATAACTTTCCTTTGTGTTTTATTTCAAAGCGCTATTAGCGATATTAGTTGGATGTCTGTCAGTCCCTCGAGATACTGAGATAGATTACAGCAGACACGTTCGACTTTCAGTTCCTCCATTGGTAATCATATTGCATCTACCATTTTAGTTTTTGGCATTACTGTACATACTTTCCTTCCAATAATTAGTCCACCAGGGTCTTCCTTCATTAGTACTTCAGAATTATCTACTTATAATTTTTCGAGTTCACAATTCCATTTTCCAGTATCGAAAGGCCGTCACTCCGCACTGTCTCTTCGATGATATATTATGATACTCTCTATAATAGTTCCCTCGCAATCAGCGAACAAGCAATTTTAAGCTAAGGATGTTGAACGATCAGTATATAAATCATGTTGATGACCGACCTCGCTCTCGTACTTATTTGTGTTAGTTTTACCCGTCTGCGGAATACTTGGCAGGCAGAGCAAAGCGTCCCCTACCACCGAAGTCTAAAGCCTGGCTGGTACTTGGGAATACGCTCGAAAATGCTGTTGCAGCTCGAAGTGGAGAAACCTACGACATACAAAAATTAGCACAAGAATATATCGACAAAGCCGCCAGAAATCGAATGTCAGTATGAGGATCTGAAGTTAGTCTCCGCCATGAGTGAGATATCTCATAAAGGAAATCTAAAGCTGAAGACCACCTGCTGCTTTTGCAAATTCTTACACCGTTACAGGCGAAATCATACATAGCGGTATGTGAAATCCAAATGTTTGAAACTACATTTCAATGCATGCATGGACAATCTACCGGCCTCTAACTTCACACTACAACCCTAGGAGATCCGATCCTTCTTTTGTAATAATGACCTTACTTCGCACTATTTGAAATCCTTGACATAATTGATTCAACTCAGGAAGACTACTCTAGTTCTGGCGTCGAAAGAATACTACACCAGGAATGAATTTCACCGAACGGTCCTTTTACATAGCTATCATAGGAATTCTATAATTTTCGAAGTTGGCGTCAGCTCGAACCCCAGGAGTTATCAAGGATTTATGTCCACGAATTAAATGAGCATTGACTGGTTACTCTTAAACTTATTCACAGGGTTTCTTAACCCTCCAAAATTCATTTCTTAGCGTCCGATCTGGTCTAGAAGATACATTCTCTCTGCATTCTCAAGAAGTTGATACATATATAGCAAGAATCGAAATCTCACTGTCAAAATTGAGTTATATATTACGAAATTCCTCTATTCTTGATCAATGCTCTTATATTCCTAGCAACAGGAGGCAAGAAAACAGCCAGTAGTTGTGATAATGCATTGAACGAGTAGTACTAGTTTAGTAACTGTGTCAAGAGGCTTTGTTATGTTATCACATGATGATTTAATAGGTGGGAAATGTGTACTGGGCATACACATGTAAGTAGACTGATTACTCACGATTTCATATAACATTGTTTGAATGGAATCTGAGATAATAGTGCATCAGGTGTTTCGGCCAATCAACGTGGCCGGGGACTAAATCTGTAAAGAATTTAGACCTGATAGCTTTAGCTCGGAGGGTTTCATGGGCGATGGGCAATTCGCATCATCTCCCATGAGACGGGAAAGTAGCATGGCTCGAAAGCGGAATCTGGAAGCAAAAAAGTACTTATAGTGATATTATTGTAGCACGTATCTTGGAAGTGTAGCTCGAAGCCCAGATATTTTATCTCCGTGGGGAATTGTAGAGCATGGTTGGGGAAAAGGAAGAAGGAAGGTTTAATTTTTGGAAAAGCGGTTGTAAAGTTAACATTGTATTTCACATTCACATTCACGTTCATATTTATTTATTACTGATGTTTATATAATGAAAAAGAATTAAATAATATTTCATTGCTATGCTTGATGACTTCTTAGAAGTAAGAAAGGGCAAGACGAATTCTCAGAAGAAAGGGCAAGATGAACTCTCCAAAATAAGAGAGAGAAGACGGACTCTAAGAAGTAAGAAAGAGCAGGATGAACTCTCGAGTAAGAAAGGGCAAGTACTAAACCTACCATCTCTCACGCAACAATTTCATCTTCGTCTGACTTAAGTAACGCGATTGATTTCTCTTCGACTTATGGTTGACCATAAGTAGCAGTGTACCAAGCGACGTAAGCGGCGTAAGCGTCTTGAGCTTCTTGAGCGGCTTGAGCGTCTTGAGCTTCTTGAGCGGCTCGAGCGGCTTGAGCGGTTCTGCATTCGAAGCACGGTAGTCGATAGTCATCGGTGTAAGTTTCTAGTCGGTAGTTAGGACAGAGCGGTGGATGGCATTGTGTTGCTGATTGGTGGTAGCAGCCCTGAATCGTGTAGGTCATGTGTCCGCAGGGCCATATATGGTGGCGTTCTAAACACATGTTTAGCTTTGGTGTGGATTGATGAGGTTGTTTGTGGTTTGTTCCTGCTGTAGATACAGATTCAGTCAGCGAGTTATTATCGTTTTATGCTAGTTAATTGAGCTGTGACTTGTGAGGAATCGTTGATGGGTTTGTGGGAGGCCAACAAGCGTGGCATTTATAGATACATGGTAGGATTGTTCTGTTCCTGTTATGAATCTATTATATATCTTTACAGGTGAGTGTTAGAGACCGTTGAACTGTTAAACTCCATTATTTCGCTTCTGATTTCATAGTTGAACAATACGTGCCGACGAGTCAAAGGTAAATTCACGATTTGTATGATTTATGCCAAATATGGAGCGTAATAGAAGTACCATTCTCTAAAGTCTCACTGAAAGTATCGCTGTGCCATGGGTAAGCTAAAGCTAGCATAGAATCCAGCGAGACAAACAGCTCGTGAACAACGCTGCAAATACCATAATTCTATCCTTTGTCATTGATGACCTGATGTCACTAGACAATGTTGGAATAGGCAAGGAAATCAACAGATGAAGAAACAAAAGTGTTAGGTACTAGGCCAATTTAGAGTGCGTTAGTGCGAAACCACTTAGATGTGAGTTTTGTCCTTTGGATATCCTTGAAGCCTTCCTCGGAAACTATTCCAAAAATTTACTCATAATCCATCAGTCTAGATGAGTAACTTCGCTAGAATAGTTCCGATCACAAAATCTAGAAACCAGACATCTCCGAGCTTGCAGTGAACGATGGGTCTTGGGGTAGTAAGACGTGTGGAAAGCTATGACCAAGGATAGATGTAAGTCTTCATGAACGAGTTAAATAATAGTAAGGGATAACGAATTCTAGAGAGATGAAACTTGACAGCGATACAAACATATATTATAGTCAAAAGTACAAACTTGAAGTCCTTATAGCTTATGGACTAACGACATTGCAGGTAAAAGAAGGCGCAATAGTTTAGCGAGTATCTAAATGTCCATCCAGCCTCTCTTATCCATGTCTCATTTCTAATTATCCCGAAGACATCAGAGATGGGTATTCTGGCTCCGAATTACCACTCTGGTGTCTGAGTAAGCTTCGAAAATGTGTGAAGTAGTCCGCAATTTTCTAGGGATAGAGATCCGCAAGGTGATCTGTGCTGGACGCTTGCGAGACAACCCCCCAACGGACATCCGATTGAGAGATAAGGTAAATCAAATATTACTCCGTATGTACTGGATTTCTTCGCATTGGTCTATTAGTTAGTTAGTTGATTAGTGGATTTTTTTCATCCGTCAAAGCACTAGGTCGAAGAATGTAGCACAAAAGTCTACCTGTTCTAAATTTAGCATCTCTTACTCTGACCTGTCAGCAATCCAACGACTTGTCTATCTTACTATTACCACATAGCCTTCATATTCCAAACTCTACAATCATCTTTGATACCACTGAATCAAATAAAGTTACTTCTCATAAACAATAATGGCTACACATCACGATCCCACACTTGATCTTCCTCGACTACTCTGTCTCCACGGCGGAGGAACAAACGCCGTGATTTTTACCATGCAATGTCGAGTCCTCTCTTTACATCTAAGACCCTATTTCCGTCTCGTATATGTCGAAGCGCCGTTTGCAGCTGGCGCCGGACCTGATGTCACAAATGTCTATGGAGATTTCGGACCTTTTAAACGCTGGCTGGGTTGGTTACCCGAACATGAAGTTTTAGATCCACGTGATGAAGTTATTGCTATTGAAGAGAGTATTGAAAAAGCAATGAGAGAGGATGATGCGAAAGGGGCTACAGGGGGATGGGTAGGGTTGCTGGGGTTTAGTCAGGGGGCGAAGATAGCGGGGAGTTTGTTGTTGAGGAGGCAGATTCGAGAAGAAGGAGGGAGAGATTTGGAGGGACAGGATTGGAGGTTTGCGGTACTGATGGCGGGAAGAGCGCCATTGATTAGTTTGGAGAGAGATCAGGATAGATGGGGGCCAGTAGATGAGAATGATGTTTTGACTTTGCCGACTATTCATGTTCATGGGATGAGAGATCCGGGATTAGATTTACATAGGGAATTGCTCAAGATTTGGTGTGAGAAAGGAAGTACGCAGCTGGTTGAATGGAATGGCAATCATAGGATTCCGATCAAATCTGGGGATGTCGAGGCCGTGGTGAATCCTATGCTCGCATTGGCCAAAAAACTGGGAGTCTTGACAGTTGATCTGCCTGCCTGATTTCACCGAGCATCGTTCCTACCATTTTGATCTTGGGTTGAAGACTAGCGCCGGAGCACATATAGAAAGCGTTCACAATAGACGATTTTGCTTGATGAAATACGTGCTCGTCTTCGGGCGTAAATAAGTTGGACAGGTGTGATTTGCACGTTCAAGAGCAGACAGAAATGGTCCGGGTATATGCAATTTCTGTAAAATTATCGCTGCAAGTATTCGCTCAACATGTCCGCTGTGTATTTGCAGATCTGCCTTAACTCCAACAGCCTCCAACCAATAGCATAAGTACATAGACTAGGCTTTATAGGTCATCTCATTCGGTCATCTAAAAATCCGTCTTGTAAAGAATTTCGAAAAGATGCGAAATGCCATTCCTAAGGCCCACTCGCTTCAGCAACAGCCTCTCCTTCCTCCTTCGCCTTCTCCAGCGCCTCTTCATCGGGTGTTCTCGTCTTTAACTGTAAAGCATGAATTCCACCTGCTTTCGCCATTTCCTCCTTCAACAAAGCATAAACCATTCTATGTCTTGCGGGTTGCATCTTTTTGGCAAAAGCTTCCGAGGTAACCTCGACCCGGAAATGTGTTTCGTGAGATGTGGAACCAGCCATAGCTTTGTGATGTGAGTGTTTGGATGAATCATTAAATATTTCAAGACGTGTAGGTTTTAACTCTTCCGTTAGCTAAATTATATGTTAGCCGCGGGGTGAAGCAGTGCTTGGAGGGGAGATACTCACTCGAGTGCGTATAATGTCTTCATAGGGAGTTTTGGACGTCATGATGGAAGATAGATGTCGCCGGGAGACAACGGGACGAAGTATGCGGAGCATTAATCTATTGCTTCACAATAGATTGGGTAGAATATAATGAACCTTTGACTGGAATGCAAACTATTCTAATATTGATTTTGAGGTTATTGCACTACATGACAGCCTTGCCTCGTCAAGGATAAAGGAAGGAGCCTTGTGGTTTTGAAGCTAGACTTTTTTAAGCGACCCCGCCTTGCAAATGCGGATGTTATCCATAAACTTAGCCTTCCCGCATCAAAATTCTAGAACCTCAAAAACCTTACTTCAGACAAGAATGTTTAAATGTCCATGTTACCAAAACATGTTGACCAATTTTATTTCAACGCGGAATCTAAGTTAGGAACAGCAACGACATTGTAAAGTCGATTGGTTTCGACGGACATCTTATTTCCAGCTCTCTTAACACATCAGCATCAACTCCACCTCGGACTTCGGACGACCACCTCGTGATTCGATTTCATCTGTCATCCAATGAACCACCCTTACCAATGCCCCTCCAACGCCGTGTCGCCGCAATGTTATGTACAAGAAGATCAACGTTACTTTTAACACGAATTCCATCGCCATTCCTTCGCCCATCATTCAAAACTCCATTCACTCTCTTCAGTGCAAGAATGGCATCAACACTCCCGAAACTACCCCTCTTCGAAGCTATCTCTAGCCACGATCCAAAATCTACTTCAATTATACATTCAGCATCCGGGAGACGGTTCACCTATGGTCAATTACTACATGATGTAGCGGAAAGAAGGGACAAGCTCACAAACGAAGCTGGGCAAAAAGGATTAGAGGGAGAAAGGATCGCTTTTCTTGTAGAAAATAGCTATGATTATGTGGGTGCGCAACTCGAAATATCCATATTTTAGAAGAACGTAGATTAAGATAATACATAGTAACTTTACTTTCCATACTTGGGACACACTCTATAGCTATTCCACTTTCACCAGCATTCCCTGCCCATGAATTACAATATATCTTGGACCAAAGTGAAGCTTCAATGCTATTGTCTTCAACTAAATTCGAGAGCAAGGCTCAAGAAGTGATAAATACTGGACTGGAAGCAAAACCTAAACATGTTAAGCTGGAGAAGAAGCTGGAGAACTTGGATTATGGAAAAGTCACGTTGGAAGGGCCGTCAGAAGGTAACGGGGGAATGATGTTATACACATCAGGGACAACCAATAGACCAGTGAGCTTCCCCAGTGGCCCCAGCATATAAATATGTACTTACAGAAACCTAGAAAGGTGTCCTGCTTCCCCAATCCGTCTTGATAGCACAGTCAAAATCTCTGATCGAAGCTTGGAATTATAGTCCACAAGATCATCTCCTTCACGTCCTTCCACTCCACCACATTCACGGCACCGTAAATGCCATTCTAGCCCCGCTATTCACCGGCTCCAAAATTGAGTTTCTTTTCCCTTTCAACGTCACAGCCGTCTGGCAACGCTTCGCTGCCCCTTTCTTGCCAAATCCCAAAACGAAAGAGCCCATCACATTTTTCACAGTTGTTCCTACCGTGTACAACCGTCTCCTAGCAACGCACAAAGACCTTCCTCCCGATGTTCAAACCGCAGCAAAAGAAGCCATCGCCCCGCGGAATCTTCGCCTCAACATTTCCGGCAGCGCGGCCCTTCCCACTCCGACCAAAAACGCCTGGTCCACCCTTTCGTCCAACAACATCCTCCTCGAACGCTACGGCATGACTGAAGTAGGCATGGCTCTCTCCTGCGGTATATCCCCCACAGACCGCATAGACGGTAGCGTAGGGTGGCCTCTCCCCAGTGTGCAAGTCCGACTCGTGGACACAGAAACCAACGAAGTGATCCACGCAGGCTCCGAAATCGACGCCTACGGCAAAGAACGCGATGGAGAAATCCAACTCCGCGGCCCTACCATCTTCAAAGAATACTGGCGCAACCCAGAAGCCACCCTCAAAGAACACGTCGAAGATGCCGATGGCGGCGGTCGCTGGTTCAAAACCGGTGATGTAGCCGTTCGCCGCTATGTTGATTCTGCCGGGAAAAGTAACCAAGAATGGGCTAAAGGCCCCATGTACTTCATCCGCGGTCGCAAATCAGCAGATATCATCAAATCCGGAGGAGAAAAAGTAAGCGCGCTCGAAGTAGAACGGGAAATGTTATCACTGCCCCAGATATCAGAATGCGCCGTCTGTGCCGTGCCATCGGGAAACTGGGGCCAAAAAGTCGGAGCGGTCGTGGTACTCAATGATGAATATCTACAGGGTAAGAAGTGGGGACCGCTGGATATGAGAAGAGCGCTTAGGGAACGACTGGCGGCGTATAAAATCCCTCAGGTGATGAGGCAGGTGGAATGGATTCCGAGGAATGCCATGGGGAAGATTAATAAAAAGGAACTGGTCAAGACTGTCTTTGTAGATGATGTTAGTGGGGATGAGATGTAGGGTTTTCTTTCTTTCTCCCTTTCTTTTTCTCTGTATGATGTGATGTGATGCGATCGAGAGAGGGGCTTAGAGGGCATGGTTGCAGTGTGGTATATCTAAATATGCTGCGGATAGACGAAAAGATGATAGACGGATGGATAGATAACACCAAAGCACTTAAAAAAACAAAATTTGCACGAAACATAGCGTAATAAAATGTATAAAATCTGAACCAAAGTATCATCGCTGCGAACCCCTCAGTCCCGTTTTTGTGTATGGCCATGCGTAGGATACGCATTCCGTATATCAGCCAACATGCGAAGACAGCAAGTTGTAGGTATAGACTTGTGGGTATCCGGAGAGAACTGACAAGACAAATTGTACAAGGAGAAAAAGCCAAAAAAGGACCTCCGAGAACATGGATGACTTCGCTTAATATAGTTTTACATCAAGTTATACATTCACCCGTGATATAGATTAGACTTCAGACGATGACTATCAATAGACACAGCCGCAATACTAGTTCCACCAGCCCTATCATATATGACTAGGTGTCAAAATATCACCCTCGTCATCTCAATGGATATGTATCTTTTGATTTTTAATTCACAGCTTTCGCATCTCTATGAACATACTTCGGATATCTGAGCCTATGTTGCCCAGTGTGGAATAACGCCATGCATAAAATAACCACCACCAAAAGCAGTAGTGTAGTAGTAGAGCAATAAAAACAATATGGCATAAATACTCCTCCCCCCACGATATTTGGAGGCCAAGCTAAGGTATTGCCTTCAATAATGTATGCAAATATAGCCCTAAAAACCAGAAACCTTTGTTGAACCGCCTTCCATTTAGCCCTAGCCTAGTTTCGTGGTATCTTCGTAAAAGAGAGAACCACGGAATCGTAACACAGGTAAAAGAAGAATCGTGTCTCATCTCATGTACATGTCGATAGCGTCTAGACTGAATACTTGGCCTTGGCACGAGTGCTGCCGCTGTGTGCACTATCGGTGTGACCAGAAAATTCGACTGGCTCTGATGCTGGGAGCTTCAAGACTTCCTTGAACTTTTTGCCGATGTTCATCAAGATCTCTTTTCCTTTTTCGGTGGATCTTCCCTTGCCTCCAGCGACATCACCATCTCCACCTCCCGGAATACTCTTGCCGATTGTGCGAGTCCATACACCAACACGGTAGAATCCTTTTCTCACGTTGACAACGACACCCATCACCTCTCCATCATCCTCTTCCTCGAGAGTCTCTCCAATAGCTGCTAACATGACATGAAGCCATAGTTCGTCAATGGGGACGTTGCGCTTCTCCTTGAATTGATATGACCACTTTCCTCCATGTTTGTTTTGTTGATCCTCCCATTCTGGTCGAACTCCTTCCTTGAAAAGATGGTAATCGGACTTGAGAGCGAGTTCAGAAGTTGGTGCAATGTTGTTCTGCAAAAAAAAAATTGTTAGCCAAACTAAAGACGATAAGGAATAACAACCTGCTCAAATAATATACTTACATAGACACCCCAGAATTCCTCGACGGAGTTGAATGTGATAACTTCCTTCAAAAGATCATTCCAGTTATCACCCTACATATAACCAAATCAGTATGTTACCTAGCAAATTTTGATGGTAGATAGAGCTACCTTTCCACTAGGTGGCTTTGTAAACCACAAAGTCCATTTGTTCATCAAAGGATGCTTAACATTGAAGTTATCTTTGTCATGAAAGACGGTAATTTGTTCGCCATCGGTAGCTGGTTTGGTGTTCTCGTTCGAATTGCTGGCGCCTTCAGGTGAGATTGGGATGGTTGACAAGTCAACTTGTTCACCAGCTGGTGCTGCGACGGCTGCCATGTTTGTATGATTTTCGAAGTTGAAATAGGATCAAGTGTTGAAAGATGTTAAGATGAAGGGCGAGCAAGAGACGAGTGAGATGAGTGGAATCGGGTCAAAGCTGAGAAGTCTCGTAGAGTTCTTGTGCTTTGGCAGAAATGAATGTGAGGCTAGTCGAAATTCTATTTCCGTGGCGGGGTGATGAGTGAATAAATAGTAAATAGTCTTTAAGACGAGTGTGCTCGGTTCGCTCTCTTTTGATTCGATCGACTTGTTGCTCCAGGCAAATTGTCTAAGTTGTGTGTTTTGGAGAATATCGTTCTCTTGTCGTTTTGGGATCTTGATTTTTTTTGGTTAGCACTTTCTTCAATTTTTCTAGAAATGCGATGCGACTAGACTTGCAATTACCCGCGTGCTGATGGTGGTGGTGGCCCTTGCTGTTCAAAGGCTCGGCTCATGCCTTGTGGTTAGTGAGATGCCATTCACGTGATTTAGGTGCTTGTTTGATCGACGCTTTATTAGTTGGGCCGCTGTCAAAAAGTTGGAACTTGGTGTGCAGAGATTTATAAAACGTTGATATAAGATAAAGGTATATAGTAATGGCCGACTCTGTAAAAATCAAATGTATATGACAAGATTGCGGAGAATATCCCCAGACCAGATATCAAATAGCAGATTCTGTTATACATCACCGCTCAGAATATCATGGAAAATTATTTCTCCCTTCCCAAATGCATTGCTTGATATATGATCTAGACTTCTATATCTGTAATATAACTGAAGCAAATCCTAAACGCCTCGCTATGATATGATGCTGTACCTTTAAAAGTCTGTCGAGTCGAGATCTTGTGAAATCTACGAAGTCTTCTTTGTCCAAAGTATACAACCAAACCCAATCTCTAACCATGTATATACATGTTTTAAAGCTCCTTGACCTTCTCTACCACTTTATCGACTGTGACATCCGACTTGCGACCATTCAAGTAACTGAGGTAGCAGTTCCAACCCAAGGAGACGATGTTGACAACCAAAACTCTGTGCTCAAGAGGAACGAGCTTGAAGTTGACAGCTTGAACAGCAGGCCAGATCATGTAATTCTTTTGAAGGGCGGTAGAGTAGTTTGCTTCGAGCTTCTTCTTAGGATCGCTTCCTTCGAGGACAGACATGGTGGTAAGGAACAGTCCCAAGTTGAGAGGGGCAACAATACATTGATCGGCTGCGACTCGAGCTGCCATTTCGAGATTCTTGTTCTTCAAAACGACCTTATTCTGGAGGAATTTGAACCAGTTGGTAGCGATTGGACCGAATATAGCTAAGCATCATTCATTAATACCTGTTTCTCATCTTATATCTAGCTCTTTTGTACATACCACCACCGTAGAGTGCCATGCGACCTGTGCGAGCAATTTCATGGCCGTTGATGCCCTTCTTTTCGACCAATTGTTGTGCCAATACATCGCCAGTTGCAAAAAGAACTGCCGATGTGATACTTTGAGTAAGGACAGGGCGAGCTGCCAACTTCATTTGATACCTTTCACATTGATGTTAGCTATCAATCGTGGGACTGAGACAAAAAGAACTATGATATCAGTGGCTGCACAAGAGATAAGAGAATACTCACCAACGCAACATCTTGTGTTTGATTATTTTAAAAAGCTTGACGGATATTCGAAATTATGTTCTCGTTATTTGAATCTGAAGTGACAGAAATATAGGACAAAATATGGACTTTGTTCAAGTAGGTAGGCAGGTACCTAGGTTGCAGGTAAATAGTGGGTAGGTATGAATTGTAATGTTTTCAAGGCCAATATTCGAGTAGCACATTTAATAAATAAATTGTTTTATCCTTGGCAGAAGATCTACGATAGGGGTTCATGGGGCTAGCAAGGTTCATACGGCGACATCGGATTGTCGGATTCATCCAATTGCCCAAATTTAGGGTCCCAGTGTTGCGGAGAAAGAGGCTAATGTTAATGGGTGGCGGTCATGCAGATGAAATGTCTTTCTCTACTGATACGGACCGACGAGTGAATCTGAAAATTGCACTTATGCTTTAGAAGAATGATATCGTACCGGTGGATGAAGAAACAAACTACGCGACAGACCCCGTACTTTGGTACGGATGGAGGACATAGAGCATGATATGTTTGAGCACAAAATTCCTCTGGGATTATGTTTTCCTATTTGCCTACTACAGCATTGATGCTTAAATCATTTTCATAAGGTATTTACAAGTATTATCTATTAACCCTTTGCTATCTACAGTCTATATCACTGCCCTTCTATATATACATAACATTTGTCCCGCTCCTCATTCCATCTCTTTCTCGCAGGATTAATTCCTTTATCGTTCAACCAACAACTTACATTCCCTGTCTCTTCACAATATCCTGTAACTTTTAAAGCCTCTCTGTGGCTGGGTGTATATCCGATTAACCCAAGGATTTGTGGCTCTTTGGTTAAGGTCATGAATCATAAATCATGCATGTTAGATAGCATCTTTCGAATAACAGACATCATTTCAAACTTTTTGAGAGATGACTGGGTTTGATGTCCAACAGCATCGCCTCTCTCCTATTAAGCAATGTTACATGATTTCGCTTGCGAACTTACTCCTCAAGCGAATGGCTGGTCCGTACAGAGTCAGCACCCAAGGTACTATGGTCAACAACGCTCCGATACCACCAAGCAAAGATGCTGCTCCTTGAAACGTTAAGTTGTTGAACATGCTAGTAGTAACGAGAGGGAATATCCCGCCCAAAACATTACGGCAGAAGCTCTGGGCAGCAAGAGCAGATGACGCATATCTATGATAAGTGTCTGCGAGGTAGTTGAACGTTGCGAGATAAATAGAATAAATGCCCATTGTCGCGCAACCAATAGCAAGAGTTGGAACTATCCAAGGGATCGAAGAGAATTGCGTCCACTAAACGATAGTCAATCAATTTGTTCCTCAAAAATAACCGGAGGGAAAGGTATGTTACTTACGCCGAACCAGAAAAGACCAATAGGCAGCAAAGCCGATTGGAAACAAGCAAAGTACAATCTTGCTTCGGGAGACGAGAGATCAATATTTCTTCGAATTATGCCAGGATTCTCTTCGTTCCTTGACGACCACTCGAGATATTTAGCGAGCCATCGGTCTTGATAGATAGAAACAAAAGTGGATATCATAGCTGCAATTGACAGCGCAGCAAATATTGCACCCGATTGCTGAAGACTAAAGCCATGTGAAGTCTCAAATACCAGAGGGATTGAACCACTAGGAAGATGGTATATTAGCACATATAGGAAACTAAGCTTCTAGATCATAGAATAGCAAATCACTTACAAAGTCAAATAGAGCACCGCCCAAGCAAAGGCAACCCATAGACTAAAGAAAAATACCACCGACTCTGTGAACAGAAGATGGAATGGGCGGTATACAGAAATTTTAACCATTTGAGAGAGGGATTGTCGTTCTTCATCAGCCTTAACCTTCCATCTGATTCGCTGCGACTCAAATTTCTCATGTGATGTCGACATCTGCATGTCAATGCCAAAAAAGCCTGCCTGCTCTCGATCTTCGTACCACTTGTTCAAACACTGTGCTTTCCTGCTCAACAGTATACTACCTCTCGTTTCTGGGAAAAAGAGTGTTATGGCCTGCATGCAATATAAATTAGTATCTTCTTCAGTTGAGCTTGGAACTGGTAGCTTTTTTTTGGTTGTTTTTTTCTTCTGTTTTTCCAAAGAAAAAAGTAAAGAATACGCACAACAAGCAGGAGTCCATTTGTGATAACCTGAATCCAAAATACCCATCGCCAGGATGTGTTTTGCGCAATGAAGCCGCTCACCAATGGCCCTAAGCCAGTGCCGAAAAGTGCTGAACCAGAGAATAAGGCCTAAAGTCAGGTTAGTTACAGACATCTTGACGAGTCTTTAAATCCCATAACTACCATAGATGTGTTTCGACCCTCCTTATGATGAATGTCGCTGATGACCCCACCAACCATTGTTGAAAACACGGAACTTCCACAGCCAACAAAGAATCTGGCAACGAGCATGCCCGGATAAGATCGAGTCACAGCACAGCAAAGCTGGGTGATGAAGAATAGCAAGCCTGAAGCTATGAAGATTGGCTTCCGTCCATTCAACTCAGAAAAGGGAGCTAGAACCATAGGAGCAATAGCAAAACCAAAACAGAAAGTTGTGATGCCAACCAGAATCGCAACGTCAGAAACGTGCCAAAGTGCGGACATCTGCTTGACAGCTGGAGAATATGCACCGGCGGTGAAGGCTGTGACCAAAGTAGCTACACAAGAAAGGAAGACGGTGAATTGTTTGCGGCTTTCTGCCCAGTCGAATGGTGAAGTAAACTTCTTTAAGTTTGGCCTTGGCGGTTCTGTTGCCGAAGAATTCGTGGATGAAATGTTGCCCGTTGGTGATGGAATTGATGTTTCGAATGTTAGATAATGATAAATGATTGGGCTTGACAAGCCGAGTGCATTTCTCTCCGATGGCATCTTTGTTGATTGACCATAAAACTCCAATCTTTTTTGCCCGTCGTCTTCAAAATCCGTCGTTGAGTCAGATATGGAAGTTTGCTTGAGGTCACCACGAGACGACATATCCGATTCTATGCCATGGCCCATTCTTTATTGCTCAAGATTATACAGCCAGCAGGATTGAATGTTCCAACGATGTATTCTAGATGTATTCTTAGATTCGAGTTCGATAGCAGCAAATATTAAGCATTAAGCACCATACACAGGCAAATGTAAATATGGTGCAGCTTAAGAAAAGAAAAGCAACGACTTAGGTAGTTACTGGTAGTAATGGAAAGACACAGGTAGTAAGTAGTATAGTGACTAACATTGACTAAGAGAGATATGAAAACAATACCTATTACCTACTACTTACCTACTTACACATTACCTACCTAATCCCGAGAAAGCCAGAACCTTTTCATGAAGGCTTTTCCGCAGATCCCACTAAATTAGGCCATGATAAGTTAGATGACCCATCTTTAGCTAGAGGACGAACTGCGGCTCAGGGAATTGGCTGCAGAACTGCGGATTTAACCCCGAACTTTCAAAAATTATCATCTTTATTCCCGGTTCCTAGCCTGGTCGACCAGTGGTTATGAACTCATGGACTCATGGTGGGTCGGTCCCTCGGAGAAGTGGGGTACAAAGTAGGGGAGTTAGGGGATCTTGGCTCAAAGTATGCTGCACGTGTAATCCAAGCTCACGTGATGTGTGTTGGCAGGCATACTAGCAACTGAAAAGGGAAAAGGGAAAAGAAGATGGACGCCATAGCTACGCCTTACCCAAGCCATTGGTAAATATGTGATCAATATCAATATATCAAACTTTGATACACATAGGTGCAGTATTGAAAGTCTCTTTGACTGATTGAGCCAGACGGATGATTTTCTTATTGATGACAGGTTATCTATCACCTGAACAATAATTCCAGTACAAGAGAAATAAGTTGTCGGAGAAAATAAAATTGAAGAGGAGATTCCATCTCGGTCAATCAATCATCAGAGAGGCTACCTACTTGCCGCTACTTCTATAATGATTTGAGTGAATGCATACATATATACTGTGCATGCCCAATACCTTCCACGTGAATTCATACTTCACTAGAAGAACTTCACTAGAAGAATTACTTCAGCAAAAGCTCTTGGCTCTTCATGGCTTAAAATCATTAGATCAATCAATAATGCTACATTGAGACCATCCAACCATTTTGAGGTCTGTCAACATCATGCATGACGGGGCATTATTCTCCATTTCTCAGCCTTATAAATATTGTCATACCATCATAAAATTACCTAGTAGGTAACTTGATCGGTAGGTAAGGTTGCAAAGGGAGACAGACCTTTGCACTTGTACCGAGTATTTGTGCCGTGTAAATGTTTCTCTTTTTTCTTTTCTTTATTTATTACACAACTCTTCGTTATTTATGTCCCATCCCGCGCCAGCCTCATCCCCTTTTGCACCTTCTCCCTCTTGGACAATGCAATTTTATTGGTTCTCAAATAGGGCGAGTTAACTGTTACAAAGCCAGAAACCATCCAAATAATGTCCCGCCTGTTTAAATTCTTAAGAAGTTCTGATGCGGCAGCGATAAGCCTATCAGATAATCCGGAAATACCCCTCCCTAAACCTTATCCGGTACGAGGGCTTGAAACAAGCTCAGACAAATTCGACAAGGTCGATGGCGTGATAGCTACGTGCTCTACAATTTTCTTTTTTACCCTCCTACTCTACCTCTTTTCTTTCCGATGGCGACACTTTGATAAATGATTAAGTAATAATAAGGTATTGAAAGGCTGAGTAAATACTTCTTAATAAACTCCTCTAGTCCCTTAGGCCTTTCTATCGTTTCCCTTCTTTTCTTCCCTCCTTCCCTCAACTCTCAATTAGATCTGATACATCACTGCAATATACAAATCTCCCCAACACAACTCCTCAAAACACATTCATCATGGCTGAAGAGAGAGCAACCCCGTAAGTCTACTTCTTGATTAGACCCTGGAAGCAGAAGGCTTTAAGCTCGCCTTTACATATTGTGATAATATTATCACAACCCGTTTTGAGAGCAAACCGTCTGCCATGATTGGATTTATCATTGGACCTCCCTCTATGACCTCTGCTAACAATGTACAAGCCTCCGTCTAGGATCCATCGCACCAAACTTCCAGGCAGAGACCACCAATGGTCCCATTGATTTCCACGAGTTCATCGGTGACAAGTGGGTTGTCTTATTTTCCCACCCAGAGGACTACACACCCGTTTGCACCACCGAACTCGGTGCTTTCGCAAAACTTGAGCCAGAGTTCACAAAGCGTGGTGTCAAGCTCATCGGTCTCTCCGCAAACACAATCGAATCACACGGTGGATGGATCAAGGATATTGATGAGATCTCCGGGAGCAAGCTTACCTTCCCAATCATTGGCGACAAGGAGCGAAAAGTTGCCTATGCATATGACATGTAAGCGCGAGACAGAAAATCTCCTATTAGCTATATATCGTATCCTAATAAGATAACTAGGCTCGACCACCAGGATACCACAAACGTCGACTCCAAGGGCATTGCATTCACCATCAGATCTGTCTTCGTCATCGACCCAAAGAAGACAATCCGCCTTATCCTCTCTTACCCAGCTTCCACTGGTCGTAATACCGCCGAGGTTCTCCGTGTCGTTGACTCACTTCAAACTGGAGACAAGCACCGCATCACCACTCCTATCAACTGGATTCCTGGTGATGATGTGATTGTCCACCCCAGTGTCAAGAACGAGGAGGCCAAAACTCTTTTCCCAGAATTCCGCATTGTCAAGCCATATCTTCGATTCACACCTTTGCCAAAGGAGGTAACATCTGCGGCCGTCTGAAATTCGCGTGATGGAAAATTATGAATTAATGAAGGGGTTTCCATATGAGTAACGGATATGACAAATAATGATTTGATCAGCGAGCGGCTCGACCAAGTCTCCTTTTGACAACTTTGCCAAGCTGTATTTAGATTAGCAAAACCGAATAAGAGTAAAAAAAATTTCAAACTTCAAGCGCTCTTGGGAAATGTGTTCGCCTACGTGATGATCGAATACGCTTCTCTATGAAATCTTTCTCTGTATTCTGTAAGCTGCATTGATTGAAGACCTGGTTTTGTTACGAATTAATCCGCCAGATGTTTTCGAATAATGCACCTATTTTAATGCTTAATATGCAGTATAAACTGTACCAGCACCTCATTATGACTGCTAGGTTTTATGTTCAGACCAACAGGACTACCCGGGTAGGTAACATATTCCCTACCTTATCGCATGGCACAAGGCCGCTAACACTTAGAAAATAATCAATCTGAAGCAGATGGAGCTGACGTCTCTCCTTTTTAACGTTCTTCAACATCCTACCGTGCTACAGCACTCAGCTTCTAATCCTTCTAGAGACTATTAGGCCATTCTAGTTGTAATTGATTTCCGCTGCATGAAACAAGTCAACCACGTGGAAAATTGCACCATCATCGGATGAACCCCATATCTATTCTTTGCTTCAAAAACTACTGAAGAGTTTCTAAACAATCATATTCACGCTGTGACAGGCCCGAGCAACGACAAGGCCATTCTGCAATTTCGAAGATCGGAGAACCAACAAAGGAACGACAGCCAGTGCATATACTTTTTCAATCTACGGTACCATAATCACCAAAGAAAGTAAAATACCCAGAGAAGGGGGATAAACGTGGGATTATATTATCAGGACCTCGAGATCGGCATCCCAAGAGCAGGAAGTGGGCTGGAGCCGCAGAAATTCTTTCCTGGGTCTAGCTTCGAGAAAGTGCTAAATAAGGCGGAGATTAGGAAAATTGGCTCGTGAGCTGGGACAGGCGCATTTGGCTACTCCGTACAGACTTTTGATATCGATAAGTAAGAGGTTTGCAGACTTGTGAGTGAGATCGGCTTGCTTATCCGATCCGGTAAAGTAGTACCATAGAATCTCTGGATGTATCAGCGGAGGCACTATATCGAGAGGAAATAAGGTCAATCATTTCACTACCGAGCGCTTTCCAACAGCCCGTCGCTCTAGCTTACAACTTTGCCATCAGTTCTGCGGAGGGACATCGACGTTCCCCGTTATTCTTCTCGTGTAATCTGTGCGTCGAGTGGATCGCCCGTCTTCTCCCTACAACCCAAACAAGAAATAGGCTCTGACCCTTGGATTACATTTCGGGAGACCTTGACGAGGCCGAGTATTTATTTCGGGAAGTCCTTGCTTTTTTGGGGGGGCACTTTTAAGGTAAGCATACATACATATCCTCACTGAACGCCAAAAATGATATCTCTTCTTGGTGTTATCTCCTTGTGATTGTTGATGAATTACTTTTTGTCTTTCGCAGCATGATTCAACATGTCGGATCCGCTAACTCTTCGGCCGAAAGACTCAACAGAGTCCATATACATCTCGGAATCTTCTACCGACGACGAGGGCTTCGACTTCAAGGGAGAGCCAGAGAAGACTGACGGTGCTTTTCTTACCGGTGTGCGAAGGGGACTTAGGAAGCTAGGATCTGTTTCTGGTAGCCGTGGTCGACCTTTTAATATCCAAACAAGCAAAAGCTCTACGCCGGACCTCCATCCACGTTCAGGAAGTACTGACCATTTCCTGCTATCGCAGAATGAAAAGAATTTGAGCGGTGCAGATCTCGAAAAACCTCTTCCAACCCTGCCCTCGACACCCACATCTCCGATCGTTGAAGACACTTCGGGCGACCCTCCTGATACGCCAAAAGCCTTAGAGGGCATGCCGCAACGGGCCGCGACAGGTAATCGGACGAGCATAGTGGATTCTACGAGCGCATCTCAACATCAATCCAGCGGATACAAGTCGATCTCCGGTACATACAAAGTGGACATGAACAGTAGTCAAACTAGTCTCGCTACGTCTAGCAGGCAGGATGGAAGTGAAGGGGGAGAGGAGAATCGGGAAAATGTTGTGACACCGAAGAGCAATGGAGCTCCATCGGCGGCGCCATCACCAGCACAACAACCTCGCTCTTTGGCAGCTAGTGGAGCTGGCACTTCTGGAGCAACGCCATCGACACATCTGTCAGGGCTCATGTGCAATGTACATCGAACTACTGGAAAGGAACCGCACCCCCTAGTTGGTGCCACAACTACAATTTTGGGCGACAAACTTTACGTATTCGGCGGTCGGATCCTATCGCGGACGCGCCCTTCCTTGACAGCCGACTTGTACGAACTGGATTTGATACAGCGGCATTGGACGAAAGTTGAAACTAGTGGGGATGTCCCACCACCAAGATATTTTCACAGTTTATGCGCCCTAGGCGATACCAAGCTGGTGTGCTATGGAGGAATGTCCCCAGCTCCTCCACAGAGCCAAGCCCAAATGGCTGCCTCGGCGCAAAGTGGCCAAGAATCCCAGCCAGAGGTCGTCGTAATGTCCGACATTTATATATATGATGCGCCATCAAGAACATGGACTTTTATACCCACAAATGACACACCGCAGGGAAGGTATGCGCACTGCGCTACTATCCTTCCTTCATCGGCAGCATTTGCGTCCGCAAATGCGCCTTCTTCCGCCTTACATCATAACCCCCAAGGGCCCAACCCCAATCAAGGCGTCATTGGAGTTAATATAGATGGTACTGGCGGTGCTGAAATGGTTGTGGTGGGTGGTCAAGACAGTGGAAACCACTATATTGAGCAAATTAGCGTCTTTAACCTGCGCAGTCTTAAATGGACCAGCACTCAGGCGCTTGGTAAGAGCTGTGGGGCGTATCGCAGTGTTGTAGCGCCTCTTCCGGGTCATGTCTCTGCAAAATTAGGCAAGGCAACATCCAATAAAGCAGATCACGGTGGTTCGACTCAGGATTCAAGAGAACCTGGGTCCTCAATGCTGATATATTCTAATTACAACTTTTTGGATGTCAAGCTAGAGCTACAGGTTAGAGCTTCCGATGGAACTCTAGCAGAAAAGCCCATGCACGGGTCATTTTCACCTCCTGGCCTTCGGTTCCCAAACGGCGGCGTTATCGATACCAATTTCGTGGTCAGTGGAACGTATCTCACTTCTTCAAAACAGGAGTATGCATTATGGGCTCTTGACTTGCGAACTCTCACATGGAGCCGCATCGACGCTGGTGGCAGTGTTTTCAGTCAAGGAAGCTGGAATCGTGGTGTTTTGTGGAATCGAAGAAATACATTTGTGATACTTGGTAACCGAAAGCGCAGTCTTGTGGAGGATTATAATCATAGGCGCATAAATTTTGCTAACGTCTGTATGGTCGAGCTTGAGGCATTTGGTCTTTACGACAACCCTCGAAAGGCAGCACCGCTGTCAGGGTTTGTCTCGGCTAGTTCGCCTTTCACAACACCGTCACTAAATATCGGTAGCAAAGCAGGATGGAATGCAGGTGGGCGCACGCTCTCCAAGGCAGCAGAGGAACTAGGCCAAAGTGCGTTGGCTCTTAGAGAGCTAGCTGATATGGATATCCTTTGCGTCGGCGGCGAGCGTATACCGGTAAACTCTCGCATTATCGCAAGAAGATGGGGACCATATTTCGTCCAATTACTACGTGAGGGCACTGCAACACAAGACGGTAATGATGCCGCTACGCTGCGTCAAGAGAGCGTCTTCCGACATAATCAAAGCAGGAATAGCAGTATTACTATTACACCTAGTCTCGGTGCTCAGTCCTCAAGTCTTTCTTCTTCATCTACATTAAATAGCTCTTCCACATCGGACCCCGCCTCTTTGGCCCTCCCTCCTGATTCGGGGGCATTATCACCTAATTCTAGACCGCGGACACTTTACCTTCCACATACACAGCTCACACTTCAAGCTCTACTTCACTTTTTATATACATCATCTCTTCCTCCAAATAATTCTACGCTCTGCACTCCGCAAATACTCTGTAGTCTACTACAACTAGCACGACCCTACAAAATTGATGGTTTACTGGAAGCTGTCGTGGAGAGGTTACATGGTGTGTTAGATAGTAGGAATGCTGCAGCCGTCTTCAATGCTAGCGCCATGGCTGCTGGTGGCGGTCGTTCCACTTCAACACCTTCTGACATTGCAGATCCCTGGAGCCTTAATAGACTGTCAAATGGAGCAGAGACCCTGATGCAGCTTGGGCTTGATAACGAAATAGGCTCTCACGGCCAACAATCTTTACGAATCAATACCAGTGTGGGCGATCTTGGAACTGGCCAGGGAGGAAGAAGACAAGACGATGAAGAAAGCATGAGTGCGACAAGCAGTGCCGCGAGCGATGTTAGTGGCAGTGATTTGGACGGAAGCGTGAGCGCGTCGGAATCTGGTAAAGTTAATAGTGTAGGGGAAATTTGGAGAGGCGATATTAGTGCCGTTATTGGACTACAGAAGAGAGGTCTGCGAGGTTTGATGGAAGGCAGAAGACTCCGAGAGAGAGGGACGAGTGCAAGTGTAAGCGCAGCATCGTCGCAAAAAGTAGGATTGGGGATCGCAAACGGTTAATATGCAAAATAGCAACAACGCTTTATGAAGATTTATGACAATATTTAATGATTGCTCGAATATTTGGCGTTGTATATTACATTTCGGAGATTCTCTAGATCATTCGCCATATTAAGTATATTGGTACATGGGGGGCTAAGCATTTTGCTTAGAACGGATACTTAATTTAATCTCTTGCATGCTATAGATATTTCCGAATTTGAGTTTTTGGTACGAAATGTTCAAAATTCACATGTTACATGCACTGTGATGCAGCAGGGAAATCCACCCCACTACGTCACCGCTTTTCAACACCCATTCAACAACCGCTCAACAACGGCAAAATATTTTGCTCAAAACACAATGATTGCGTCGTATCCGTAATTACAATTTAAGATTCTGGACTTGTATATCAAGACGATAGACTCATATTTGCAAAATCTCATCCGAGCTTGGTCAGGACAAAAATCTCCTTCTCTTTCACATACAACGTAAGAAAAACTTGTGCTCGAGGGAAGGATGGCAGAAAATTACATTCTGCAGGTTACGGCGGGCTCTGGATATGATGTCAGCAAACATCAAATTGTACCCGTCAATCAAGCAAAATGCGTGCGGATTGAGAATGAGCTGTGTGAGGTGGATTTGAATGTTAGGATTCAAGTAGGCGATCCCTTTTTCTTACTCTGTTTTGCTTCAAGACTATTACGTAGAGTACATTCAAGACTAACTATCCGCGCCTTCTACAGGATTATCGCGGACTCCCCAAATCGTCTCCCACTACCTCTCCATATTTCGATCTGCCACCGCATGATAAGAATAAAGATCAATATAGTATTGGATTTCGATTCAAACCGAAAAAGGATATTAATGCGGATGATTTGGTCTTCGGAAATGACTTTGATCATCCTATTAGAGATCGTCTGCCCCCCGGGTTCAATACGGCCTTTAGAATTGTGAAGTGGATGGTGGATCCTGGGTTAGATGGAGATGTGTATGCGGATGAGCCATATTTGTACGGACCGGCGGCGAGTTCGTTTAATGTGCTATATGTTGGTGAAGGGGGAGAAAGGGATGGAGAAGAGGTTGAGGATGCTGGATTGATGTTTGATGAGGGAGGGGATGAGGAGGGTGAGGAACATAGGAGGGAATGTGGAATCCCTGATGGGGAAGCGGCGAGGAAGAAATACTTCCTGACAGAGGCAAATAGAAAAGACTGGGATTGGGAGGAGGGAAGAACTTATGGGTGTGACTTTTTTAATGCATATTTGGATTTTAATAGTAAGTTTGAGGTTGAATTTATCCATCGTTACCCCATGTACAGAACCTGATACTGACATTTATACCTTCACGATAGATTTCGCTCTTAAACTACCCGGCTTTACAATGCCAATAATGAAATATTGGGATGGACAAGGTCTACGGTTCGTTTAATTTTTCAAACCCCCCTTCTCTCATCAAGTATTTCTCTTGATCCTATATTTTTTGGCCGTCCTTGATCTTTTATACCAACCTTGTTTTGTTTTAACTTTAGGAAAGAGCAAAAGCGCTCACATACGCTCAGATACGTGCTAAAAAATCGAAAGACTGGAGAAGTCTTATTCGTGGTTCTTTTTACGCTTTATCTGAAAGAAGATGTGGATGAGAATGGAAAGCTGAAGGAGGGTGTTGAAGGAGGGAAACCTTTCGATAAACTGCCTAAAGAAGTTGCCGAGAAGCCTACGGAGAAGAAGAGTGGGGAAGAAGGGGGGATTAAGAAGGAAGAGAAGGTAGAAAAAGCTACAAATGATGATGGTGATGATGGTGATGATGGTGATGATATTGATTGAGGGATTATCTTGGGAAATTTTGCAAACCAAGGAAAGAAAAGCAAGATATAAACATATAAAACATATAATGTAAGATGAATAGATGGATAGATCTAGATATTTCCGCTATCTCCAACTATGTCCAGAGCCTGGGAGTAAGTATATTTCGAATGTAAGGCAAATTTAAGTTTGGAATAAAACAACCCCGCACGCACAATACGTTATCACTCGTACCTAGGTACCTAATGAATCGTATGTACACCTAGGTAGGTAGGTAGTAACAATAAAAGCCAGAAATGATGTCAAAAGCCGCAACATGATCGTTTCATCTTTTTAGTACTGAGATTAGGTACTTACGTAGATTCTTTTAGTACCTAAGTATATGGTAGATTCGGCAATAAACATGGTAATTAGTATATATATTGGAAAGAAAAAACTTTTTTGTTTTTGTTTTTGTGTTTGGTTTCATATGTTAATCAATTTGTTACATAACGTTACTAGGTACTGGTGTACGTACCTAGCTAGGTATTTAAATATTGTTGATAATTGATAATTGTGGATGTTGGATGGATATTGGCTATATTTAAGGAAATAGAAAGGACCTATAAATAGTTAGGTAGGTGTGTATATGCTATATACTAGTAGCTCTTTTTGAATACGGAGTGGTAGGTAGACATTAGTAAGTTGGTAATAATATGTACGGAGTTAATGGGGATGGATATGGGTGTGGATATGGATATGGATATGGATATGGATATGGATATGGATATGGATATGGATATGGATATGGATGCGAGTAACTGAAGTCTGAGCGTTCAGATTGAGAGTACGGAGAACGGAGGACAGATACTGACTGTACCTAGGTACTGGGTGTATGTACTGGCTAGCTAGGAGCTGGGAGACAGATAATAATACATTTAGTAACCAAAGGAGCCATATAAAATTGATAATGTTAAAAATACAAAATACTTTCTATTGATTAGGTGCCTAGGTAGGTAAGTATCCATTTATGAGGGTATAGAAAGAGCTTGAATGATGGATAATAAATACCTACCCAAGGACTGTACTAGAAAATCTTCGATCTTGATTTGTTTCATTTCTTGATGTTCAGTCGATAATCGATAACCTGACCTGACCAAAAATTATAGTGTATAATAAGTGGGAGATGGGAGATTGTAATGTTCGGCTGGACTTTAATCTGCTTCCTACCCTAATAAGTACCTGGTATGTAGTGTGTGGTAGGTATTAATCTTCGTTTCATTCATTCATTCATTCATTCACTCACCATTTTCTACAACTCACAACAACTGACTTACTAGGTAGTTCAAATTAAATCTCAATCTACTTTTCAAAATCTACTTCTTCGTCTTCTCCTCCTTCTCCCTCTCCTTCTTCTTCTCCCCTTTTCTCTCTCTTCTCTCTCTCCTTCCTTTCTCTCTTTACCTGTTCCAAAAACATATCTATAAATTGTGAGGCGACCCAACCTCTTCAACACCCCCGAAAGAATTGATTTGTCGTACATAGCCAGCGCAAAACCTCCCACAGCGAGTACAAGCAACAGCACTGCCCATCCATACATCTGCCGTTCCAGTCGTCATATGAGATACCGTACCACCACATATTGATCTATTCTCACGACTTTTACACCTGTTAATCTCCCACCACCTGAGTTCCTCTGGCCTTGGTTATCTCCAACAAAATCACATCTCTTGTCATTACTTACAAATTAAAACGTCCTAATCTCACACATATCCACCCTCCATTTCGACTTCACCTTTACCTCATTCATGATTGATCTCGGATATCGCGCGTAGAAGAGCAGAAGCAGAAGCCATTTCAAAAAATAATATCAATATGCATCCAAGTCATCTACCGCGAGAGAGTGAGCCCACCCAGCATTTATTTCCCATCATGACAACCGCTTCAACCCCAGCTACTCCCGGTCCGTCCACACCAAGGGTCACGCGAGCGCTCGAAACAGAGCATGCCAAGGTCGACGATATTCTGAATATTGAAAGGCCAGCATCGACACCATTCCCGCGCCAGAAGTCTTTAGGTGGAGAGATTGTAGAGCGACAAATCGAGCCGGATATTGTGGAACGAGTAGAGCCTTCGCCGATTCAACAACAAGCTCCAGATTCAGGCTCACCCTTGTGCGACCTTCCAGTGGAGATACACGAATGCATTCTCGATCACTTGTTCGGTTTCAGGACTGCGGCTGCTCTGCGAGTTATACCGGGAAGGTCAAAGGTGCTTCGAGGTTGGGGCACCGCTTTAAGACATTCGAGACGGCGTGAAGTTTCCGAGTTGGCTCTCGTGTCTGCTCCATGGAGAAATCTTATCCAAGAACGATTATACAGACATCTCAAAATCAAGGGAACCACGGATTCCATTCAGCAGTCGTTGGAGTGGTTTTATGCTCATCCACATTTGTGTGCGTATGTGAAGCACATCGAAATATGGTTTCCCGTATTTCAACAGAAGAAGTTGCCTTTCGATCGAATCATGCGGATACCTCCGACACATCCAGATCGATCTACCCTAATTCGCTCACTTGCACATCTCGGCGCAGAACCTCCGAATCCTGTCACATACCAAACCCCCGATAATAACTGCACCCTATCAGAAATCTTCCAGTTTGTTCGAAATATCTTCCCGGAAGCCTGTATCTTGACTTTGGAAGGCGGAGAAAGAAAGAAACCTCCGCAAGTTCGGCAATTTCGCCCGGACGAAACAAAACTACCTACCATTGATACCATTCGGACTCTGGTCTGCAAGGGACAATGGAATCTTATCCGTACGAATGAGGATTTCCAGAATATTGCTGCAGCATTGCCGAATCTGAATGAATGGCATGGATCCTATGCCAAACCAAAGTCGAAGTCATATCTTTGTATCGCGCAGATTGCCCCTCGGATACCACAGAATATCACACATATCAACCTATGTCTTGAGAACGATTACCGCAGAGAAGCTGTATCGCCTGGTTTCTTCAGGAAAGTTGCACTGAAGACCCATTTCTGCGATGAATTGGCCAAGTCAATTCCGACTCTTGAGCATTTGGCATACACCGGAAGAGTTTGTCGTGGATTTTTTGACACGGCGGCTAAACTCTCTAATCCGCGTACCTCGAAATTGAAGTGCATAGAACTTATTGTCAAGAATTGCTGTCGCCCTACTCAGCAATGGAATGACGGATCTGGTATAAGTGATATGTCGTTCATATCCGCTTTCGAAGCATTAGTATTGGCGGGTGTACGATCATTAGACAAGCTAGCGGCCCTTGAGTACCTGAGGATTAGATTCATAGATCTTGGTGAGATGAAGCAAATTTGTAGTCGTCTTTGGGAATACTAACGGTGTTGCAGAATCTCAAGTCCCGCCACTCAACCCATATTTTGAACTCGAAAATAACCGGTGCACAGGAATTTGGAGTCCCAGCATCGTTGATGCATTGGCAAGTAGTAGACCTACTGCATCTTTTGTCGAAAATGCAGAAATCTTAGGTGAATTAGAAGTGAATAAGGATGGACAATTCACCACGCCTGCTACATTCTCAAAGTTTCGACCACTCTCTATAAAAGTTTCAAATTATCTTGCCCTTTCAGGTGGCATCACAATCACATGAATGATATCTTATCATGGCCTAAAGTCATATTGCACATATGGGGCGGGCTTTAGCTGAAAGAGAATATTTCGTCTCGCTGTTAGCATGGGTTTCCTTGGGAGTATAAGGCAGGGCTATTGTAAAGTAGTAGTGATTGAACAGAACACTTGATTGAGGAAATGGCCTTGGCATGGGCTGGGAACGGAACTGGAGCTGGGAAATTTTTATTTGGCATTAGCAGGGCGTTCTCTAATCTAGTTGCGGAACCAAAGGACGGGTATTTTTTTCTTTCGCAATAAATGCTTTCATTTTGAGGTTGCAAATTACAGAGAACAAAGCAAGATTTTTCTATGTAGATTGGTCGAGAGTTTTATGCGAAGCGTGTATATAATGATGAGAATCGTCTACTTTGTCAATTTTGAGATGGATGTGTGAATTTACATTGAAACATGTAGGATATATCTATCCCTGCACAATGGAATTTACATGCTACGAGTATACATCTAAATCTCGAACAGCTATTTATACGTCCTTCCTCGCTTGATGCCCTTCCCATCTTCTCGCTCCCAGCCTATACCTTCCCAAACTCCAATCCTCACATCTTCAGCATCCCTTTTCCCCTAAACAGCTGCTGCTCCTCGTCCAACATCCCGCACAATAATGCCCAAAATCCAAACATTCGTCGCAAAGAACAACAAACTCGCCACCCACAATCCAGGCACAAAAGTACTGATACCCAAAAACTCAAGCTCAAACGCCTGCTGTAACCAAAATGCTTGAGTAGCGATCCACAGCGCCGCAGCCAGCACCCCAACGCGTGGAGATCGAACGAGTGTGCAGGAAGGGGTGGAGAGATAGAGCGGTAGCAGACACGTGTACCAGAGGAAATATTGGGATGTGACTACTTTGTTGAAGGTGACGAAGGCGAGGGTTTGCGCTAGCATGGTGCTAGGGAGATCATGCCTGGAGAGGGTGACGGGGATCAGGAGGAGCGAGAGTAGGAGTTGCGGGATGAAGGTTAGGGACTCTAGGGCTAGGGGCGTGGGGGATGGAACGGCCGAGCGGAGATAGAGGAGTGTGTTGTAGGGGGAGAAATTGTGTCGGTGGTCGATTCGTGTTACGTGGTGTAGGTATGTGTGTTGGAGGAAGGGGTATCCGTAGCTGTGGGTTTGGGTTAGATATTAATGGGAGGAAGGGAAAGTGGGGTTTCCTACATGTAATACATAAGAGCGTTGAGACTCATAAATGTCATCAAACTAGTCGTCACCAATACAATCCTCTCACTATTTATGAATCCCGTGATCTTTCCCCAAACATCCTCACTGCTTTTCTCACCTCCCTCCTTTATCACCTTCTTTCCTTTCCCAGAAACTTTTCTGCTCTTCAAACCCCCCATAGTCTCTCGATCCAAAAACCAAACAATACTAACCCCATAAACCACCGGATAAATCTTAAAATGCACCCCTAACCCTAACAAAAACCCCGCAAACCCAACACGTCTCTCCAACACCGCCCACAACAACCCCAACACCAAAACCCCCAAGATCCCCTCACTACTTCCCCGCGTACTAATCGCCGCAACCATCGGATTCAACAACCAAATCGCAGCATACTTGCCCGCTCGCCCGGCATCCATTCCTCGCCCCATAAGTATCACATGGAGTAAATACCCCGCGACTATATCACAGAATGCAAAAAAGATTTTCCCAAAGTGGAAAAATATAAACGCGGGGGTGAATGTGGTGGGGAGGAGCAGCCATGCGAGAAGAGGCGTGTATCGGTAGGTTTCTCGTGTGTATGGAGAGTGTGATTGAGAGGTGTAATGGGAGGCTGAGGTGAAGACGTGGTAGTCTATGTCGGTGTATTTTAGGGGGGAGTGTAGATCTTGGTAGAGACCGTAGGTGAAGAGGATTATGCGGAGGATGATGGCGAGGGTGAAGAGGGTGCTGGTTGAGAGGGCCATGGTTTTTAGAGAGGGATGACCCGTTGGGTCTTGTTTTTTTGTGAGTGGGTTTTTGGGACTCATATGATGATTGAAATCATGGCAACTAATCAAATTGTCTCGAGTTTCGTCACCTTCTTGTGAAGTCTAGATCTAAATCTCGAGTGTCTTTTCCATGTTGAGGTCCGCACGTGTTTATATGATAATCTTACCCCACTATTCGAGCTAGACACACTCCCTCTCACAAAAAATACCCCGTCTGCTTACCTCACCATCCATCCCCACTATCCATCGCGCCTCACAAATCTGCACAAGTCAAGTGCAGGGTCTCTTCTCACCATGCAAGAAACACGCCAATATCAAAGCGAAAATATGCCAGGCATTAAACGACAACACGATGGTACTTCCAAGGAGAAATCCGAGAGGAAGGTAGAGGAGACAGAGGAGAAGTCGGGAGCTTCTTTAAGTCCCTTCATGCCGATGTTTGAGGGTTTCAGAGCAGAGTTGGATGAACATCATGATCGGAGAGAGAGAATTATTAAAGCCGGAAGAGATATTACGGCGGGAAGTAAGAAAATGTAGGGGCTTTCTTCCTGGGGGTTTGAGGATGTTGTGCAGGTATTGAGCTAATTATTTGATAGAATTTTTGCATTGCAGAGGTAAGGTTATGGATGGATGGATTGGTCTGGGATGATTTTTTGAATCTCAAAAACTTTTTCCTATATTAAAAAATCATGCTAATTACATATGCAGAGTGCAAAAACTTCAACAACCTCTTCCACAGAGAATAGCTAAGGAAACTTCAGAGAAACTCGCTACAATCCATGATCTCTTCACCAGTATATCACCTGATCTCACGGGTGTCAATTCTTGGCGTTATCAAAGACAGATTTCAGGTGGTATTCAAGAATACATGGAAGCTGTATCATTTTCTCACTACCTCACCGAACAAACTTTAATTCCTCTCTCGACTGCCCAGGCTTCTTTACCTGACGCGGTAAATCTTACGGGTGATGACTATGTTCTCGGGATTTTTGATCTGGTAGGCGAGATGATGAGATTTGCTATTACGAGGATGGCGACGGATGGGGGATTGCCGGGGAGAGAAGAGAGAACCATTCTGGCGGATTTGAGGGATATCAGGATGAGGTTTGAAGAGATGGATACGACGAGGTGTGGGAATGTGGGGTTGGGGAGGGATGTGGAGAAGAAGATGGAGGTTATGAGGACCTGTGTGGAGAAGGTCGAAACGGCGGTTTATGGGATGATTGTTAGGGGGAGGGAGAGGCCGAAAGGTTGGGTGATGGATATGCCGGATGAGGGGAGGAGTGCCGTGGAGAGTTATTAGAAGAAGGGTGCTGGAATGTAGATGGTTAGATTGTTGAGAGGATGATGGCAGTAGCTACATTCTGGGGAAATGAACCCCGAGAATCCCTTTGCTATATATAGTGTAGTTAAATTGTAAGGGTATGAAACTCAAAAGCATAGTGCAATTATTAGAATTTGCAACACACTCACTATTATCCACAAGATATCCATTTCCTTGGTTTAGACGAGAATGCAGTGTCGACCAGCTTTTTAACAGCGCTTTCTAATTTAATGTTAAAAGAAATATTCCGTGGGCTTTTTTTTATATGTACAGGGAGTTGGATAAAGATGGATAAATAATTATCTTATCTTCGTGTAGTATCTCCCCTATTATATATAGCTTTGGATTATCTTATATTTGGAGGAGAAGAGGAATGAATGAAAAGAATGGATGAATGGATGGATGGGTTGCTGCGGAGATTTAGGCGTACATATCTGGTGAGGGATGATTTCGTGGGTTAGTGTGTACGGAGGTGAGGTTTGGAAATTATATGATTATGTGATATGATTGTGTGATATGAAGATGAAGATGAAGATGAAGATATTAGAGTTTATTGTATTTCGTTTATATCTGAAGATATTAATAATTAATTGGAGAATGTATTTACTTGTATATATATGAGTACAAGGAAGAAAGGAAGGAAGTATACTCTATACCGAATCTAGCCAATCAAAAATCACATCTTTGATTCTTGCTTGTTTCTATAGAATCATTGTTCTGATATATCGTTATTCCTGTACGAAGTATAGTGCTAATGCATTTCTTTTACACACCTCCATATAATTATTGAGGATTCATACTTGCAATTGTAAAATGTTCTTTTATGTTCGAGAGAGTCAAGTTTGATGTTATTATAATAAACCGAGACTTTATTCTAGATTTTCTAGATATCTTTGGTAGAGCCTAGGATTATTGAGATGCGCTTTTGATGGATGGATGGATGGATAGATGAGTGTTTGTTATAGCGTTGATGTGTCTGCTGTTGTTGTTTGGAGTTACTTGGATAGTTTTTATATTCGCTGATGTCTTGGGATATAATGTATATATAGAGAGAGAGATATACTAGGACTTACGAGTAAAAATTTTGCAGAGATGATGTACTAATCAGGGGGAATCGATACAGAATAGTGGGATGGACTTTGTGGTGATTGGTATCATATGAAGTGAAGACTGTTTTCCTTGATTTTAATCGTGTCGAAATACGGCGGTTATCACAGTTAAGATAGGTGGGTTTGTAAAATTATGCTTTGATATCGATATATTTATATACATCGTCGAAAATGGGTCCCGTATGTGAATATTGAAAATCTTACGTTTATGAGTAGTGAGGATTGTCGAGTATTGAGAGTAGATGCCATATAGCTACTCAAGCTCAAGGCTTACGAGTAGTCTCATTAGTCTTTTGCAATTAATCAGAAGATTTCTTACGAACAGCCTATGAGGGTGTATTCTCTAAGGGTCTACAGTGGAAACTTGCAGATGAAGTATTCTAAACCAGCACAGCTCATGTAATCATTGACGGAATAAACACCCGGTCTTCGCTGAATCTGAATGCTCATGCAATCATTATTCATCTAGATAGCTTGAGCTTACGTTGAGAGCTTGGATAAACGATTATAAAAATTTGTGTTATTTCCATATCACTTGGCGACCGCTCAGGAGTCTGGTGGCTACGATCCGTATCCCTTCTCAATCATTATTCGTCGTGATCAGGAACCGGAAATTCAGACTCTATCTCATATTAGTCTGTGTTTACTCCCGAGGGAAAGGCAATTAGTTCAAGGTAGCCTCAATCTGTGCTCTAGCAAATATGCAGCTCTCAAAAGAAACACGTAATTCGCGGTGAGTAGAACACAATTATGGCTTTCTCACAACTCTATTTTGAGTGAATTATAGACTGGAGGGGCTAATGTTTATCTATCTGGATATAAACAATATCATCGCCATCGGCATAGAAGGAGCTGTCAGAAATAGTACCCCCCTTGGCAAGTTGCTCTTAATAACCAGCGGGCTTCGTCATAACCGTGAAACAAGTTCTTTAGCGTTTTAGTAGTTAGACCGTTTTAGATTTTACATATGTGAAACCTAGGATCTACTTATCATCTATAAGTAGATGTGCCTGCAGCTTCTTTGCCTCGATTACATATGTGGAAGTAAATCATGTGTGCGGCTGTAGAGTCATGCCTTCAAGATTGGAAACGGAATGCGTCATGTGCGTATAGGAACGCTCAAGAACGTCTACCTAGTGACCTTTGGATATCATCGATCTGTAAGTGCGGCATGGGAAAGGATGTTGAGGACTTCCCGGAGGACCCAAAAGTCCAGGGGTATGAGAATTGACTACGGGATTGTGTTGCCGTTTTTTCCAACGGTCTTCTATACGTATGCTATTAATGATCCTTCAACGTCGTCTATTTAGACAAACATACAGCTTATTGCTAATTCGAGCGTTTTCATTATAAACAGGACTTCAGTTTTTGATCCAAAAGGATATCTCATAATATTCAATGGTGTTTTAACCTTGACAGTGCGGCAGGCCAATGAGCGGAATGTCCAAGGTACTTGTTCTTTGTCAAATAAAGGCAAAGCTATACGTACAAGTATTTTGTAGTGCTAATACCAGTTTTCTAGAGAATGGAGTACGGAATTCTACATCCTTCAGTGTATATCAACATTGAAATTCACGATACGCGAGACCGACTTCGGCGAACATACATATATCACCATGCAAATACATCTCTTCAGCCATCTCGTTTGTCTCCTTCCGTCTTTACGCCAATTCCCGAAAGGCTGAGTCATCGTTGATACTATCATCCAATGAACAGTCTGGGCCGTTGAAACTCCGTTTATTTGAAACTCCTTCTACTTGTCATGCGTTGAAGTCTATGATACGATGTAAATGAGTCTTTTGCGATACAATATCAAAAAATGAAGACTTTCATATCAATATATACTCTACATGAATTGTGTATTCTCCCAGGTGCGATGGTTTCAAAAACTACCTTCAGAGAACAACATGAGAAATTGTGTTTTGACTTCCTCTGAGAAATTCAGGATATAGCCCAAAACTACCCGCCTGATCGGGAAAATCGGCATAGACGGAACAAAAAATGCAGTCAGATTGTATGAATAGCATCATCAATTTCCCACTTATATCGGATCAGATATGAAGGGGCTGAAAGTAATATGGTCTGCTGGCGGAAGCTGACATTATTTCGTGAAGTGGCGTCAGCACGTTGACATGTTGATGCGCTACGGACCTCCGCACCTCGGGGATAAGTGACAATTACGAAACTCCTGAATGAATATTAAGAATTTGATGAGCTCAAATGATTCTTGGAAATTTGAAAATGCTGCCGCAAAGATAGTTCTGAGTTGGGGATGCTTTTTTAGAATTCGCCTTTTTGAGGTTCTGCCCACACCAAAGTGCTGATGAAACCCAGTTGGGAAGTAGGTTAAATCCTTCCCGTTTGCATCGTTACACAATTGGCACAAAATGGCAGAAATGGCGGAAATGTTATAATCAGCCGTACCGACGATATGCATCAAGAGGCTTGATATACTCTAATATTATACGATATTCATCACGCGATAAGATGTAAAACAGGCTTCGGCTGGTCGTGTCTACTTATTTATGGACGTGTTTGATTTGTTAATGCGGGCTGAGATACTTGATCCTGCCTGCTTGGCTTCTGCATATTCCAATCTCAAACTGGATATATGTAAAGAAGATCGCCGCATGGTCTAAGTTGTTTTGCTGAAGCTCGAGGTACACGAACTGTCCTGTCAGCGATGCTTTTGAGCGGATGTTTACTTGCAGTATGATTACAGAGCATTGAAGCAGAAACATCTTATAGGCTGACTCTACTCGCTTGTAAATCGAATCGGATTTGATGGAAGATCGAGCTGAATTGTAGAAAAAGAATAAATTGAAAGTCAAGATGCCTTTTCAAATTCCTCCACGCTCCCGGCTCGATTCTAAGAGTCCATTTCGCCTCTCCAGAAGCAGGATGCCACCCTATTCAACCTTTTATATTTCGGCGGATTCTTTGGCACTAGGAAACGAAACAGATGATACTGTTGATAAGGGAAAAGCAAGAGAAGAGGAACCAACTATTCCTTCAGGATGGTCTTTGGGTATGCTACCCACTGGGCGACGGTACCCGGGAAGCACCATTAGGTCTTCAACTAAGGGTCGAGATCCTCAGTCCGATGAAGAATCTCTCACAGGAAGTCGTCGAAGTCAATATCGGAATATAATCAAATATCCATTACCCGGACCTTTGTCACCCCACCTTGCTGAGAATAGGAAACTATGGATTAAGATGTTCGTGGTATTTTGTGTGCTGTTAGTCACCACGATCATGGGTACAATGTCTATATATTGGGGCGGTGATCATTCAATTCAATACAACATACCAGTATTAACCATCGCGGTGATTGATTTTGATCATTCAGAGGTCGGAAGATATCTCCAAGACATGACGACTGCGGCACGAGCCAAAGATTACCATCATTCGCTAGGATTTGTGAACCAAGATGGAGATACCATGTATGGTAATGTGGAGAATGTCCGAGCAGCTTTGCACGACCAGAAGTTTTGGATGGCAGTTGTAGTAATGGAGAATGCTACAAAAGCCATGAATCATGCCTATGAAGTAGGGGATGAACCGTATGATCCAAATCAGGCGATATCGGTTTTCTACGAGGAATCTAGGAATGCACTAGTTATTGCACAAGCGGTATATCCTAAATTACTAGATTTTTTAAACAAGTTTGTGCTTGAATTTACGAAACAGAAACAGAGCAGTTTGCTGCAGGGAATTAATGGGTCAGATGTGACCGCATTGCAGAGACAGGCTCAAAATCCTGTTGCAGCAGGATTTACAGTCTTTAATATGGCGCCAGCCACACCATCAGTTCGTTATTCTTTCCCTTCAATTCTTCTAACCTTGAATTTCAACACTAACTTTGCATTTGATTTTTAGACAGCTGAAGCTGCCACTGAGATTGGAACAATCTGTATGTAACTTTAGCACAACTTACACAATTCTCCACACCGAAAAGAAAGAAACATTTTGCTGACCCCAAATTCTAGATCTTATAATCGTTTCTTTTCTTTCAGTTCTCATGTTCGACAAACTTAGCGATACAATCATGGGAACAATACCCATGAGAACCTACTACATCTACCGCATAGCCGTCCTCCCATTCGTTTACTTCTTTTTATCCCTGTTCTATCTAACCCTCTCATGCATGTGGCACATACCATTCTCTCTTCACTTTGGTTCAGCCGGCTATGTTCTCTACTGGATGCTTTCCTGGATCTCCATGATGGCCTTCGGCCTCACCATTGAAAACATAAACAACCTCCTCGGCATGCCTTTCACGCCTGTTTTCTTCGTCTTCTGGGTCATCTCAAATGTCACCACGGGCTTCTATCCCACGGAAATTCTCAGCAATTTTTACAAGTGGGGTATTGTGTGGCCGCTGAGACATGATATTATGGGTGCGCGAGCAATTATTTACGGCACGAAAAATACTTTGAGGCTAAATTTTGGAGTCTTGATTGGTTGGGTGCTGGTTAGTTTGTTGTTGATGCCTGGAACGGTGTGGTTGCAGATGAGGAAGAAGAGGGAAATAAGAGAGGAGAGAAGTAGAGTGGTTTTGGAGAAAGTTTGGGGAGCGCCTGGGAAGGAGAAGGGTGGGAGGTTGAGATTGCCTAAGTTGAGTCCGCCTAATTGAAGAGGGTCGGGGTGTAGGTTCTAAGCGATGGGGTTAGCTGTGAGTTAGTCACCATTAGAGAGATGGTTTTATATGTTTGCATAATTCATGGGCTATTGAGTGTAATAATTGGTGTTGTGGTATCAACATTGGAGAGAGTAGAATATAATAGGAGTCATCAACTTTACTCAGTTTTTAATTTTTTTCACATTCATTCACTAGCTTTTATTCATTTACTCGCTTTTATTCATTTACTCATTTACTCACCTATATCACTTATCTTCTCATATTCATTTCCATATAAATAAGCAGAGATAAAAATATAGATCATTGGCAGTATCTCAATTCTCCACTCTAGAATCTAAACCTTCAAAAAAGACAGAGGAATATTATCTGTCTCCAAGTCAAAGCTCTATTGATGTTTCCACAGTCTCTCTTCAACCTCGAATGTCCAATGACTCGGGCTGTGACATGGAGTATTAATTATCCGACTCTGCGAGACGGGATGAAGGAAATGCATATGTGAGTAAATTTCCCTCCATATCGTCATGATTTTAGAGTATCGCTGATACAATGAAAAGTGGCTAGCAAATTTACCCATTTTTATGTGTGACATTGACCCCGTGTATAGGTAAGTCTCGGTTCAGTGTCTTACGAGAAATATCCTTGTATATTGATTTTAAACCACTCGCTCAAGACCATAAATGCCCAATTGTCAATATATCGACCCAAATAATGCATACTCATATTTTTTTACTCCGAAAGGGAAGGATGATTAAAAGTGGCATGGTAGAAGGATGCCAAGTGCATTAGACAGTGGCGGCTCCTAATCCAAAAGAATTCTAACCACGAATTAAAAGGCAGGGAATTTTGAACTTTCGAACCTTGGCTTAAGTTGCCATAGCAGACGGAGACAGTTTTATATAGAGCTAGTGAATGCACAGATTAAATAGAGATGATAACTAAGTTATTAGTGAAATATGAAGCTCTTGAATGATCTGAGAGCGGTCCAATCTAAGCGAAACATCCAAAACACCGAACAAGGTCAGCTAAACGAGTTTGCGGTTAACGAACTAAGCACGCTAAGCTTCTTTGGGAATAAAGATCATTTATTCTAGACAGTATCTAGATGAGATAGATAAAATAAAGTCAATATCAAAACTTACATATTTACATTCCTCCATTCCATATCCTACCTAAGTGCTTACTGAGAACTATTACTTAGGATTAATAAAATGTGTTGATAGGTCGTTATATTAACAATTAATTTTTCTTTATATTCTGAGGTTATCCATTCCTCATCTAATTATCATGTCACCCTTATCTTTAATGTCTATCCCATAGGGACGAAGAATGGATATGATAGATTTCGGTGAAATTTTACAAGAATACCACAAGTGAAAATATCAACTATATCTTACCTGAATTTTGGGAGCAGACACTGGATCACATATTCATCGTGTTCGCATTGGAAATATCGTTACAAGGGTAGATCCACTGACAATGGCAACCTAAATTTTTGAATTTGGCTAGGATCTGGAGATATGCCATAGAACAAAAAAGAGGAGGGGAACAACTTGCGAATTCTATCAACGTATTTTAGCCTACATCTAATCTCGGCACTCTTCTATGTGTGTACATTGAATCTGTCGAGGGGCTGCCATGTGCAACAAACTATCTAATCCATAATTTGTGAATTGATCTATCAAGATCAAACGTAAGTAACCGTCGGTATTGACAGCATTTTACCTAAAGTTTAATTAATTCCGACGCGGCGACAAAAGCCGTGTCGTGAAGGGCCGCACATTGCCATATGATGAGTGCAGGGGAAGATCGACATTTGTGGAAGAGAAAGAGGAAAATGCTACTGCAGAAAGAGAACCTGCGAGCTGGTATAAGCGCGATGACTGAACATGAGAGAGAGCATTACGAAGGTCCGTCAATCATTCCACTCCGAGGTTGGTGGGTGTTTTAATATATTCTAGTAATTATTTGAACATCTTCTGCATCCATGCCTATACTGGAGCGGGCGGGAGGTCACATACATAATCGAGGAGACCAAAGTGTTCAGACATGGAGACATCGAATAGTGTGCCTAGGCGATCGAGACGCTCCCGTATTTGACGGTTCTTAGTGAGTAGAATGTTACTTAATTACCCGCAAAACGATAGCACCGTGAATACAGCTTTTGATAGGAGGCATTTCCTGATGAAGCCAAGCTCCAGCATGTAGAAGAAGCAACCCAAAAGCCTCAGCACTCTCTGTGCAAAAGCAAAAGAAAACCATTTTTTCGAACCTTCTTATCCTAGCCTAACAATCTGATTAACCTTTCTTTCGGCCCATCTTGTTTGCGCCTCAAAATCTGCGCGCTCCGTTCCAGTAAGACTTTTCAATCCTTCCTTTCTAATCCCACCAAACATCTCAAGCGCCTCGTCGTATGTCTCATTGGAAGTCCATCCATCACGACTCACAAACCCAGCTAATGAATCCCAGAAATCTGCTCGCTCGTCCCAACCCTCACAGTCTCTACAGTGAGCCTGCAGTTCCTCTTCTGTGAAGTGTATTGGACAAGGAGTATTGAAGCCTAATTCGTCCCAATGCCTGTGTATTTTGCATGTCAATAATTCCAAACATAATAGAACGAGGGGGAGACCAAACGTTCGATCCGAATAAGACATTGTCGAAAAGGTATAATATCCCCATCCCAAGTGTTCGAGGCAAACTTTACTGTTTCTCTCCTTGTTAGGCCATGATGTATGCGTAGAATCTCGCTGAGCAATGGATTATTTTTATCGGTTTCCGTTTCGTAAGTGTACAGGATAATAGACTTTTCAACTTGCTTTCTCGTACGAGTTTTTTCATCGCCCTGTTCGAGGCTTTCATAGTCCTCTGGGAGTTTTAGTAGCACCTCGCCATTATAATGCACGAGTTTTGGATTCCGGAATTGTAGGAATAAAGGGCCAGCCCATGTATCCTGCCAGTCGATGAGACTAGTGATTCGATTGCCTTCCACGAAGAGATTTGCGGAATGGATATCCCAATGCCAAAGAGTAGAGCAGTAAAGCCTTTTCTTTTCGGGAAAGAGGTATGGTATAGTACTTAAGAACATTTTGTAGAGTGAGATGTGAGAAGTGGGCGAATTCTGAGCCTTAGATGATATCAATACATCTTTTGGCGCTCTTGGAACAGCAAAGCTACTTATCCAAGCTATCTCCCGATTAGCTATCGCTGTTAGGTAATCCTGTGGAGTTTTCCCTACATATTGGCATAAGAAAGTGTAGTTATATTTAAGTTCAAAAGGATTGAATTTACAAGGACCTCGGTCAATGTCCATCGACGCACGTCTTCCATTCCAAAAATCCCTATCAACAACTGGTCCGATGACAAAACGCTCTGCCACGAGTCTCTTTAATTCTGCAGGGATATCACCCACAATCTCAGCTGCTTCACATCCTGGGAAAGAATCGTTTGCGAAGTAAATATTGCCATACCTAATCAAATATTAGTACTATTTTTGGACACCATTTCCCCCAGGGAATACATACTTTTTGAAAGACGCTGAAAGTAGCTTCTTCTCAATTTCTACTAAGCCATCAACAATCTCCGTTTTCTCAAAAATTGTTTTGCCGGCCCAGACGTCCTCCAGCTTTGTTCCTGGTGCCTCCTCCATTATAATATACTCGGCTTCTACAGGATTGTTTGCTGATGCGCTCCAAGCAAAAACTTTTGGAACGGGTATGTTCAGTACCGCTCTAGCCTAGATAAAAAAAATACGTTAGTCAACATCCCTTTGTAATATCAATAGAAAAATCCCACAAAATCCATAGTTGCGACTTCAGAAGCAGTCGTTTATAGGCAGGATCAGCGTTCGGATTTGGAATACGTGCAATGACAACAGAACCATTGTCCATGACTAGTCGGAACACCTTGTTGTAACCGCCTTCAGCGAATTTGGTTATGGACACACAGGATTGCGCCTCAACGCTTTCGGCTGCAATGCGCTTGAGCTCCTGCACATTGAAAACTAGGAATCGCTCGCGCTGCTGGCTCTCTTCATCCCATAGCCAGCGGCCACTTGTTTGGCGGAAGAAGTGCTCATAAGGTGATGCTGAATTCGTAGATATTACTCGTGACAGATTATGGCGGATGTTGTAATTGAAGCAGGGTAGCCTCTTTCTAGATCTCGGAAGATAATCTTTGATGAGAAAACCGAGCATCGGTCGATGAGGAATGCGAGCAAGATAATGCATTTTGGCTACATAAATCTGGATAAATAAAGCAAAGATGGTGGTCTCAGCTTTTGATTTGATGGAGGAGGGTAAATTAGGAGAGCAGCTTGGTGTCACAGACCAGAGAGGCACGTGGTTACGTGACCTTGGGCTCAGTAATTGGATTGATTAAAGTAGGATAATAAAATTGTTAGAGGTCATTATCATTTCATATGATCTGGAGGTATATTGGTAGCCGTCTCCAAAAAAAAGACTACAAGTGATTATTGATGACCTCGACACAATAGTCTCTGAGGTGTTACGAGGTTTGCCGTCTAGATCACGTGGAAGTGCTCTAGGCTCTCGAGGTGGTTTATAACTAAGCGTCAAGCAGGGACTTAAGTAATGACAATAATGATATGCAATTCGTAACTAATAGTAGAGTATACTAAATGATTGATCTTGAGCACGAAGCTCTATACAAAGGAAATCCATCTTGATTATATAGACCTTTGTGTTCTGGCTCTAATGACTCTAATTAGATTCTCTAGAGCCGGTCACATGATGGCTCTGATCCCGTGATTAGTCATGTGATGCGGGAATATGTTACCCGTCGTAACAACAAGATACTTTTTAAATTACGATTTATATATTAATACCTATTTGATTGTTTGTATTTGAGATATAAAATATAAATAAACTTATCACATCTGAAAAGAATAATATCCATTTGACGATTTCGATTCCTGCAGAGGGAAACTGATAGACGGATTCCGCATGGGATTTGATTGTATATAACCACCATCACAGTGGCAGATGGGTCTCTAGGTAATATGATGATATTCTACAAGGAAGGAAAGAAGGTGCTAGAAGGAGCGTGGGCTATATAGGAAGAGGAAGCCGTATGCACTCATTTAGGCTAAGCAGAACGGGTTGAACTCGTGACAACTACGAATATTTATTTAATATATTATACAAATTGAGATAAGATATAAAAAGTAAAACTAACACTTAATTACATAAAACAAATAGAAATGATCAATGAAAAAAAACGACTGTCTAAACTATTGGGGAACAAAAGTCCGAATAGAAAGTGACGCGATATCGATCTTTAGATTTTTAATCGAAATAATATATAATGTTACGAGGTTTGCCGTCTAGATCACGTGGAAGTGCTCTAGGCTCTCGAAGTAGGTTTATAACTAGGCGTCAAGCAGGGACTTGAAGTAATGACAATAATGATATGCAATTCGTAACTAATAGTAGAGTATACTAAATGATTGATCTTGAGCACGAAGCTCTATACAAAAGAAATCCATCTTGATTATATAGTCCTTCGTGCCTATGGTTAACTAGGAATCGTCGTTCCTGGGAACGAGCGTTCCTGGTTGTTCCTAGGAACGTTCGTTCCTCACCGTTCCATCACATGTTTTATGGTCATGTGACATACTAATCGTTTTGGACGTAACATATAAACACTATTACACTATAAACAATATAAAAAAGAATACTAATTGAAACAATAAACAAGATATCAAAGTTATTGATAAATAACTTATAAGTATCTGCATCGATGAACTATATATATTCCACCACTGATCGCACTGTATAATCCTTCTTCGAATCAGGATGATATCTTGTCTAAGTAGGTTAATGTGACGCCTCACACCTCCGGGTCACGTGGCATGCCCCGTTTGTATTTAATCATAGGAAAACTCTCTACTCTTGTTTTCCTTCTTCTTTTCTCCTTAGCTTAGTATTTTCTAATACAAGATACTTTACCCAGTATTCTTGAGTGTGACAGTTAATTTACCTACCGGACTCGACGAACCCAAGTAGGCATCAGACCAAATGTCGCACCCCCTTTGTTCTGCCGGTCACGATATCGCTGCGATGATTTAATACGCGCAGGTATGTATAGTAAGACCTTACAGATTTCTGCTTATAGGATATATCAGATACACTAGAACAGAACACCATCATTGAAGTAGATTTTGCAAAGTGAATGAATGCCCGGTATAAGATTGGGTAGATCTAGATCTAGATCAAAATAATGGTAATTTTTGAGGATATTACAGCTTTCTCCCTCTCTATCGGGCATTCATTCTTCATGAAAGCTTTTAAGCCTTTGTATCAACTGTAACTTCATCTCATTATGAGGTATTGCAAATAAGCATGCGTAGCCCCATACAAAGCTACCCATCACCAACAAACTGTATAGCAATAAAATTGAGCAACTTCCTTGGAACCTGCAAGCTTTGAGAAATATATTATAATTCCACTTAAATCTTTTTATCCATTCACATCGCAGGAAAAGTGTATAGAATAGTATGTAATTCTTATCATGTTTCTACGGCTACTGCTGATCTTCATAGAATATCATTTCGGAAACATAATTACTAAAAATAACTGGTAAAGAGTTTAACTACTACCATGACTTTGAATGTAATTGGCTCTATCTATATATATCCATATCAAAAGAATGTACAAGCCAGGACCAAAGCTCCAGGTATACTTCAGTTTCGATTGGGGAAAGTACTTTTGACAAGCAAAAGTTCTTTTAAGCTTACAATCCCAATCACAAGCCTGTCATGGAAAGGAAGATAATCAAAAAGATTGTATGTGGCAAAATGGAGACAAATTGGATGTCTTTGGAAGGACATTCGAGAGGAGTTTGCTGGTTGGATTAATTAATGGATATAGTATTGACATTAAGGATATATTTAGATCATTATAAGAATCCATATATTGATACTTGAAAAAATCTAGATACTAATCATCACGTTCTATATTTAATGTAAAAGGGCCGAATAAATAAGGGTTCAATTGTATCTTCATATTCTACAATGGCTATTCGAAAACTCGAAAAGTCGAAGTTGGAAATGATCAATCATAGGCACTACATGCATGATCGAACCATGAAAATCAAATCACAACGACATATACAGATTAAAATATCAAAACAACACTTGACCGTTCCCACAATCTCATAGGATGATTGCAAGAAGCCCAATTAAGATGATAAACTTCATCACCATAACAAGAATCTTCACTTTAGTAATAATTAAACTAAGACACATTAATTAATCCGCGCCAATACCGTGCGTAGCTGTTGGCAACTAAGAAACGATTTTTGATGGTGGTTCTCCAGGTATTCATGCAGGGCTACTGCACTTCAGACTCTGCGCTCCACACATATCTACCGGTGTTGAAAGTGGATGAAGTATATAAAAAGACATGACTGCATGTAAATATAACATCATAGCTTATTAGCTTTCCTGAGTGGATATTCATGTAAGTCGTAGTAAATATCTTTAGTTGATGATAAGAACAGAAATAGGTTGGCTAAACTATGCACTGGTAGGGTATCTGATGTATAAGACCACGACGTTTTCGCCGTAAATGTATAGTTCCCCGCGATAAGCTCATATGATGCGGAGAAAAAGATTTCACATAGAAATTTCGGGTATTTCGGCAAGCTCATCATACCATTTTAGCTACTCCGAATCCCGAATTCTACCATGATTTTCGCATCCCTGTGTGGGAAGAAGGTCGGATTGCAACGTCGTACGGATTTGCTGAGTACCGAGTTCGAACTTATTAGGCTGTTGGGGATTGTTACTCGAATTGCTAGAAGATGTGCAGGCGTGGATGTCTAAAGCAAAATAAGACGATGCATTGATGATTCAACGAAGAAGAACCGTACCGATCTGGATCGTTGGGTATATATTTGTGTACCTGAGTAAACCGTGACCTTAAAATGGTACTGCTAGCCCTATAACTGTATAGGTTTTGAGAGGCATGTAATCTAATCGCTTCGCCCCGAACTGTTTATGGCCTTTATTCCAGGCGTGATTGATGAAAACCTTGATGGTTCACCGCAAACGAGCAAAATAAGACTGTACTCGTATCTCTCTCTCAATGTCATAGGGAACAAAGTACTTCAAGCTCTGCCAGCGCTTACGGAAGTCGTAGAGGATCTTCACGGTTTTTCTTCAAAGACTTTGATCGACGAGCAGTGGAGAATGATATCTCTTTCACTATACCAAATGGGCCAAATGTACAAGTAAGAGCGACGTGCAGGTGTGAAGACGTGCAGAAAAGTTTACCCACCTGATATCAATTCACGTGCTATGCATGTTCCCTTCGGGATTGAATAATATCTCACACGGAGTTGCATCCTAGGTAGCCGACCGCACGAGCATGTCACATCTGTAAACGGCTAGTATCCTCGGTGGCTTTATTGGAGCCGACTCGGAGGACCATTAAGGTGTTGAGATAACCTGACTATCAATCACAAAATAGTAAGTAAGCAGGCTATCGAAATTCTCTTCCGTCGTGATCATATAATGCTTCCACTCTTGGTAGCACAATTGGATCACAGCTATTCCGTATCTTCAATGATAACGGGTATACTTCTCTTTCTTAGCTTTGGCTTTAATGCTACATTTATTGCATCTCTGCTGCATTATTTATATATAGGTACGGAGTATAGTGTATAGTACACATGAGAAGGTATATGGGGTTCATGATAACGAACGGTTTTGGGTGCTTTCTCCGAAGTCCAGGGCATAGAATCATAGGTAGATAGATTAATGGGAATCAGAGCGGAGTGGATTTAAGGTCGGATCCACCTCCCACGCAAGTGCCATTCAATCATTGTGATTGATTGTGGGGAACAACGGAATACCCGATCACTTCGCTTCACTTTTCACACCGCTTCGAATTACAACCGTGACCATTACTGGAACTTGCATTTCCCATTCCCGAACCACATTATTGGCATGAGAATTTGGAAATGTGTGGGGAGCAAATGATAGAAATGAAATTTCAATTAATCAATATAGTAACATGGTAACATAGTAACATTTTTTTTCTCGATTATTTCGAAAATATATCTAATCTTTTGCGACATCAGCCGTTTAGAAGGACCCGAGACAAAACTAACCCCCCCGGCCCATAACTGTCAGAAAGCCCCCGTCTGTCTCAAGATAGCGGCTATTTCTCGCCCATATATATCAGATGGCAGGTTCATCAGGTTTGTCAGGTATATTTTTGTCATTTTGCAGGGCTTACATTCATGCAAAATACATTTATGGTACAACATGAGATGATGAAAAGCATGATGAGATAAATCTGAATGCTATTAATGTGGCCATTAATCAATCATGAGACGGGTGGCTTTATCCGTCTACGCGATGACTGCGGCGTATTTGAAAGTTTAGACAGTTCTAGCTGTCAGTTTGTAACACAGAACCGATGGCTAGACAACGATATTAGCCACAGCTATTAATAACCAGGTACGAGTACGAGTGGTTATCGATCATCAAATGGTACACTCCGTTCACGTATTATATACATACATACATATGCAATAAAGTATCATAAGCCACAGGTAATGTTACATGTGGATACCCAGTAGGACACATTGAGTCTTGATGATGAACATGCAAAGAACGTATTTGAAATTGCCTATATTTACCATTCTCCATATTCCCAAGGAATGAAGTCATGTCTCCCCATATTGAGTCTTCAATTGGTTTTGCTTTTGACATTCCTTTCCCAGGGAATATCGAAAATGGTCCAATCTCTGCTGATGATACTCTTCGCTCTTCTCTCCTCCCATGTATGATCGATGTCGCTAAATTGTTGAAGAAATGATGTATTGGGTTCAGAGGGAGACAACTACGGATGAATGACAGCTCAGTAAAGGTTCATGAGGAGGTTTAGCCTCTTCTGTGGTGTAGTACTTGCAGGAACCGAGGGTTCAAGGATATGGCTCTGTGGCATGGATTATGGATTTATATTCCTGGCCCGATTTCAATCATTCCTGGTAATACACGACCCGCCACACGATTTGCCGACAACTCCGCTATAAAAAAAGAGACGAGACATTTTGAATGTGATTTATCCCTGCTGTAGCATTGTACCCTTATCCACAACCTATTAACTGCACCTTTAAGCGCCGACACCTTCTGCAAAGAATCCAATCATCAGCCCTTTCATAAACTATCCCCAATATCCACCATTTTTTATATCCAATGATACTCTTATCAACTTTATCACCAATAATACCATATTCCTCTTGCCGTGCAATATTTGTCTGTAGCCAGAATGAGATCTATTGGATCTCTATTCGATTCCAGCTATCCTAAATTGGGGAGTATCTTCAGAGAAGAGACGGAAAATTGCCCAAAACAGATCCGTCACATCCATCCGTGTGCACATGAAAGGCCCCGTTTTGTGCATTTCAGTCCCGTTCTGCATGCCAGTGGCTGCAGATCCAAGATGTAGATATCATGGCAACCCAAAGACAGAAAAGCGCAGTGCCTAGGTATATTTTTTTATCATTTACCTCGCCCCCGCTCATGACACCCATTCACTCTTCTGCCCTGTTGATTCTTAAACCTCTCAACCCGCAGATCTGGGAACTCTTCTCAGAGACTTCCAACGACCTGCCTTAAAACATTAACACGTCTCATAACTCCGAAGATCTCACAGATTCGATACCAACTTTGTGTATTACCTCAAACCTCAACCTCATCAGACATCACGGATCAGACGACGTCCGAATCTTTCAAATGTCTTGATACAACGATTACCGGGTCCTCCTTACAATAACGAGCTGTCATCTCATCTCTCTACCGCATAATATTCCCCCGCCGCTCGGATGCCCGCTGTCAGAAAAGATCAGATAATCATCTCAAGGGCTTTTCCCTTCAAACAGAATCTTAGACATCCTGTCATTATCTTGACCAGGAGTATCCAGCCTGATACAAGCTACGAGGAAGAACATTTCCTCCAGCCCAGTGATCGCGCTCCTGGTGCGTGGGGATATAGGTAGAGATACGCCTCGCTGTCAACGGCTTTTCACAACAGCGCTGTGCACTCTTCATCGTCGATAGCATTCTTTTACGGTTAACGCAATTCACCTTCGTTATTCACAATTCCGCTGGCTCGGGAACTTTTTATTTATAAAGATTTTTAAACGATACAACGAACAGTACCAACGATACCCTTTTGTTATTTCTTATACCTTACGACTCGATACCCAGAACTTCTTTCACATAATACCAGTTCTTTCTTCATTCAAAGATATAATGGGAAGACTTATCAAGAATCATTGGGCACGTCTAATAGTCCTCACTGCCGCCATCTGTTAGTATTCACTAATATTAATTTCATCTATACATAAGGCTAATGAGAGACACTCTAGATCAAGTCGCAGCCGCCATCGAGGGATTCTTCTGGCCCAAGGTCTTCTGGGATTTCCTCACCAAGAATCTCGACGGAGCAGTTAAACCCATTCCGATACTACAAATAATAAACTTGCTCTTCGGTCTGTTTATGCTAGCTTGGGAGTGGCCACTTGGATTTTTAGTCGGCACTGCCTTTCACCGCAGCATAGAGGCTCGACTCGTTGTCCTTCCTTTAACGGCCTTGGCAGCCGCGTTACTATACCAAGCGACCAATCCCGCCATTTACTATACAATTGCGCTGGTGGTATATTTCTGGGCGTACAGCGAAGGAGAAGTAATAGTCGGGGTATGGAAACTTCCACCTCGACGATCTACATCGGGGAAAGTATAGTAGAAAAGATGAACGAAACGAAACGACTTGAGGGATGGAAAATGGAAGAATGGGAAATGGCAGGGAGGGAATATTGGGCATCGGTATTGGCATGGACATATATAAATGACTATGACTTCTCAGTCACCCAATTGCACAGAAGGAGTTGCATATCAGGGTTGGAGTTTCTAGGGACTTTTATTTATGCATCAGCGACCGGCGTTTAATCATGGGTGTGAGCAATGTGGGATGGAAGAGATGAATATTGATGAATACGGGGATGAGATGATGATGAGATGAGGATGAAGTTGGAATGTGGGACATGATTGAAATTGACTACATTTGATAGTCATTTTGAACTAAAATATACCGTCTAATCTATTCCACATCTGGCATGGAAATAAGTTGATCTTGAATAGAAATAGAGAAAGGTACTTCAAGAGATAAATACATACATGTATACTCAATTTAAATACTATAATTTATACTATATATAATACATATAATATACAAATCAACTGTTTAATATAATATGAATCCACCCCCATCTCCCGGGGGTTGGGGGTGAGGGGGCAATGTTCTGGCAAATACTAATTATACTTTATCTACAAACCTTCTCTGTATTATAGAATACTCTATAGATAAATAGATACCTAGGTAGTTAGATATTTATACATACCCAATCCGGTGGCCGGCCTGGTAGTTGAGATATGAAATCTAGATGGATGTAGAAAAGTATTTATGTATCTTATGTACCTACCTGGCCTGGCTGGGTAGTAAGGTTATCTAAGTATCTAGTATCTAGTAGAACAGAACAGACAGGGTGGGAAAATGAAAAAATTTTCTCGAGTGTATTGGGTAGGTGGATGGGTAGTTATTTATATCTATATATATATATATACACTCCATATGATAGGTACTTTATGGAAAGTACGGGTTATATTCGGTAGATGCTTTAAACTTATTGTTTTTCTTTCGAGGGATGTGATGGGGATGGGTAGGTTGGTGGGTATTATATCATTTGGTGAGATTTATAAATATACTAGGTAGTATCGTGATGGATATGGTAGGTAGGTACCTAGTAGGTATCTACCTCCTAGGTACATAAAAAGTGATTTTCTACTCCCGCCGTGATCATCCTTCTTGCATGGTCTTGAGCTTTCCTTTTCAACGTTTAGATAGTATCTATAGGACACATTTGGTATATAATCTACATCAATTAATTGCAAGACAAAACCAAAAATAATGCATGTCTGGATGAATGGAATGGATGGATGGATGGATGGATGAATGGATTTTACTTTTTTTAAATTGAGCATCTATAGCTACTAGCTGTTGGTCTAGTGTCTTACCCGCTACTAAGTAACCGATAACATGTCATCAAATTTGACTCATGACGCTGCGTATTTATCTTCCCATCCTTTCCTGCAAAAGTATCAATCAATCCATATCTCCAGCAAAAATCGTGCCATGTTGTGTCATGCCATATCATGTATGCAAATAATATCATTTCTTCATATCCCATCCCATACCGTCCGTGCCCAACCATTCGCCAACTCCAATGTGAATACTCTAGTGAGCAGCCATGGGCCCCATGCTATCGTTCTTGGGACCAGTCTTTTCCATCGCCTGTGAAGGTTCATGTTAGCATTTGTTTGATGAAATGTGTAGGGGGGAAGAAAGAAAGATGGGAATAAACATACAGGCCCGTGTTGCGCATCGCCCTTCTCAAGTATAACCTTGATAACCTCGTCGTCGACCTTAGTTCCAAACTCATTCTCTAATTGAGATACTGAAGCTTCATCGAGACTTCCTTGAGCTCCATGCCTAGAAAAATGCAATGTTAGTTTAATGATCCATAGAAAAAACAAGGTGGATTTGATGATTTTCCGCACTGTAAAGAGTGCTAGTATAATAGCTGAGATATACAGCATAGTGTGGGGTAATGAGAAGAAAAGCTTACTTGTGTGTGACGAAGACCTTGAAAAGCCCAACGACTTGTGCAAGAGGAGTACTCTTATCTCCCTTCCACTTCTTAAGATCTTCCTCTGAGTCTACAAAGACAATGAAGTCCTCATCGGTCTTGGTACCCTTGTAATGAATCTTAGTTTGGTTTCCTGATACCTTCATGATTGCGGTGTTGTGATTGATTGATTCTTGGTTGAAAGAAAGTAGATGGTATGTATGTAACTGAGGTAGTGATTGATCGTTTGATATTCGCAAGTTGAGTTTGTTTGAATGTTTAGATGTATGAAGAAAAAAAGATTTATAGAAAGGGGAACGTTGGCTAGTTTTGTAGCTCAATCGACACAGAGTCAATTGTTGGCAGCTGCAGCTTCGTACCTGGCGAGATTTGAACCCCTCATTACTATGACGTCATCTTCCAGGTTTCACTTTGACCTCAGATCTCACACGACTCATTTTTTGGATTGTCGAAGTGGGTTTACTGGGTATCGTAATTCCATTTCTGTGCCTTACTTTTGCTTGGAATCTTATGGATGATGGATGGGTTAGAGAGAATTAATGCGTGTCATACAGTAGTCGGCGCCAACCGCTTGACAATGTTGGGATGGATCAATATATTAAGCCCCACAATGAATGAATGATGAAAGGTGCTACGTCACTGCCAAATTAATTTTAATGTAGAAGTTAACTTGCAAAATAATCACTTGGTAATGGTAAAGCAATTAACATGGTTATTGTCGCGTCAAGAATTATCCCGCGGCTAATTGAATTCTCATGTCCTGCTTGTGATAGAACAAATATACCAGATATTTCTAGATGCTTCTCTTCAAGCCCGCTTCACTTACCCAGTATTCATTCTTACGCGCAGACCTTGAGCCATTCCTAGACTAACCGTCACTCATAGGAACGCATAGTATACGAAGTAAGAAATGACATTCAAGGGAAATCTCAATTCTTCTTAGGAGATATCTATCAGTCGCGGAGATATTCACGCTTCCACTATCCACAGGAGTCAGAATTAATTCATTCAATAGGAAGTTATCCTGAAGAGAATCTCACAAAATCTATAATATCCTCAGCGGATTCCGCACCAGGCTCTGACAACCACTCCCTCAATTGCTCTTGGCCAGCAGCTGTAGCGGCAGTACAAGCCAATTCCGGAATGCTGTGACAAATGTCACTGAGGATATTCCTCGTATGCTCGGTCATGGCATTACCGACGTTGTTAAATGGTAGAAGCTCATATTGAGCATCAACCCCTTTGAAGGGTGGAACAATACAAAGTTGTCTCTGAAAAGTTTGGACCACTTCGAGGAATTGTGAGATTGATGGCAAAGGCAAAATTGGAATCTCGAAAGAAGACATCAGGCTAAATAAAGCTATGTTAGTAAGAATTATCTTTCATCTTCCGATTGACGTGTCTCATGTACCTGATTTGGAGGTTTATATATTCTTTCGTGCCATTATCGCTACTTTGCTTTTCGTGAAGAAGAAAAATGATTCCTACGTTGCGGCCCCCGGTTTGGTGATAGAGTCTTTCGATCCGGGCGAATATGTTGGAAGATGACTGCATATCAGATGAAGATAGCAAGAGCACACGGAAGAACTCTCGCTCGTCTCCTTTGCTTGGCCATATTGGAAGTGATAAATCATGGGTGTTCAGAGTTGTCTCTATGTAGTTGTCAGTATTCAGGTTGAGATCCATTTTAAGAACCGCACCTTTCCATTTTGGCATTTTTTCTATAAGTAAAGTGGAAGGCAATGTAGCCCATTCTTGTCTTTTCCGTAGTGATGAACAAAACATAGTTTCATTTACGCCGTCGATTGGTTTAGATTTCTTGTTGAAATTTGTTGTTAGGATACAAACATAGAGCTGTACATCAAAGAGCGGAAAAGATGCACCTTTCGTAGTGCCAGATTTGTACAAACCGGGGAAGTTCCCAGAATTCAGCAACAATCACTAGAGAAGTTATCTCAAGGGATGTATAAAAAGCGGTAATTGTTCACATGCTTCACATTTTGATGAGTTGAATTTGTATATCTAAAGATCCAAGAATGTCCAGTCCTTCTTCCTATATCGCCCGACGTAGATCAGACGAGATAGACATCCTAGGGAAGCTTCTACATCCTTCCCCTTCAGATTCCACCGCTCACCCTTCCAGGTCCCCAAGCTCCGGCCCATAGGTGGTATCGTATACTCAACGAGTATGCTTCACTCCTCTCAATAGGGAGCCAGCGGGTCGAAGAGGACTTTCCATGCCCAACTCCATTCACGCATTTCTGCCGAACGGACAACCGATATATTTAAAGGTGTTTCCACCTTCTATCGACAATGGGATCAAGTTCTTCACGCAGGTTAATTTGTGATGTTCTGCATAACAATACAAGATTCAAGATCTCCATGCCAGCCTTTTCTTTCCATTTACACTTCGAATTTCCTCCAAAAGTTGTTCTAGAGCTTCTACCCGCTCCTGTTGCCTTTTCTGTGCTTCTTCTAACTCTTTCTGCCGTAGGTTTAACTCTTCTTCGAGCTTCTGTAGTTCTGCCAGCTTTTCTGCATTCGAATCGGGTTTCGACTGAGTCCTTATATACTCGTACATTAACAAGCTTATAGCGACAGACAGAATGAAGGTATCGCCAATAACGTCAGCGAAAAGATCAACGGCTTTCGTCTCATTCAAAGGTCTGAATTTCCGTCTCCAAACACTAATGTTTTCTTGACTGTAATGATGTGCCTTTTTTGCAGCCTCTTCCGCTTTACTTTGCTCTTCAGTTTTCACAGTGGGAGTTTCCGCTTTTTCTCTGGCTCTTTTTTCGGCTTGTTTGTCCCGTAGGAGGTTCACTTGTATTCGCATGTTCCATTGATGCAGTGCTTGTCCTCCTCTAGCCGCTACCGCTCGGAATCTTTCGTGCTCATGAGCCTGCCTCTTAATCCAATTCTATGGGACATTAGCTTGCATTCCTAGAATATTCTCGGAATATAATTCCTAGCTTGATACATACTGCACCATACTTAGAGATGTGCCTCACGAAGAGGGATCCTAGTTTGAATAGAGGGAGCGCGACCATAATGACAGGTTGGAAGCTTTGGAGATGCTTCTATATTGCAGACACCATTGGGATGTCGAAAAAGATAGATTTGAGCATTAATAATGTGCCATTGTATAACAAACTCAACCAGATATCAAAGCCACTATCAGGCAAGATATGTGAGAGTTTAAGTTAGTCAGCCTAGTCCTGCGGCATACCTAGTAATTATTTTGAGGTGTCAGAGTAAAAAAATAAGTGGAGTAATTTTTGATGGAGTCACCGTATTATGTAATTTGTACTGTGTTGTACTCGTACGTGTACTCCGTAAAGAAGAAGGAGCGTTGCTGTGTCAACCAAAAAAATTCGAGCTTGTTCACGCCCTGACCAGCGAAGCCTTTCGCGGAACCCTTCGAGGCTGTTTACAATCGATAAGTCAGTTCAACCCCATGAAGGAGAACATTATTCCCCCATTCGCTCATCTTTGATCTGTCAGCCTCATCAATTCACTGTCCTTGGTCATTCGACAATCTTGACTGTAAAATTGCTAAATAATCAGGAGAGAGAGAATATGTATTCGGAAAACAATTAAACTCTGATTTGTAAGTATCAATTCTCATTCAACAAAATTATTCAATCATCGGCCATGGAGGAAGTCAAAATACACCAGTTATCTCAACATTGGACACCGAAAATTACCTTGGTAGCAACATCAATTGCAGAAGAAGCCAAACAGAGACAAAGACCATCTCTGACACAAGTTTCCGAGTTTTCGAAGGGACATGGCTGCATGCTGGGGCAATATGTATATGATTATCCAGGAAGTGGAGACAAATGGCACTTGGAACTTCGATATTCCAAACTCATATGGCAGACAATACCTCTTGGAGTTGAAATTCTAGATGTCATAGGATGTGTTCTTTCTCAGTCCAGCAAATTTCCCGCAAATTGTGATCGAAAATCACCAAGAAATTGTCACACTATATTATTTTTTACTGACTACTGTACTATTCAGGGTTATTGCGCTCACAACAGTACTGAATTGGAAAAGTTCCATGAGCTCATTCAGTTGGATCTCGAATTCAGGCGATTGCAAGTTGACAATAAATGCAACGGACAAACGTACGAACAATTCACTGAAGCGGCTTTCATAAACATCAACCATTACCTCATCTGGGTCCAAGAATTTCCTTTGAATGAAGAAATGGAGGCACTATCACCCAGAGACGTCAATACGAACATCCGAACGAAACCAATGGCGCAGAAAGCACCTCCCCCAGCTAAGCTAGCAAGAGAAAAGGATCATCCTCCACCGCCGCCTAGTGAGGTACCAGAACCACCATGTTCAGACCGAAAGAATGGTTCCATATATAAGACCGGCCGCTGCCTTGGAAAAGGAGGATTTGCTATTTGTTACGAGGGTCAACTCAAAGGGACAAGGAAGAAGTACGCTTTGAAGATTGTCAAAAGCCACATGTCACAAAAGAAAATGGAGCAGAAGGTTAGTTCAGTGACCCTCAATCACACCATCATAATTTAAACCCTTGTGACAGTTCCAAACCGAGCTTCAAATTCATTCAAAAATGAATCACCCAAATATTGTTCGGTTTCACCGAGCATTTTCATATGACCAATGCACTTATATTGCGATGGAACTTTGCCCCAATGCTTCGTTAATGGATATGGTCAAGAAGAGAAAATACCTCACGGAGCCGGAGGTTCGTTTCTACACTGTTCAGATCGCTGGAGCTATCAAATATATGCATGCGAGAGGTATAATACACCGTGATCTGAAGATGGGAAATATATTTTTAGATAAGGATATGAATGTGAAAATTGGTGATTTCGGCCTTGCAGCATTGCTCATGTCGAATAAGGACATGGCCGCATGTCGGAGGACAACTTTGTGTGGAACTCCCAATTATATTGCGCCTGAGATTCTATCCAAGAACAATGGTGGGCACGATCATGCCGTTGACATATGGAGCTTGGGTATCATTATGTCAGTCAACATTTCCTTCAGTATGAAAGTCTTTATTCTAACCAAAATAATACAGTTTTGCTATGCTTACCGGGAAACCACCATTTCAGTCCGCTACAGCTGATGAGATTTATCGACGAGCCAAGGAAAGAGAATACACCTGGCCACAACACTTCGTTGCTGCCAACATGATTTCACCTGAAATTCAAGATTTGGTTTCCACCATGCTACAGGACGCAGAAGAGCGACCTCATCCAGATGTCATCGTTCAGCATCCATTTTTTACCTGCGGTTGGATGCCCCAGGTTGAAGAGATGAGCGCTGATTTACTAGAGGATCCTCCTAGGCCCGATCAATTCCCGTCGGTCGTTATCAAACCTGGAAGGCCAAATCCGTATGCTCGAAGTCTTAAGAAATTATGTATCAAGTGCGAAGTTGGTCCTTGGACTCCAAAGAAGCAGTACACCAGTCTATATAAGGAATGCGCTTTAGAGGAGAAAGCCGGCCTCACTCCTCATGTACCTCTAGCCGAGGATATTGTCTACCGTCCATATGCAGAATGGATCAGAGAGCAAAATGAGCAAAACATCGAAGAGAAAACTGCAATAGAGCCGGAGGTGTCTAGTACGGTTGTCGAATCACTCATTGCAGACATTGCAGAGTCGACCCTTGCGCCACTAGCTAAGAAGCCAATATCACAAAGAACAGTTTCCCAAAGGGCTGTTAGTCAGAGTTTTGCCGCGCAGCAACGCGTCAAAGATCAGCCCTCAAATACTGCTACAATTAGAGGTGCCCTTCCTCGACGACCTAACCAGAGAGAAGCTAAGCTTAGAGAGACACCCACTAACACGATTACGGAGATCAAGCCCCGTGGCATTCTTAAGACGAAGGCTATTCCATCTGTTCCCCAAATCTCTTCCGAAGCTGAAGGACGCCTTGCTGCTGATCTGGTGGACGAATTGAAAAAGGCTGACGAAGAACGAAAAACACAAGAACTAAAGAAGCAGCATTCTACGAAGAAAGTTGTTTCGTTATTCTCGCCTCAAGAGAAGTTGGAGTGGCTGCCAGGCAGTAAACCAGATCACATCCTTGAAGGCCTACAACGCCTTCAGGTAGAGCTAGATCGAGCTTTAAACAGTAGATCAATCGCACCCACTCCCAAATCTAGGCCAGCGACACCTGCTATAGTCGTCAAGTGGGTAGATTATACCAACAAATATGGGCTTGGATATATTCTCAGCAACGGAAGCGTAGGTTGCGTCTTTAGGGAGACGCCTGCTGGTTCTCCGGAAAGTGAGGATAACGTCATTGCTCCGTCTTGCATTGTCATTCGTGACGGAGAGAGGCATCTAGCAAACCGAACCAACAAATCATACGTACATAGGCATCAGATTATCCCAATCTCAGGTCCAAATGTCGAATTCTATGAAAGTAAGGGTGAGAGGGGAATGCTTCGTGGCTCGGTACCTGCAAAGACTTATAGAGTTACTGAAAGTACTGAGGGTCGGCCTGGGAGACTTCCTCTGGGAGTAGATGCATTTGATAATCGCAAACGGGAGAAGATATGTTTGTGGAAAAAATTTGGTAACTATATGTTCGCATATGGTAGAGACGCCGAGTATCCTTACGAATCATGGACAGCCGGTCAGAACCCTGAAGCTACTGTGAACGGTACAGTTATCACTTTTTATCAACGATGGGGTGACGTCGGTTGTTGGGGATTTAGTGACGGCCATTTTCAATTTAATTTCCCGGATCATACTAAAGTCGTTCTTTCGGCAGATGGATTTTGGTGTGATTTCTATCACCTTTCTTTCGAATGTGCACGAGAGCTTACTGAGAAGGGCACGCTTCCATCAACTGCTCTCGATGAGCGACAACACCTTTCCTATCCACTTCAAACACTTCTGAACTTCATGGCAAAACCAACGAGGACAGCAAAACCCACAATACGCAAACGTCCTGAAATTGATCCAATGATCCAAGGTCTTCCCCAGGCGAATGACTTTAGAAGAAAGGTTGAATTCATCAGATGTGCAGTCAAAGAGTGGGTACATAATGGTGGTCTAGGAATCAGTGACATGGAACCTAAGACACGTTTACGATGGATGGGATATCGAGAAATTTATGATGATAAGAAGCTCAAGCATGTCTGGACAACGGTTGGGGGGCGCAATGGGGATGAGAGACGAGTTGCATGGTACGATCCTCGCAAACCGCAGGAGGTCATTTTTGACGCCGAAGTTAATGGAGTCATGGTTGAATGATTGGGTTTTTGGTCTTTTCCAAATTACGACAAATATCTTCAGTATTAGACACGTTCATGGCAGTATCATAACAACATCGCTGGTGGGAATCGGAGTTATATGGAGTAATAAACCGACATTTTGAGGAGTTTGGAGTCGATGGTGTTCGTTGTGCAAGACATGCACGGCGTTATTCATTCCCCATCATGAATGCATTTTGGTTGCTGTACTTTCATTATTTTTCAATCATCCATCAAGTTCAAATACCTTTTTGCATGCATAGCATCTGGATTGGAGTTTTTCTTCCTTCATGTAATATGAAGATTGATGAGCGAGCGGAGCTTCCTGGCTTTCTGTGTTGGTTTTAGGTCCTCTTCCCAGTTGCTAGTTTCAACTGAGATGGCGAATTATTTTCTCATCGAATGGTGGAAGGAATTAATTGCAGGAGAGGGTACTTATACCCAGATACCTTATAAGTTTTTACATACTAGATTAATCATATACATAAAGCGTATTATACATATTTATCTGTTTGTGTGCTTGTGAAGTTATGTATATGATTGACAGGCTGTTGGTAATAGTGTCAATAAATCATTAATTGTGACCAATGTACAGTGGAATCGTTTTTCATCATTTCTCGTTTAACTATCATACATCTTTCATACCTCGGAGTATCTCCAACTCTCTTTAAAACAGATCCATGTCTCGGTCCATGAATCAATCCTTCAGACACCCATACCCCACCTGGGTGCATTCAAAATAATCCCCATCAGACACCCCGAAATAATCCCCGTAACGGGCAACGTGATAATCCATCCCATATAAATCCACCCCACCATCCGCCAATTAATACTCTTCACATCCCCATTCACAAGACCAACACCAACCGTCGCCCCAACAATACACTGAGTAGTAGAAACGGGCAACGCAAGCCGCGTCGCCATAATCACCGTAATAGCCGATCCAAGCTCCATGCAAAATCCCCGCGACGGAGAATGTAACGTGAGTCTATTTCCCAAATTTCGCATAATATTGTATCCATAAGTCCACAGACCGATAACGAGCGCACCGGCTCCGTAACAGAGAATCCAGACCGGGACGGGCGATTTGGAATTTATGGATCCCGTGTGCCAGATGAAATAGATGGCGGCGAGGGGTCCAACGGCGTTGGATACGTCGTTGGCGCCGTGGGCGAAGGAGGCTGTGGCTGCGGTTAGTACTTGTAGGAAGGAATAGGTGTGTTCGGCTTTGTTGTCGTAGTGGGTTGCGCGGGCGTGCATGGCTTCTAGGTCGCCGGTTAGGATGGAGGATTTCTTTTGTTCTGCGACGACGTCGACGGTGACGCCGTGGAAGAAGAGTCGTTTGGCTGTGGCAAGGATGGTGGGCGGATCGTACCAGGGTTTTGGCGGTGTGGCGTCTTCGTTTGTGTGCACGGGAGTAGGTGTTATCTCGTTTCTTGTTGAGGAACCGATGTCTGATATGCCATGTTTCTCATTCGCGTCATCATTCGAACTCGATTCAACGTCACCACTGGGCACAGTTCTCACGGTATTCGGTCCTTCAGCGTCAAGCTCCGCACGAGTCTTGTGTCCCTTGTAATAATTCTGAATGATCTCTCGTCCAGAGGTATTGGGAGGGACCTCTCCACGTCGAAGTAGCAAAGGACCTTGAATAATATGCCACCAGTGGAGTTGCCAATCGTTGAGCATTAGTTTACGGTAGAGGAAAGGAATGAGAAAAATGACGGATAAGAGGGCGCATCCTATTGCAACACCGAAAATAACACCAACGTATTCACCGGGACCCCAGGTTTTGACAGCTTCTGATGCAGAAGCGGCACCTTTCCAGACGATAAGCACTGATCACATAAGTTAGATGTTGATCTGCAGGCTTGGCTTAAGCGAAGTATAAAGTGTGAACTTACTGGTTAATAAACCCGTGGTAAGCGCAAAATAGAATGGAATACTGATAAGGGCAGCCCGTACAGGATTCTTTCGTTTCATGACTGAATGCTTTGTGATCAGGAAGAGGATAGCTGCAAAACAACCCGCGATTCCGGGCGCGATGATCCAGGCCGCGAATACTTGTGATACACCATTCCAACCCCAATTTACTCCATCGCCGCCTATCGCCGCAATTCCTACTCCTATCACTCCCCCGATTATGCTGTGGCTGTAGGAATTTTCTCAGCATGATGTGTATTTGATTTGGACTAAAATAATACTTACGTAGTGGAAACAGGGAGACCTAATCTTGTGGCCAGTGTTAAATATAAAGAAGAGGACACAAGAGCACATGTCATCCCCAGCATCAAGACAGATGGTTCTGCCTCGAAAGCCTGGGTGGAAAGAATTTTCCCACGAATAGTATCTGCCACCCGAGCACTGAAAAAGTGTTAATATCGAGTATGTTGAAGCAATTGATAGATAGTGAGTGCAACATACCCAACACCAACGGCGCCACCAAATTCCATTACGGTAGCTATCATCATAGCTTGCTTCATGGTCAAGGATCTGGATGAGACGGATGTGGCGAAGGAATTCGCAACATCGTTTGCACCTGTTTTGGGTATCAATAATGGATGCGGGGAACTGAGGAGAGGATTGCCGCACCGATATTCCAAGCATCGAGGAAAGCAAAAATCATGCCAATGGCAAAGATGTAATCAAATTGTTCGAGGACCGCCATTTTGACTCAGACACTCAAACACAGAAATGACACAGGTTTGGCTTGATGGTTGTTGTATATCTAGGGAATCATATCTCTGAGGGAGATATACTATATATATTCATCAAGCCAAAGATGTAGAGCCGAATCTCATCTACCACGTCCCAAGAAAACTTTTCCAGGGCAGCATAGCTTTGTTCTCTTGGTAATCTTGAGTGATTCTCGGTATCATTAATCTCCCAAACGTTGTTGAAGTTCAAGACTTCTATTCATACTGATCAATTCCACGTTTTGTTAGCAACAACAAAGATTCAAAGCCCAAGAAATCCCAAGACAGTTCAAGGCCTTGGTATAAAAGTAGCGAGAACCTAAGAAGCACTACACGTGGACCTCCTGATGATCTTATTGGAGAATTGGACTTCATTTCACCATTATAAGTTCATGAGGCTGTGTTGATGATGGCATTCTCTAGTAATTTGAATTTTCCATCGCAGCTTGAAAGAAGATATTTTGCTGCGAAGAGCATGTGTATGAAAACGGTTTCCCATAGGCTGATATTGGGCTTGTGGCTGAAATGGTGTGGCTGAAAGACGAAAACTTGAATGCAATTTCATCATGACAACACTGGTAATGCCTCAGAGGTATATAGGCAGTTACGCATTATTCCGAAATTTGCCTCGAATGAATTCAAATTGATGTTGAGGGAGTCAACTGGTGACAACCGGCGAATTTTTGGGCTCAAGTGTTGACGAGACACAATTTAGTCATGTGACCGTAGAACTCGCAGACGCTAATAAATTCAACCAGCTCGACTCTGTTCGAGTACTACTCTTCCACTTGGGTTGGTAGGCTTTTGTGTGAATGAGTTGAATGATATGAATAATGGATTGGACTATATGTTGTATGAAAGGTGGAAAAAAGCATGGCTTGCCAGTAGCTCACTGAGGATATACATGGGTAAGTAATAGACGTCAAGTATCATGCAGATAGAATAGATTGGAAGATAGGAAGACGAGTAGCTTAAGCTATACAATTAACATTCCGTACATTGATTGGTAGATCGATATATCAAGCTCACCACCAAAAACGCAGAAGGAACACCATATCAAAAAGTCAAGCCAAATATTCATTTGAAGTATTTTGTGCACCTAAATTACAAAGTTCCGTGTCGTAGCCTGCATATCACTCCACGTTCAATAATGGAATTCCTAATCCATTCACGACAATTCGAAGGCAGTGAAGTGCCTCGAAAGATATTGCTAAAATGCATGCAAATATAGACGTTCCGATTCCCGTTAATTGAAAAATCATTCGTTAACTATTTCTTCCTTATTCTCCCCGGCTTTCATTATTTCGTCCATCCAATATTTACGATGAGCTCCTGGTTGAGCGTTTGTTGACCTCTGCCTTAGCAGCGTCAGTTCCTGATGCAACGGCCTCAGCGACCTTGTCCTTGGCATCAGTAGCAGCACCCTTGGCCTTAGCAGCTGCCTTCTTGACTTGTGGTGGTGGGGTAGATCCACTCATGCTGACGATACCGACAATGATGGCAATGAGAGTAACGAAGACGGCACCAATACCGGCAGCAGCCTCAGGAACAAACTTAACGGCTTGAATAGGGTCGTTCTGGGCGATAGTGAAGAACAAATCGAGCTTCTCCTTAACGTAATGAACTGGGTCATCGGCGAAGTTAAGATCAGATGGAGACTTTGGCTTGTCCTCAGGCTTTGGAACGGACTCGAGTTCAATTAATTGTTCAATGGGGTGCTTCTCGTGGAAGGTCTCCTCGGCAAACTTGGCGGCATCCTCAACAGAGTGACCGATGTAGATGTTGTCGAAGAGAATATCGCTTTGCATGGTCCAGATTTCGAAACCGATCTATGACAATGTTAGTATCATGATATTCAAATGGGACAAAATTACTTACGGCTCCCATTGGCTCGAGGTTGGAGGGATTCTTGTCCTCATAGTAGTCTGGGTTCTTGATCTTGCGTGGAGCCCAAACACCCTTGTAGGCTGGGTTATCAATGTAAGGTGCGGTCCACTTGCCCTTGTAAGCTGGGTTCTTGATCATTGGCTTCTCCCATGGACCACAGCCGGAGGCATCCTCACACTTGGGGTTTGGTACTGTTGGGGCGACCCAATCTCCATCCTCTTCATCATCCCAGTCCTCTGGCTTTTGTGCCTCAGGATCTGGGATACTGAGAGGCTCATCCTCCAACCAATCCTCAGGCTTGGTAGCTTCCTCATCGACAATCTCGAATGGTGCGTCCTCATCCCAGTCCTCGGGCTTCTTAGCTTCTGGGTCTGGAATGCGGGCCTCGTCAACCCAAGTTTCTGGCTTAGAGTCCTTGGCATCATCAATCTCCTTAGGTGGGTTGAATGCTGGGACGAAGTCGTCGGAGAGAAGGTTGACTTCCTTAACTTGTTCGCCATCCAACTTAATGATGGCTGTGTTGTTGGGGTGAATGATCAAGGTGTAGAGCTCGGTAGTCTTGAGGATTCTGGCGGCTGGCGCAGGAGTCATATGCTTCTCCTCATATTCACCAGTCTTTGGGTTCTTGTGATTGATGATAAGGTGGACCTTGTTGGTGGTACCACACTTGTCAGGACCGAACATGACAACGTATGGAGATGCGTTGGAGAACTCCTCTTGGTGAAGAGCCTTGTTATCGCGGAGGAGCTTCAAGTATGCTCCACCACACTCAAGACCATCTGTTTAAATGTTAGTGATGTTAACTAATTGATCGGGAATAATTATACTGACTTTGCATCTTGACCTCATATTGAACAACAAGGGTCTTGCCCTTGTTGTCAATCTTCTTGGGGAATTTCGCAGAGATGGCGTGATGAGCAGCTGCGTTCTTGACAACGAGACCCTTATCTCCCTCCATACCCTTGAAGACGTGGGGCTCCTCAACAGCCCATTCTCCAACATAAGCCCATTCTTCCTCTTCTTTGTCAGAACCCTTGGTGTCCTTTTTGGCGTGGGATGGCTTCCATCGTGTCTCCCAGTCCTCGGTGAATTGTTCGATAAAATCGGCAGTTATTTTGGTAGGCTGTAATAGATTTGGTCATTAGGAAATCATCGCGATGAGATTTTGAAGAGTTCGGGATGCGTAAAACTATGGAATACTTACAGTGAAGGTAGGAAGTTCAATGCTGGTAGAAGTAGCAGATGAGACTGATGAAGAAGCTTCAGTAGCAGCACTTGATACCGAAGAGCTTGCTTCACTAAGTACAGATTGAGCATCGGCATTGACAGAGCCTGCCAATAGAGCTGCTGCTGAGATGGCAGCGGTAGTATGAAAACGCATGATGAATAGAGAACCGAGTTCCAATCAATCTCTTTAAGAAAGTGATAAGAATAGTTCTACAACTTCAAATAATTGCTTCCAGAGCTCAATGGATGAAGGAAAAGCAAAGAAGATAAACTTGTCTTTTATTCACAAAAGTCGATGTAGAGACTTTTATGTGTGTGCTTGATTGTCCTGGGGAGAGAATATGCCACAGTGTCCTATATTCTACCGTATACTCGTTTAGGAAAGGTTACGAGCAACAAGGTTAAATATCCCCTCACTAAATGGAAGCTTCTACATTCTACGGAGTACAGTGTAATAAGTCTTACATGGATATATGGTGAACCTCGGGAATTGATGTTTGATAACATTATATGGAAATATTAATACGTGTTCAATTATAATGGATTGTCTTTTGAGGATGTTGTTATTTCTATAAGAGATAGATACTCGTACTTTAGATGGGATTGGTTTGGCTGTTGCGTTATTAACACAAGGCTAGTAATCATAATTAACGACCTACCTAATCTATTATATCTAGATCTATACTCTGTTCTCTTCCCCATCAATTCTTAGGTTCATTCGCTTGTGCTCTGTCATCCTCTTTGATTTTCATTATCTTTTTCGATTTCTTTCTATCAGATATCTATCTCCTAGCTATGCATCTATCTGCAGGCTTCTTGGGCTTTGTGCAGGGGCTGCTCGTCAATCAGTGCAACGGTCTAGGAAAATGAAGAAGAGGGGCAAGGCTGCTAGGCTAGTGAGCTTTACTTCCCCACCAAAATGTCATTAACCACCATATCACAATTTATTTTCAATTTACTCGAGTAAATTGAGAGAGGCTGTCGATTCATACACAATTCACAGATAAACACGGCACTGCTACTCTAGACCTCATTCTTTCTTTTTCTCGCTTTACAACAGTCATGGCGACACAAAATCCAATTCAGGAAGTCCAAGAATCGGAAAATAGTGATCACCTTATAATATCGCAAGATCCCCAACATCCTGCCAATCTAATCCCAGAACTATGCTCTAAATTCTGGCATTTAGGATGGGTAACCGGTACAGGAGGAGGAGCCAGTATACGCAACGAGTATATCCATCCTTTCCGTTCATTAAAAACACAAGCTAATCCACCACAGTAATCTAGTTTACCTAGCGCCATCCGGAGTCCAAAAAGAACTCATGAAACCAGAACACATCTATGTTCTCGACATAACCGCACAAGTTAACCCCAAACAGCGCATCTACCTCCGCTCACCGCCCAATCTCAAACCCTCGCAATGCACTCCCCTCTTCATGGCGGCCTTCACTAAGCGCAACGCAGGATGCTGCATCCACACGCACTCACAATGGGCAGTCCTCATAACGCTGCTCCTCGAATCCGCACCAAACACGACCATGTTTGAAATCAACAATATCGAGCAAATAAAAGCATTTGGAAAAGGTTATACGAAAACAGGAAACCTGGGATATCATGATACGTTGCGCATTCCGGTTATTGAAAATACACCCCATGAGGAAGATTTGACCGAGTATTTGGAAGAGGCGATGGAGAAATATCCAGATACGTATGCTGTTTTGGTGAGGAGGCATGGAGTTTATGTTTGGGGAGAGTCAGTACACAAGGCGAAGACTCAGTGTGAGAGGTAGGTTTTTCTATTTTTTATTTTGGATTATTTCTATTGGTGATTTTGATGATGCTGATATTTTATGTAGCTTGGATTATCTATTTCAAATTGCGGTTGAAATGAAGAAATTAGGATTACCATGGTTAAGTAACGTCAAACCAATTGCTTGAAGAGTCTGCGGATTTTAGGGTCTAAATGTCGTTGCAGTTGCGATTAGGAGATGAATTTATGACTAGAAGAATTAAAGATACCCCTTTCCTAAGCGATGGTTTCCCGGATATGGGTAAGGAGTAGAAGTAGATATGTCTATTTCAATACGTGCATGGTGTTCTGAATGACGTGTGACATTACATCCCTTTACCTTGATTTCCACGTATAGCCAGTAGCTCCTACAATATTTTCCACTCCCTTCATCTTCCTTCCAAAACGAAAAACCTCAAATATAAAACCACAAACACTTGCAGCCACACGCTCCCTCCCCAGAGTACTTCAAAGACCCGCATGCTTCAAATATCCAACATCCCATTCCAACTCCGATATCCAATTCTACTTCCAAAATAACAATCCCTTCTAATTACCTATCTGAAATCCCATAAATACAAAGTCCTCCCTTCTAAAAACCTAACTCATAATTACTATGTAACCTAATTAATCCATTTGTTAAAAATGTATATATAGGATATTAAAATGCTCTTTAATTTATATTATAAAGTCGTGACTCATGAACCAGCTTTGAAATACAATCTATATAACCTGTTCTGCTTATTAGTGCTTTGTGAGGCTTATTAGGTAGATAGCTAATCAAGATCTTATATTGGTTATATATTTTACCAGGCGCGCGGGGGTTTGGGATGTGGGGGGGGGGAAACACTTTACTGCGGATCTGATCTTACATTGTATTATAAGAAGTTTTAATAACTCACTCGCTGTTCAGCGATATGAGTGAGTGAGTATCTATCATGCTGAGGCTTACTATCACTTCCTTTTTAAATTTCTCAATACTCAAATACTCAAATACTCAAATACTCAAATATTTCGAAAACAAGTATATATGTATATTTATAAACTATTACTGCATAACATAACATAGCATAACATAAATCATACCAGCCCAGTGAGACAGGGAATTTTAAAATTCTTATTCCGAATTCCCTATTCAGGGTATCTCATGTCCTCTTCTTTCAAAGAACCCAAACCAAACCAAACTGAATCGCATCAACACCCGCTGTCCGGTAGTAGGTATGTATATATATGTATACCATCCATTCCCCAATTCCCAACTCCAATCAATGCCCCTTTGAGAGAAACGAAAAAAAGAAAAGTACTTGAGATTTCAACTAATATTCATCTTGATTCTCCTTCATCCCAAAAGAATGTATTTCCACCCTGGTGATCTTGATCAGTTATCCTTCTGTTGATGTGATAGATTAGTTAGTGTGTATCCGATACGAAGTAAGTATAACCGTCTATTCATGTTGTATGTAGTAAGAGCTGTGTCTACATGACACGGCACAACATATTGCAACGCCCAAGTAACCAAAAGAAAGAAAGAAAGGTATGATTTGTACGAAAACCCTCGAAGAAAAAAAAAAAAGGACAAGAGAGAAAAAAGATAACAAGGTAGGTAAGATAACAAACCCACCAATAAAACTAGCAAAGGGAAAGAGAAAAATCACTCAATATTCACATTTCCGGATCATCGTAACGTTCATGAGTATGAGTATGAGTACGTTCATAGCCGCGCGTACCATTTTGATCTTGATGCGTTGCTAATTCGTGAGGTCCCGACGATGAAGTGTTAGAATGGAAATGATTCGGGGGTCCAGGGGAGGGAGATGGTCTTTGAAGGGGTTAGTTGGTGGTATATCAATGGGGGATATGGAGGAAAGATTATGGAGTAAGTTACCTTAATCCCCTCAACTTCTCACTTTCCCCCACCCCCACCTGAACACCCAAAGTCCCAGGAATCCCAGGACTATTCGTTAAACTCCCACCTCCATTCCCACCCGTATTCCCCTGTTGATAACTCGGGCTCCTACTTCCTCCCCTACCATTTGCAGCGCCAACCCCCGTCCCACTCCCAGTACCCTCCAAATTCAACGTCGGAATCACCATTCCATATTCATCAGCCCCAGGACTCCGACTGCGACTTCGCACATAACCTTCACTTCCCACGTGGGAATCAGAGAGATGAGAATGATTCTCACTTCCCGCGCCAGAAAATTGTCCTAGGCCTCGAATTTCATTTTCGGTCATGAGATGGCGGGGTTTACTGTAATATGTTGTTTCGGAAAGCGATGCTGAGGGGGGCATGTAAGATGGGGTATTTGGACCACCTGGATGATGGATATGCGGATGAGAGCTCATGTTTGGTGGGCGGGAGTTGTGGTGCAATATTTCTTTGATTGTGTGTTGGCGGCCGCATAGATAGAGCAGTGCACTGGCTAGGACGACGAGTGCGGATGCGCCGATGACTATTCCTGCTATGGCGCCTGGAGATAGTTTTGAGGGTGAAGAGGAGGGTGAGGGATCTGTGACAACGATTGCGGCAGGAGAGCTGCTTGTGCTGGGAGGTTGGTTTGGGGATGAGGTGGAGGTCGGATGTGTAGTCGAGGTTAAGGAAGCTTCCGCTTCGACGGGGAAATTTTCACCGGGACTAAATTGTAAGGAGGATTTCTTCGCATATGCCAATTGATTTGCGAGTGTTTGAGTTGAGTTCTAACATTGAACAGTGAGTATGCGAAACTAAACATCGTTCATTGAGATAAGACGATTGCACATACAGCATTAATCACACCAATCATTCCCTCCTCATGACAAGCACCTGGAGACGAACAGTAGAAGAAGATCGGATTCGTATCATTAACCACGACTTGGAATTTCGGAGGCTAGATTATCTCAAATTAGACTATGCAATGCCAAATTTCCTACTATCTTCAATGATTGTGATTGTACAAACATCATTTAACACGACATTGATTGGATGAAAACCACTCCAAAAGCCTTTCTTGTTGATACCCGTAACTTCATATGGAATGCATGCTCTATTGCTTCCATATTCTGCCCTTGCGACCGAATGATTCTGAGGATAGAATCGGAATTCTAAAAGATTCATGAATCGATTAGTATGTCCCATACAACATATGATTATAACGACTTCGTTCCTAAAAAGTGCATACCTATTACATCACTAACATTCGCAGCCAATTCCGTCGGCGTAAACTGCAATCCTTCTATTCCTACCGAAACTATATGCGTCGGCACTGCACTAGACGTAGTAGTCGAGTGTGCCTCAACCTTATTCCGAAGCAAAACCAGCAGCGCTAAACATGGAATTAAAAGTTTCAACATGTTTCATACAAATCATATCTGATGGTATGGATTTCAGAAAGAAATGATCACACCAGAACACAAACGAATACAAAAACAGAAAGAGAATTCAGGTAATGAGGAAGGCAAACATGGCAAGTGAGCAGAGGTAATTGTCCCACTATCGCTAATCCGGGCAGACCAACGATGTTTCTATGAAAAGCATGCCCAGATGGGCTTTGCTCTTTGCGAAGATAGCTAAGCCTCGATGGCTGTTTGCTATCAGCTATTTTGCCTATTTTCATATCAAGACGTCTCGGGAAAAGTTCCTTGTCCGCCGCCAAACTTGGCAAGATACCCCTCTCCAAATCCCTGAATATCGGACTTCCTAATATGTGAAATGGTTTTCTTATAACTTGAAATTCCTCCGCAGTGAATGGGTTATAACATGTACTCATCTTTCTAGGTACCTTGACACAGTTACTTGTGCTCTTCTGGGTATATCTGTAAGATGCGCGGCTTGAAAAGTCAAGGCCGAAATGTGACGTTAGCATATGAGAGGTTAGGCGTCCAATCGGTGATGATTGCCAAGTTGAGCTGAGATGATGAAAAGCTTGGACTAGAGAACGAAAACATTTGAAATCTTGAAATGTCACTCTGAAGTACCACTACTCCGGTTGAAAATCCAAGCAGTATTTTAGTCAGGTTCCAATATGTCGTAATGCTTATGTTACGTCGTACATTTTAAGTTATATATTTCAATCCGCGTCCAATAATAGGTAACTCAAATTTGAGTGAGCATCACTCTCTATTGTGCGCATCCCTATGCAAATTCTTGCTCGTTGTACACTTTCTCAATTGATGGTAGCTCTTCCTATTTGCCATACCAAAAGCAAAGCTTGTTATCACATCCTAGTGGTCGTCCTTGGTTTCACGAAGGAGCGAAAAACCTGCAATAAGCAGATACAATGATAATTTTCCGATTTCTTATACCACACGCTCGAAGGTTTTTTGTATCGGTTTTGCGGCCTATTTTCAATCAGCATGGGAATTCTATCTTTCCCAATGAAGTTACAACAAGATTCACACTCACATCAATAAATTTCTCCAAATCTTTGTCAAGATTCGCTAGATCATCCTTCCTCTTCTTATTATCGGCAATCAATCCTTGTTTCTTCTTTAAGAGTCCTTGTCTTTGTTCCTCCAACTTCAATCTCTCTTGATGTTCGTGATCTATCCTTGCAATCATAAGCGCATTCTCATCAGCATCAGCATGTTCCGGATGTTGGGCTAAGAATTCATCAACAGGTATCAGGGGAAGTTGCTGATATTTGTGACTGTGAAAAAGTAGTGTTAGCATTGGTGCCACGACGACAAACATGCAAATTAAAAGAGAACCAACTCATATGATTCGCAAGCAGCAATCTCTCCTTGTAGATGCCGCTGTTCATAGTATAAATTTTGTAGTTGTAAATGCAGCCTATCTACTTCCTGACGTGCTTCCGCGGTTAAAGCCTTTGTTTCTCGGGCGCCAGCATGAGAATCACGATGTAAACCTCTCAACTGTGCGAGGTATGTGAGGAGTAGTTTTTGTTGTTTAGAGATTTGCAGTAGGACTTCGTTTGAAGGAGCGGAAGTAGTAGAGGCTGTCGATACGAAGTCTAGGAGAGCAATTGCTTGTTCCCGCGTTTGATTTGAGGTCTCAAGGGCAAGTTTAAGAGATGGATCTGTAACTATCTCGTCGATAGCCATTGTGGTGAGATTGTTGATTAAGAATTAAATTTGTATGTAAAAATCCCGAGGTGGTAACTTGTATAATGGTTTGTATGAAGGAGTGATTTGTTTGAGAGAAATTGAAGTTACAGCCTTCTCATTCGTAAGGCTGAAGTCGGAGCTATCTTAGCCTTATTTCTGCATTTCTGCATCTTACATAACCAGATAATTTATGCTGGGGCCGATGAATTTCTTGGCAACCCCACCATCATCAATTGACCGTTGACTTTTTCTCCTTGCACACAACGATGAGTTTTATATCAACCAACTTTTAATATATCTACCTCATAATAGGTACGAGATATCTTAGGTCATCTTCCCACCATCCCATATTGCATCAATACAAAATCAAGAATAAAATGAATCTGAAAACACGTGTTTTGTATTTTAGTCCAGCCCTAAAGCACTATAGCATAGACTCCACAAAGTCCCAACTCTAACATTTGATTTCCCCACCTCACATATTTTTATTTCATCCATTATTTATTTTACACCTACTCTATCGTCAGAGGCCCACACTCGCTTTCAACAATAAAATAGTTTACCTATCCTACCTCCCATGACCAATATAAAACCATAACATAACCACACACAATCTCTTCACCATCTCAATTCAACCAAAAGCAAAAATGACACCCCCTCCAACCAAAGCAACCGTTCTCATCTCCGGTACTGGCACCAATCTTCAAGCTCTCATCGATGCTTCGCAAGGGACCAATGACGCGCAACCTACCATGCCGTATTTAAACATAATTCGAGTTATCTCAAATCGAAAGGGCGTGGAAGGGCTGAAGAAGGCAGAAAGAGCTCACATCCCAACTACATATCACAATCTGTTGGCTGGAAAGTATCACAAAAAAGATGAGAAGGACCCCGCCGTGATACAAGCTGCACGAGAAAAGTATGATGCGGACCTTGCGGATCTCGTGATTGCTGATCAACCTGATATTGTAAGTCAATTACCTTTACTATTTTTCATATCTACCCGTTCCAATGTTCAAGTCACCTCAATGTTCAGCACCACCGAAATGGTTCTAACAATTACCAGATTATCTGTGCTGGTTGGATGCATATCCTCGCACCAACATTCATTGACCCCTTAACTGCAAAAAACATACCCATCATAAACCTTCATCCTGCACTTCCAGGAAAATATGATGGGGCTAATGCTATCAAACGGGCACATGATGACTTCGAACTTGGCAAGTTGGAGAATAACAGGACGGGCATAATGATTCATTATGTGATTAGTGAAGTCGATCGAGGAACACCAATATTGGTGAGAGAAGTGGAGTGCAAGAGTTCCGAAACTTTAGAAAAGCTCGAGGCGAGAATGCATGAAGTAGAGCACAAACTTATCGTTGAGGGGACAGCGATGGCAATAAAAGAGCTCTGGACTCAGAGAAGTAGTGTAAACGCTTGAAATTGTTATTTTAAGAATAGCAATTATTAATAACCCCCCTTTGCACATTGCTTAGCGCTGCTGAGCAGCGACCAGATTTTTACACGCTGAAGATCATTCAATTTCTCTCGGCCTTTCGATCTCACAAAACCAATCAAGCTCCTAGATGAAGCTGGCAAATAGTTCTGTCAGGATCCGCCACCGTCGTTATAGAGTTAATTTCGCGGGGGAATTACGGCTTCCCTCGACAACATTCGGAACTGGTTTCTGAGGAATGTATTCCCTCTGGCAAAGAGGGAAGGGCGCTGCTGTTGGGCCTGCTCGGGCTGTTCGTCACCTGTCCTTCGACGCTGGACCCATTTCATATACATTTTAATATCCTTCCTAATCACTCTTGGCATAGCGGTGCCTTCTATACATGTCAAGATGCGAGCGACACTACCTTTGGGGTTTGACTACACACAAGTTAGCAAATGGTAGAGCACAACAGAGTCTTTGCCTAGAATTCTTACAGTAGTAGCCATTGTCCACTCTATTTCTCCCTGAGGGAGAATACGAAACTGTTCGATGGCTGCATAGGCCGCAACAACTTGTTTCTTTTCTTTTGATAATTGGGCCCACGTGGTTGTCTCGAAATCGATTATAGGTATTGAGATAACTAGGAACTCATTTCCGTTAGAGCTGCCCGGCGACGCAGTGATCAATACCACAGGGAACGTCCGCTTATTTATTATCACGGGCATTTTATGCCTCATTTCCACGACAGCCATTGTGATATTGTTCCATTGTTCACCACCACTGTCAACAATGAGGTTGTTCGTATTCCAGCGCATGCATTGTTTAGCGGTCACATCGTCCGAAACCGCCTCCTCTGTAAGGGCATGATTCTCTTTGATGTCTACAGTAACTTGGTCCCAAGTAGCTGAACCTCGTGTATCCTGATTATCATGAAAACTTCTTCTAGCATACCAGACCTCCTTATTATCTACTAGCGGAAGCTGACTGTACACTCTCCTTCTGTTGATATCCCTGGCAGGAATGACGCGCTTAAGGAACAGAATGCGCTTCTTACCGAAGAGAGTAGTCGAACGTTTGTCAAGGTCCCAACTATCATCCAACCCCATGCCATCGATGAATAAACTTGATTCCCTCAGAACATCTGTGATGAACGCCTCCGCACCCCGTGTAGGATGTATTTGTGTATTAGTATTCAACTTCTCTTCTGTTCCGTCTGGATGAATGCCTATGCCACCCAACGGCAAAGCAGAATAAGGCAGTCCTCGCAATCGAACCATAGGTCCAATGGTGGAATTGGGATGACCGGTAGACTGCGACATGGTGATGAGTATAGTCTTAAGATGTCCTATTAATCAAGCAAAGTAGAAATAGTGGTAACGAGCGTGATATCAATCAAGAATGATGCCAATGAAGAATACTGTGAAGCAAGTATGTAGCCAAAGCGAATGTAATATCAATTAAGTCTGCTTTCGAGTAAGTTTGTAGTGAAGCAAGTATGTTGTTTATTAGAAGAAGATAAATGAAGAATCTACAGCTTTTAAATCAAAACAATCCATTATTCTCACACGGGAAAGTACCATCTTCCCATCGTGCCCTCCCTCCCTGACTGAGCCCTCTCTAATCGGGAAGTGTGAAACTGTACGGAGCAGGTTAGATGGTCCAAGCTTCATTCATCCATCCATCCATCCCACAAGGTCAACAACGATTGATCAATGCATTCCTTCCTCCACCCCACCAAAACCCCTCCGACCTCTCCAGACCAAAGCCAGCCAGCCAAATCACCCACTCACATAACAAAAACACTCAAAACACATCTAAACCACCCACCATGGATACTTCACTCAAAGGACCAGGAGAAGCTCAAAAGCACGATGGAAGTGCCCTTCGTATTGGAATCGTACATGCGAGATGGAATACCTGTGAGTAATCTCTCGAATACAATAAAACCATCCCATCCCCCTTCATTCAGCCGTACACCGCATTTACCATCCGCTAACCACCACTTACGCCTCAGCTATAATCGAGCCGCTTCTCGCTGGGACGAAGAAAACTTTACTGGCAAGTGGTGTGAAGGAATCCAATATCGTCGTGCAATCCGTGCCGGGGAGTTGGGAGTTACCAATTGCTTGCTCAAAGTACGTGTTTCTCGTTATATATTCATATTCATTGCGTTTATCCCTTTATCTATCTATTCCTTCACTCCCGAGAATCTTCAACCTTCAACCTCAACCCCGGATCCTAATACTAGTCAATCAAAACTAACCATTCCACTCCACTCCATCCTAGACTCTACTCAGCCTCGCAAATCCAATCCACCCAAACCTCCTCACTTTCCGCGGGCGACCTCCTCGGCTCCTCAACCACCGATCTTACTTCCCTCTCCACGCAACCACAAAGTGCATCGACTGCTCCCTTCGACGCCATTATTGCGATTGGCTGCCTCATTAAAGGCGAAACCATGCATTTTGAATACATAGCTGATAGCGTTTCGCACGCCCTCATGCGCGTCCAATTGGACATGGGTGTTCCGCTCATCTTTGGTTTGTTGACCGTGCTTACTGAGGAGCAGGCTCTTATGAGGGCTGGCGTGGGTGCGACCGGGAATGGAGGCCATAATCATGGTGAGGATTGGGGTGCTGCGGCTGTGGAGCTGGGGGTTAAGAGAAGGGAGTGGGCTGCAGGAAAGATTGCGTGAGGGAGAGAAGGATGCAATAGATAGTATGGTCTGTCCAAGTGATCGAAGGAGAGGAAAGACATGAATGATTCGACAATTGGATGATTGTAGGCGTTTGATGTGTGTTTGAGACCAAAGTCGTTTTGGTTATAGATTTGGTTCACTAAAATCAGGCATAGGCTTGCATTAAATCAAGAATAAAAAAAGAGTCATTTATTAAGTAGATGGTACGAGAGATCGATCATTAAATAATAAGAAAAATCAAAAAGAAACAAAATCCGCCCAGATCAGAAATTATATTACTACTATACAAAGCAGTCATGCCAGAGGTATGATTTCCAGTTCAATGCTCCCAAGTCTTCCAACGCCAAAGTTTTCATGCTATATATCACAAAGCTGTCCCCTTCAAATGCAAATGCATACGCATCTAAAACCAAGATACCCCGCCCATGAAATTATTATTGCGTGTAACCAAGCATTTCCGATAAACCACTGGTATCCTTCTTTGATTTCCAAAGAGATCTCTTTTGCTCTCTCTTCTTTTTCATTTCCGCCCACGCTTCCTCGTCATCTTCGTCGTCATTATCTACCCTTTGAACGGTCTTGATCGTGGTTGAGGCATGCTTGTTTTCCCAACCCCCCTGTGCACCTGGCATGGTTGAGTCTTTTGGCTTGGCTTCAGTTGGGGGACTGTGTGAAACTGGTCTGTATCGGCCAGGTAATCCAACGTTGCTGCGTTCAGAAGGTGCTATTGACGGAGCATAACCATTGCCCTGAGCGTGTATTGACGATGCATATCCTTGACCTTGCTGCTGTAACCAAGGCATACCAGAAGGCTCAAGCATACTCATGGTACGTTGTGCATTTTCTGGTCGGAGATTTGGTCCAGAATTGCTAGTGGTCAACTGCTGACTTGTAGGTCGTTGCATTTCACCAAAGTTTGGCTGAGACATGTGACCTAATTGACCCAATTGACCCAATGGCCCGAGTTGCGGTGCACCACCGGCCTGTGGAGCGGGTTTTCCATTCTGGTTGGTTGCCATCATTTGCATGAATTGCATTTGCATCTCCATGAATGACTGCATCTGCTCAGTCATACGGATCTGAGCTTGGTCACCAGGACTGAGCATTGGTTGAGGCATTGCACCCATAGGTCCCACCTGGCCCATTCCTAGCGCGCCAGCACCCATAGGCATCTGCCCCATCATTGGTGGAGGAACCATGCCAGTAAAGCCGCCAGGAGGCATTTGACCATATCCAGGGTTTGGGCTACCCCTTCGCATGGCTCGAGAACGTTCTTCTGTGGCAATGACACCTACGAGACCTCCTGGAGGAGCACCTCTGTTAGGAATGCTGTGAACGGACCCAGGACCACCATTTCCAAATGCCAATGACTCCCTATTAGCTGGATACACAAGGCCTGCTCCAACATAAGGGTCTTGTGGTAGATTGCGAGCAAATACAGGCAAAGGTCCACCGATACCTGGGACACCTTGAGCTGCTCCCCTGAGATTTGGATTAGATCCCATGCTAGTTAACCTGCTTGTAGGTGGTTTGTTCTTATTGGGGAATCCATGAGCAGCAAGAATGGCCAGAGGAACTTCTTCATCCTCCTCCTCTCCATCCTCCGTCGGAACATCGAGTACCAAGTTGGGTGTACTTTGGCTGCTAAACATTGAAGGTCGAGGTGCTGGCGCGGGTGTCGATTCTCCGGTAACTTTCATCATCTGTTGCCTATACACTGACATGTGAGCCTCCTGCTTCCGTCGTTGCTTGGCAGCATTTTTGCTCTTCTCTGCTTCGTCCTCATCATCCTCATAATTTTCCTCATCTTCCTCCTCGGCTTCCTCATCTTTCAGGCGCCCGCCGACGCTTCGCAAACGCTCTTGATCTTGTCTGTAACGCTCGAATTGTGCTGGTGTCATGACCTTGTTTAGAGGAGCTTGTTTCGAAGGAGGTGGGGATTCCGACTTTTCTTGGAATTGCTGGGCTAAATCGGCGGATTCGAAGAGATCTTCATCCTCATCCGGCTCAAGGAGTTGTGTTTTTGCGGTCGGTTTGGCATTGTATGCAGCTTGCGAAGGGAGTGCCCAGCTCTTACGGGCCGGAGGATTACTTGGTGCTTCACCCAGATTCTTGCTCGCATGAATTGAATCACGCAAGAGTGCAGCGTCCTCGTCGACGCTATCAAAATCTAATGTAGATTGGCGGCGCATGGAGATAGCACTACTTCTCTTGAGTGAGGAATCAGGGCGAGGCGCACTCGACCGCGGCCTTGGGATGGCTTGGTTCCCGTCAGTTTGATGAAGAGGTCCGTGCCTTGGAACAGGAGGAGGCTGTTGAGAAGGCGGTCCCATATTACGAGTTACCACCGGAGGCGGACTAGTATTTTTCATAAGTCCATCATTTGATCCCCATGAATATGGCGGGTCTTCCACTGGTTTACGTTTATCGAGATTCAGGGGTGAAGGTTGGTTGTTGGCACGATTGGCAGAATACGACTTGAATGCTGGCTCAGGTGGTAGTATTTCCTACGTAAGGTTAGTAAAATTGTAGTCATGTTCAAGATTGGGGCTCGACTTGCAGTGTTTTTAGGAAACCCTCTGCCACCAGGGGAATTTAATACCGCACTTCTACGGTGCGCCATTCCGGCAAACATGTCTCCAAAGTCGTCTCCCATTGTGAGATCCAAGTCTCTATCTCCAAGTTTTGGTGGTGTAGCAGTGCTTGCGTAGCTGGATGCAGTCACAGCGCGAGTACGGATTGAAGTGCTATCGTCTCGGATGGTCGGTGAAGGCGGTAATTCGTCTGATGCTTTTGATGGAGACGCAGTGGCTTTGTTTCTTCCCCATGAAAGAGATCTTCCAGCATTCTTTAGAGAAAAACCTGAGGATGTTTTTGGTGGAAGGGAACCGTCGCCGTGATGTCTATCATGAGATGCTCTCCATTCTTCGTGGCCAGGTGTGTCCATAGAAGAAGGGGCTGTAGACGCTGCACTCAAGCGGGAGGAATTATCTGTGGTAGATGCGGTGTTCGTATTTGATGCTCCACTGCCACTTGAACTTTATCAGCTTATGCCAAGGGTACCCCCTAGTTATAAATCCCCTGAATTTCCCAGGTGGATTCTCAGTACTAACCGATTAACAGTATTAACTTTCATGCCCTCAAAAAGGTTGTCCTCCTTATGTGAATCCGCTGTAACACTTCCTCTAGCAAATTTCACTCCACCGTCGAACGATGGACCAGACTTATGCCCTCCGACTTGAGGACGCTCAAAGACCTTGAAGGAAGATTCGACAGGAGGTTCGGGATTTTCTAAAGCATTTGCTGTTGACTTGCGTCGCCCAAAATTTTTCGGAATTAAAGGCATATAGTTCGTGTTTGGTTACTGGAAGACGAGATTGCCGGTCTCGAGCTTCTCAGTGGTAAGGATCGAAAAAAGGTATCCAAATATGGGATATGAGGCTTGATGCTCTGCGTGTGCTTGATCTGCAAAAGATTGAGCTGCTCGAAGATGAAGTTTTACCCGTCAATGCCGAAGAAAATCGTTATGGACGTCGAGATGAATACGAGAGATTTCGTTGAAATGCGTGCAAGAAAAGATCAGAGAACGGTCTAATGAAGTGGGCACAGACGACGTTAGCAAGGTCCTTTTGGAACAGTGAAATTCAAGGATCCAGTTCAATAGATCGGTAGTTTATGAGAAGTTCAAGCTGTCGTAGGAAGGAATTGGTGTAGCTTTGGGCAAAAGCAAATGTGGTGTATTCGCCGAGCAAATACTCGGAAGGCAAGGATACGGGTGTGTGAATGTTTGTTTGGTGACAGAAAGGTGTTGAACATTTAAACATTCAAGGCCAGGCCAAAGATTGGGTATCAAAAAATGGTAGTGAATGAATATCGATTCTGATAAACATATTCCGCGGGCGCCAAAGACTTTGAAGTTAAGGAGATAGTGTCGGGGGAGTGAGTAATTGAGTCGAATTTTTCAGTTTGTTGATGGGCGCAGTTTAAATATAGAAATTTGAGGGCAGAGCAAAGTGAAGGGGAGATGATAGATAGAAAGCATATTTTGTAATGTTTACTTACCACAAGAGAGAGAAGATGAATCCAAAATACAGCCAACGATGGACGAAAAAGAAAATGAGAAGAAAAGAATAAAAAAGATATCAATGACAATGGAAGAAAAAGCGATGGACTCAAGAGACAAAGTGTCTTCGAACTAGCAAATGCAAATGCAATTCAATGATTGAAGAATTCAATATGAGATTTTGAGGTTAGAAAGATAGAGAGAGAGGAGCAAAACAAGAATTCTTCGATTCTTCTCAATGAGAGACCATGTTAAGGGTACAAAAGTGGAGGTGGAATGTTTTGAAGGAGAGAAATTCATGGATGTGTTGGATGAGTTGAGTGAGGTGAGTGAGTTGAATGGGGTTGGATAGGTGAATTGATTACTGATTGGTCATACTAAAAGCTTGCTAAAAGCCTTTTTTTACTGGGGACCCAAGGATATTTTTATTAGATGCTATAGCGCTTGTAGTGGTTATAGTGGCAATATAGTGGTTACAGTGTTTATAGTGTCTGCCTTTGAGGTCACTGCAGCCTGTAGCCTACCTACTTTGATGCCTAAATGGTGGGAGTGCACCGTAGTTCAGGAGCAGAACACTGTCTTGCTTCACTCTATTGAGCCTGTATTTCTCTTGGTAAGTCTTACTGTGATGAAATGTTACCGGTGCTTGAAGATTAATACAAGGTCGGTGGTAAGTTGGCAAGTTGGATGAAGGTTAAATTTGTGTTGACAAAAGGAAGACTGGTGGAAGCATTTTCCTATCCTCCTCGTTCTCCTATTTCCCAGGAGTTTGGGTGGTTTATATAGTGATTCTAGTAAGATTACCTAGGTTTACATCCCTAGGTATTATTACATACACACATCATTACTCCTTCAACCCTCCTCCTCATCTAATCATCGCTCATATAACCAAACCCTTTTCAACCTCTTCATCACATTTCACTTCTTCACTTCTTCAACCCCGCTTACCATTTCTTCATCACTTACGGAGGATATATCATCATGTATATGCACATACATATGTCCGTATGTATCATTCTTCTTTTGTTCGTTGCCGTGACACTAATGATAAACAAAAAATGCATCATCTTCCAAATCCTTGAGCATGTGGAAAGCATGCACACCTCGATAGGCTGAGAGAAAGAAATTCTATTCCTTTTCTATCTTCTTGCATGATGCCTTTTCCCAAGTCTCTCTTGCCCCTGGTATTTCCTTTCGGTTGTTGCACAAAGAGAATCCTTCATCAATACTCCGTACTCGAGCGTGCGTACCTTGAATCTTATGGTCAATGCCGTGCCGCCATTCAGAGATATTCAGCCATCATAATACGATCAATGTCGTTTGAGTATGATTATACTACTACTACTAGGTACTTTCTACATATGCATTTTGAAGCATATGAAAAAAGTTCATTAATCTATCTTATGCACTCACCTCCTCACCAGATCATTCATCAATGCCTCAATACCCTAAACAACCCGCATCTTACATAACGGACGTACGAAAAGCCTCGAGTACCAGACATTGTCTCTCAAATCTCAAAATTTCAAACTTAAAAATAACATTTTCACTAACCTTATCCACAACATTGGTGCTCCAGAAGATTTCAAGGGGTTGGTTATACCGGATGGATCCACCATCTCGCATTTCCTCCGTCAATCCATCACATCGCAATCCACAAAACATAAATCTTCACTGGGCACGAAACCCTCTCAAGACCCTTTCGACATGACGTCTTTTCCGCATTCCGCTATTTCTGACATACGATGCCCACAGCTACAAATAGTAATACGAGTTTGTAGATCAAATCTTTTATTACTGTGTACCCTTTTCAAACCTTCATCCATTCAATCAATACACGTGGATTATTTAGGACACAGCCTCAGACATCTGAAAGGAAATACTAGGTAAATACGTAGTAAGATTACCATTAATTCAATATCACATACGATTTCCTAAAATAGAATCATTAAACTCCCCTCGTCAATTGCTACCTAGACAACCAGCCGCGATATGGACAAAATAAATGGCATGTTAAATCTGAATATATTAAGTCTTATACCTACCTAGCATTCAAGATTGTGATTCAAATTTAACAATCCTAAATACTTTCCTTTTCTTTTCTCAGTAGCTAGTTTCTCATTATCAGACTTCAAGCTGTAACTCACTATCCTTAAAGTAAAGATCCGACGATCAAACTCCCAGGATATCACTTTATTAATAAATGTACGATCTATCGATCTGTTGATCTATTGATTTATTCCGTTCCACCTTATGCCCGCAAAATCACAAAATACCCCAGCGTCTAGATAGGTAGGTAGGTAGGTAGGTAGGTACCTAATAAACCCAACAACTTCTGTGCGGGCGGAGTATTAGCCCCGAACAAGGAGCCTCCTTCTTTTCATGACTTTAACCTCCTTTTTCTGTATGTGCATTGCGCAGCTATGTACTCTGGTCCTTGACTTTCATATGTACCTGGTGGGTAGATAGGGTAGATAGAATAGGTAGGTAGGTAGGTAGGTGTATTCTGTATGAATAAATCAAGTATCTATCTGCATGAGAATGGAAATCTTTGAACGTCTGATTGATTAATTAATCATCAATATGGACTAAAAATCTGTGAATGGAAAATGGAGTAACAGCGTTAACATCCATCGCCTTTCTTTACACGATAGGGATCTCTAAAAATTGCAGTATCATAGGTACCCTACTCAAATCACCTCAAATCGGCGTATTCATGGTAATCCTGGCGCGAATGCGAGATCTACGTACAATCTACCTACTATCTAAATATTCATTCATCTATATGCATTCATCCATTCATCCAAAATAAATCATACAAGGTATTCACTTCACTTCACTCACTCACTTAACCCTGTACGGAGTACTAGATACACCGTATACCTATAAAAATCCAAAATCCAAGATTCTAGAATCTCTAGAATTTCTAGAACATGTCACATATATAGTACTTCCTACACTTGATACTCTACTCTAAACTCTAATATAAAATAATATGAACTCAAGGATCTTTAACAATCTTTCTTAATAATCTTATTCCTCTATTATTTTTCCTATTTTAATATAAATAGATAATTTCTAGATTACTTTTTTATATAAAAATATATAAAGTATACTCTGGTATTAAATAATGTGTTACAACGGCTATCTTCTATGCCGCGTCACATGACTAAACCAAGGTAACGTGATTAAAGTCACGTTATGGACCGCTGAGGAACGCTGGCTGTCCAGGACCGCGCAGCGGTTCTGACTAGCCATAGGCATGAAGGTCTATATAATCAAGATGGATTTCCTTTGTATAGAGCTTCGTGCTCAAGATCAATCATTTAGTATACTCTACTATTAGTTACGAATTGCATTATTGTCATTACTTTAAGTCCCTGCTTGACGCCTAGTTATAAACCACCTCGAGAGCCTAGAGCACTTCCACGTGATCTAGACGGCAAACCTCGTAACATAATGGATATATATATATATATATTGATAGTAAAGAGTAGATAATAAATAGATAGGAAATATTATAATCACTATATCTACTTTAATATCTACTATCCATCCTCTCGATCTCAAGATCTTAAACCTAAACCAACGACCCGTGACGCAAAGTTCTTGATAGTCTGTCTCTATTTATATCTTGATACCTACATCGTGGACTGCTTGTTTACTGGTATACTGAGTAGCGGTATAGTATAGACTTTAATTACTAGATAGGAACTTGAGTTTGATAGTAAGACTTAGAAAGTTCATTATTTGAATTTATTTATTATATTTTGTTGGATTGACTTTATTTTCTATTGAATAAAGGATAATGTATACCAATACACCAAGATGGATGATATATTAATGATACAGTAATATACAGAAAAAAAAAGGCATAAGAATCTCGTCCTACAAGAGCACTTCTTCATAGACATCATCCGAAGAAGTTCAAAAACATAATATAACAAAGCTTTCAATCACTAAATGTACTTTACTCACCCTGCTGTTGCATATGAGTAGGTAAATTCCAACCCGCATAATCTTGATGAACAAATGCTCTATCAACCGTTGGAACTGATTCCAATACATACTGTAATGATTCGCCCAAATCATGACTATCGCGAAGACTCATGCTTTCATCTAGCACAATATCGACTTCGACGTTGAGTTTGTCGCCAGCGTGGTAGGCTTGTAGGCCTTGGATTTGCTTGATGGTGCGTGCGAAACGCATGGTGAGATAGAGGAGAACGTTACGTTCGTCGGCGGTGGCAGCAGCACCGGTTAGATTACGGATGTGGCCGGCGGAGGTACCAGCCCAGTTTATGATGACGAAGAAAGAAAGTAAGAGACCTCCCAGTGCATCAAGCCACCATAGTTGGGCGTAGAAACCAACTGTTGTATGTTAGCTAGAATAGATGAAGAATGCACGTTTTGCTGGGCTTACCGAGAGGAAAGATGATACTAAAGATGTTGAAAATCACGTCAGTCATGGCATCTTGAGCAAGAGCTTGAACACTAGAGTTCTTGATTAGACGACACCAAAGCCAACAAAGTGCCTTGATGAGAACTGTTGAAGACATGATAACGATGGCAGGTAGAGTAAGCTCGATAATATCACGATCGTCCGAGGAGAGGCGATAAAAACATTCTAAAGCCACTTGAAAAAAAGACGTGACCATGATGACACTGAAGCTATATCGTCATTACGTTAGCATTTGCTTAAATGGGGTAAATCAACATCTCCTCTTAACCAAGCGAAAATGGATAAAACTAAAGGGACTGCCTTACACAAGAACACCGATGGGCTCCAGACGCCGACGACCAACAGGGTACGAATACTGATCTTGACGTTCAATCATTTTAGTGGTCGTGAAAACGATCGCTGTACTGAGGAAATCCAATCCGGCGTCGACAAGACTAGCAAGAACCGAGAGAGAGCTTGTTAGCACGATGACGGCAATTTTGCCAGCTAGAAGAACAGTATTGGCAATTAAATTGATGTAAATCGCAATCTGCACAATTCTATCACCACTCTCGACACTGTCATCCTCCATACCGGGAATTTCAGGCTTTGGCCCATCGTATTCGCTATCTCCCTCAAAGACGAGAAGAGGTGTCTCTTCCGTTACCTTGTAAATTTCTCGCGGTGTCCGTTTTATTCTCTTCGGTACGGATATAGAGGTATTGCCATTGTTTGCTGGGGTTTCTAGTTCCGGGGGTGTACGCGGTTCTTCTGATATCGTAGTGGGCACTTCAAATCGCCCACTGCATGCATTGTGCTCGTATTCATTCAAGAGGTCATGAGGTATCGAAGAATCAAGTAGCCGATCAATGTAAATGTATTGTTGAATGAGAGAATTCGTTCGTTCGTAGTACTGGCGTCTGTGAGGCTTGTCAGTTTTGGTCATAAGGCTGAATGTTTGCGCCCGTGACACTTTGAGTAACCTACATCGATTTCTTCATACCCTTCAAGTCTTCCTCGGTTTTCCAATACCTCTCCCATTTATATCGCGGATTGCTATTGCCAATAAGGCGTTGACTACGCATCTGAGGTCCATTGAGAACAGCACTCAGGCGTCTCTCACTGAGATCATCGCGGTCGTCAAATACACTACGAGGGCGCTCTTCATCATCCGAAGATTCTCTACCTAGAATCGATGCGGACGTACGCCGAATGGTAGCCAGTGATCCATTTGAATGATTCTTGATAAGTCTAGACAAGGCGCCTTGTCCATGTGTTGTCATAGGGCTTGTACTTTCTGTACTGAGAGGCTGCCAATTCGAGAACCCCTGGTACCGGCCAATTTTAACATTATGTTTCGGCGGGCTTGAAGAGTATGGGTTATTATCTTCGGTCATTTTTGCTAATGGCAGATTCAAAAGTGTCATAAAACTACGCTCATATCGAAGCTCTGAGTTTTTTTTGCGAGATAACGTCGATCAAACGTGCTCGGAATCCGAAGAAAGATCTTACAATGGCAAAGGAACTGCCAAGCGACGGGACTCAACTGATCTTGCCGCCCGAGATACGGCCTTACTGAAGGCATCATGCTAAAGAAATGTTGTATGCGATCATCTGTGCAGCATCACAACGAACTTTATATAAGATCTTACATATATTTATATATTTACAAAGATTTTCTTATCAGGTAATCATCATTAAGGTCTTTGGAAAATATCCACTTTTCCTCTGTCCGAGAACGATCCTCACTGGGGAGGGCTTGCTGCTCACTGCATTGTGATGGCACCACCAAAAGTTAGGTGATTCAGACTTAAATTTTTGTTACTGGCACGTTCCTATTATCTGCGGCTCTATTCATACAGCTCATCATGAGTCAATTCATATGGCTCACGAGGAGCATGTTGATAGAGCGCCATTTCAACTACAGTTTAAGAGTTCCTCGTTGAGCAATTTGGTTTGTTGATATTTGGGATTTACTGCTGCAGGTGTATGTAAATACATCTACCATAGCCTCATACCTACTTACCTATACCAGTAGTTTGAAGAGCCAGTGAGTTTGATGTTGAGTGATGTTAATAAAAGGTGGATTTGACCTCTACCAGAGGTACCTAGGTAAGCGTCTTACTTAAGAGTCTAAATCGGTAGCCACTGATACCTACGGAGACGGAGTTTTATGATCAGAGCCGTATCATTATCATCCATCACCATCAATGCTAGAAGGATTTCCGTGCAACAGACAAATGTCCATGGAGTAATACAAAGTTCCAGGAATATTTCTGTACCTTACATCCATCTATCCATCCATATGTTTGGTTCCTGTACGAAGATAGAAACGCTTTGGCCATGACTTTACAGGGTCTTATTACTCGTAGGGCGATGATTTTGATACCGTATTTCGTAAGGCAAATCACAAGCATAACCTAATGAGCGAGAGGGGCTCCCTTGGTTGGGTTTGGAATAGATGGAGAGGGAAGTATTTTTGTGTCAGGATTTACCTCTCAGAAAAACTCGAATACATTACTCCGTAAAGAAGCTCACAGTTACAGGAAGTCAGATCTTAATATTAGACATAACTGCTGTAGTATGATTTGAAATAACAATCTTATAATTTTATATACAAACTGTGTGAATACCTATATACATTGAACTGATTGAATGCAAACTCGTATGCCATTCCCTTTTTAATCTTACTCATCCACGTCCACATGGTTGTGTGATGAGATGAAGCTGTACCGATTATTATATGGCATGAAAGGCACTATCGTACCAAAGTAATCTAGCAATACGGAGCTTTGCGAGTCCTAGCATGGCATGGTACGGCTTCTTTAAGCGATTGTAGAACTTCCCAAACGATAAGCATTTCGCTGTCGTCGAATGTATCAAACAAAATCAACAACTGCAAACCTCATGCTGCTACCAGCAAAAATAGAGTAATTCAATCCGAAATCCAGAAGCGCATCCTTATTTACATCTTACTGTTTCGTGTAAGTCGATCCTCTCTAGTTTATTCTTGATTCGTACAGCGTCTTAGGTCTATCTTCGGGTCTTCAAGTGGGAAGTAGACTCGAGAGCCAACAAGTGTTTGATTTGTCTTTCAACGATGCGCTCTAGGATGTTCGCCCATCCTTAGACACCGTTACTATCGCAAATACATGTCGCGAGGATAGAAGTTCTTGCTAATACATATGTGGTCACCCAGATGAAGGAGCGATTCACAAACACAGAAACGACAACCCCCACTCGTCGCGAACGACTTTAGTCGGCTTGAGAAAATCATACACTGTTTTGGGTTCAATATCCAACATTCTGTTGGCGCTTATTATAATATTCAATTCTAGAGGAAATTCTACGTTAAGGGCCCGCATCTTTGAAGGCAATTCTTGGGTTCATACCAATAGTCTGCGGCACAGATAGAAATCGCAATCCCATTATCGAGATTACCTCATTTCGTCTTTGATTTCAGCGACGTTTCCCCTCCAAAGCTATAAACACCGACGAGCTCGAACAAAGAACTACGTATTCAAATAGCTCTACTACTCCGGACTTTACGTTTCATAGTCAATTTTCGCAGTCCCGTCGAATCAACCAATCATTGCATGCAGTTTATTTGTATATCCGCCGTTGCTAAGCCTCATTGACTTGCACTGCCACCGTGCCTGTAAGGCTCACTTCTAAACAAGACAACCTCGCAATATTTCGATATTTTTAGAAGGAGCAAACAAACTTTCGTCATGGATTCACAACGTGGAAGGTCTCCATCTGGAAGTCACCAACATATAAGGAATCATTCTCCATCCCCGCACCCTTTCCAAGATATGAATGGATTAGGCATTGCTTTGGATCCTTCGAATGTCAACCACCAACAATTTCAGGATAACTTTAATAACCAAAACACAACACTGCCTACATATGTTGGCAACAACGATTTCTTAAATCAAGGTCAACAATTTACTCAAGGCGGACTTGGAGAGACCAATTTTGCGCCAAGCCAGGCCCAGGACTTTTCCCAATTCAAACAAGAAGACCAATCATCCTTTGCTCCCCCACAGCGAAGCTTTACCCAGGAGCTCCTGAGTGCCAATTTCGACGGAGATTTCTCATTATATCCTAACACAAGTGGACAGAACGAGCAATTTGATCAGTCTTTCTTCATGAATGAGCTTGCGCCCCAGCCTGCGAACCCATCTATCAACCCTGCAGAATTGAATATGTCATCTCCCGTTCATACACCAACACCACCAAGTTTAATGCCGCGTGACTCCCGTTCGCCATCTTCCTCTCATCAGTCCCCATCTTTCAACCAGGGCCCCTTTCAAGCATCTTCACGTCATTCACGAAACGCATCACTTGGCCCCGAGAGTGCTGCTTTCCCAATTGGGCATAATCCTGGTGATTGGAGTATGATGCCACCGCAATTCACAGGTCATCGTAGAACACCCTCTGAATACTCAGATATTTCATCCGCCGCCCATTCTCCTAATTTAGGTCACCACGATAGCTTTGAAGCGATTGAGCAACAGCACTCACCAATGCAACATCCCCAAGACTCTATTTACCAGGACGTTCTCGCAATTGGCTCTTTTTCTTTGGCTGACACAAGTCCTCGTCCTGGAATCAGTCCAGGCCATAGTCCTGCAATATCACCGCGACTTGGGCCTCAACAGATACCAAATATGGATCAGCAGAGTGCTTTTATGCTTAATGCGAACAATGGCTTTCCTTCGCAAAACATCTACAATCAAGTACAAGAATCGTTTCCGCAGATGCAACACAACAGTTCTTTGGATATGGGACAAGCGCAACAAATGGTACCACCTGAGATTAATGTAGAATTTGCGCCGGCATCCAGGCAGAACAGTTTTGATCCTCCAAAATCTGCCCTTGACCAAGACGCGTTGACTCCACCCGATCGAGGTAAGTGGCTGCCGATTTCACGTACACGTGATTGTAACTAATTTTTCCAGGTCGTCGTAGGAGAGCTGTCTCGGACCCGTATAATAGTCCCCGCGGTCATAGTCCTTCAGTCACCTCTCCTTTAATGAGGAATTCTCTATCTCCATCAGGACACGACTCATCGGCATCGCGCTCCTTATCACCGAATGATCGATCTGGAGCAACTTCACCTGGCCGACGTCGACAATCCACGTCATCCCTGCCAAATCGAGATTATATTCTTGGTTTGGCAGATCCTGATTATCAGGCAGCATCGTCCGATAACGGGAGTGCGAAGCGGGTTCAAAAACATCCAGCAACTTTTCAATGTAATCTTTGTCCAAAACGCTTTACCCGTGCCTACAATCTTCGTTCTCATTTGCGTACACATACTGATGAGCGACCTTTCGTCTGCACGGTTTGCGGCAAAGCCTTTGCACGCCAACATGACCGGAAACGTCACGAGGGTCTTCATTCTGGAGAGAAGAAGTTCGTATGCAAAGGCGAGTTGAAGCAAGCCGGTTCATGGGGTTGCGGCCGTCGCTTTGCTCGAGCTGATGCATTAGGTCGGCATTTTAGGTCTGAAGCTGGCCGAATCTGTATCAAACCTCTTCTGGACGAAGAAGCCCTGGAACGACAGCGATTATGGCAAGAGCAAAGAATGCAAAATATGCATATGCAACAGCAGCCTATGGGTCAAGATCACAATGGTTTCCCTGTGGATACTAGTGGAACTTACGGCTTACCCGCTGCACTTCTTGCACAATATCCTGCCCTAGCGAATTTGAGCTGGTCAGAGATGCCTCAAGGTGATAATAACATTGATGATGATCATAGTGGCAGGAGCAGTTTCGATGCTAGCGGTTCCGAGTATTACGATGAGAATGATGACGGGGGATACCTCTCTAGTGGTCCCAATCCACAACATGGTTACCCTCAACCTCAGATGGCGGAAGCATACAATACTGGTTATACGGGTGACATGAGCGGTCGATAGCTACCTTGTAATGACAGCGCTTGATGGGCATACGCATCGATTCTTCTTTATTACTTCACGGGTTATCGACTTGTAGAGTGGACTTTTAGGTATTGATGAGGTTTTTTCTTTTGGCGCTTTTAGATACCACAAATTCTTTTGTTAGGTTTTATGTTATAGCTCTCTGCGGTGAGCGGCAGATGCTTCATAGGTTCTCTTAGTTTATTGATTCTTTTGGGATCTTGAGAGAGTGGAAATGGTTGATCCAACCTTGCAAGATTCCAGCAAATGAATCTTAGAATGATACACATTAAAAATTATGTTTTATGATGCTTCTGTATCTGAAATCTCGCCGTGTTCTTGATGAATGCATTTGGAATGGACACAATATCCACATATCAATTGATCCCAACACTCCAAACGATTTAGATGTTCAAAGTTCAACGTTCCAGTAAGATCCAGCATCACAAGCTACCTCTCATTGTTAACTCTAATCTGCACTATTGATTGCCCTAGCAATGAAGTAGAACCATATACTAGGTAGGTAAATAAGTATAAACAGACAAACTACCTTCATACCCGGCGTGCAGGGAGATTAAAGATTACTACTATGTACCTATGTATGGAGTTATATTGTGATGGTTCGTTCATCTTATGAAGGAAGCGGTTCATTTTTGTATATTTATGTATACTAGGTTTTTATATACTAGGTAATTACGGAATAGAATTGATATGAAGATATCGATTTTTGGGGGTTGGAATTGGTTGTTTGTGGATGGTGATGCCTTTTTAAATGTAAGATGATATGTGGGATGGGATGAGACAAGAGGATGAATCTGAGCTCGCGGCGCTGAAGTCACGGTGTTTGTGCGGCTGGTGAGATTGAATAGAATTTTTATTTCGAAATATATAAGTGACAAGTAATAATAATAATAAGTGTTTGCTGTTTCAAATTCGGTAGTGTTGCATTATACAAAGAGCAGAGCTTACGGACAGCAGAACCACACTAGCGCAACTATGCCTTAATACCAAGGCCATTGATTATACTCACAAGTCATCAAGACAAGACCGCAACAGAATACTGACGACCTTTTATTTTCAATATTTTAAATCAAAACCCGCTTGCTACTAATTCTACAAAGCCTTACAAAGTAAATACCAATTTCTCACCGCTAACCTTACCCTCCTTCAATGCCTGCATACCGGCCAAGATTCCCTCGAATCCTTCTCCATACTTGTTCACGCTGACCTTGTGAACCTTGAGTTTTCCCTCAGCCAGAAGTCCCTGAGAGATCTCCCAGAATTTGACTCCGAATTCGAAGTGACCAGGGATGGCGGGGATGGTGTTGGCTCCGAAGGTGAATTGCTCGCCGACGGCTGTATAGGCTAATGTTGACTTGTTCTCGATCTTGTCGTTGAACTTGTGCACGTTTTCGGTGGGGACTGGGAGGAGTGTGCTGTATACGCCGCCGGAGGAGGACATGGCTGATACTGTGATCTCTATGCTATTACCTTCGGAGATACAGTCGAAGGCGTGTTTGATGCTGTCCTTGGTGTATTCTTTGATGTCTTGTGCGCAAGTTGGGGAGTTGTAGTCGAAGACTTTGTCGGCTCCAAGGCTTTCCAAGTAGGCAAAGTTGTGGGCGGAGGAGGTGGTGATTACTTGGAGGCCGGAAAGCTTGGCGTATTGGATTGCGAGAGCACCGGTGGCGGTGGATCCACCGTAGATGAGGACGGGGAATTTCTCTGAGGTGGGAGCGTTGGGGAGGGGTAATTCGAGGGATTGGTAGAGACCTTGTCCGACGCTGAGGGATGTGTTAGTCATGACTTTCATGAATGGATGGATGGTGTTTGGTAAGTCTTACGTTGTGATTCCTACACCGAGGGTGGATGCTTCTTCGAAGCTGAGGTTGTCTGGGATCTTGATTTGGATATCTCCTTTTGCGGTGATGATGTTTCCGAATGCACCATCGTCGTGGTTAACTTCGTTTCCTCCGTGGCAAACACCACAAACACGGTCGCCTTTCTTGAAGTCCTTGGTAACTGCGCTTCCAACCTCTTCAACGATACCTGCATAATCACATCCGATCTAGCGGGTAGCTATTAGCATTGCTTGGTGAGCATAAAAGGATAGCATCGACTTACTCTTGCTCCGTTAGAAGTTAACCATTCAACGTGCTTCCAGTCAGTTGGGTTCAAAGCAACAGCCTTGGTCTTGATCAGGATGTAGTCATCTCTAAGCTTTGGGATTGAGGCTTCAGCTGCCTTGGCTTCTCCAGGCTTCTGGACAACGATTGCTGTGTTTGATGGCATATTGAGTATTGAGTATTGGAGATTGAAGATTGGAGATTGGAGATTTGATTTAAATGTTCATAAAGAGTAAGATGATATGGATATGATATGTTCAATTCTCGAAGGATTTCGAAGGCTTTAAGAAGACCTTGAGGCACGCACCACCGGTAGTCTTTATAGCATGATTGGAAATCATCATTTTTCAAAAAACAGAGATTGAAGTCATAGAGTGGAGACATAAAAACTTTGGATTCTATTCTTGGCCTTGTTAAGGAGGGGACTTTGATGCGGGGTGAAGTTTCTTTGGCTGGGAACCTTTCGCTTGACATCATTATGTCCGTTCTCAACATGGATCACTCCCATGACTAAGTACAATGGGAAAGGAAATACCGTGGTAGACCTCGGAGTAATAAGAAGCATCTAGCATTTCTAGGTGATAAATTACTAATCTCTGGAACAAGTCCGAGGAACCCCACCTCTATGCGGCGATGTCTTGACAGCATACCGCACGATCCTGCAAGATTCGGTTTTTGGTATTGGGCCGATCCTTGAGCGGATGAATTTTGGCCCGATTATGCCTAAAATGGTCAATGTTTCTGTGGCTTGGCTGTGGCTCTTCGAGTTTACTCACTAGCCACAATCATCTCGCCAATCGTCGAGATTACAAAGGTGGTCTTGCATTGAACTCCATGTTACGCTCGAGACATTCGGCTCTTGATATTTGCCGGACCTCTATGCGGACAAAATATCATACCGGTTTTGTCTGATATTTTTGGTGCAACCTATGGTTGTGTATAGTTGATTGGGCAAAAACCTTCAGCTAGGTACGATTTAGTCGGTTACCAATCAATGAAGCAGAGGGCGGTCCAATATTCGTCCCATTGAATTCAAGCCGATGCCAAAAGCCCGAATCTCTGATTATGCGGTACTGTATGATCATGATATCCGTAACCGAAAATATTAATAAGAAGCCAAAGTCCACGACCATTGTATTTCGAAGACGAAACAAAGCCAAACGATAACAACTCGATCTTCAAGGCATGAAATGTGCGGAGAAATGCGAAGATAAACGCGGCATACAACAAAATAAAGCATGACGACCTCAGATTACTTCGGACTGAAATCAGATGACTGAGCGATTGTTATCCACACAAAGTACATAAACCAAACTACCTACGGGTGCAACTGACAACTTCTCAACTTCTCAAAATAGCGCTCGCTGTACTTTTTGGTTTGTCTCATTGTTTGCAACATTGTTTGCCTTAAGTTCAACTTATTAGTACTCGCGGTGCTTTTTAGTTTGCCTCATCCTTTAGCCTCGAACTCATACTTGAGTCTTGACTCGAGATGCCTTCCACGTTGCAAGTTTGTGGTTTGCGGTTTGTAGGTTCGCATCATGGAAATGTTTACGAAAGATGTCGGTTCTACCAGGTATTTACTTTTTTTACTCGGACAAAAGAAAGATAATATTAAGGCGCATCGGTACCCGCGGTTTGTTATGCTTGCACATCCTTCAAACGAATCAGAATGTATCTTTCCACTGATACATCACATCTTTGGTTGCCACACCTACCCGATTTTAAGTGTGCACTTGTGACCAGCCAACCAAACCCATGGCCACGAGGGAAACAAAATCGCTCTTATGCATAAAGCTAATTGTCTAATATAATTTGATAAAAATCTTCAGATCCTTTCATCAGCTTGCCTTGCCAATGCGAGGGATGGAGGTGTAACCATTGTGTGGCTGCACTTTTCTCATGAATGATACTTATATCAAGAAGCGGTGTAGCAAAAATAAATTTATACTGTAAATACGGAGTAGGAAACCTCAAATAGTGGAGAAATAAAATGGCATAGCCTCGAGTTGAAAGTGTCCAGAACTTATGGAGAGAGAGCCTGAAATGATGAACATTGACAACAATGGGAATTAAACCCATCAAACTGTAATACAAGTATTTTAACCATGAATTAAGTACTCGTACCTCTTCAACACAGGCCAGTTCACGCAGTACAAGCAAGCAAGCAAACCTTAGCTATAAAATTCTCAAGTCGTGCCAAAATCCACGCTCCCACAGATCTGCCCTACCGATTCAACTTGGGCCTGTTAGTTACCTGTCCACTCTGCCTGTACCCGCAACCTCTAGCACTAAAGTGGAAACTACACCAGTCATCGTGTGTTCTTTTGTCCCATTCGATGAATTGCGCACTTGCATACACAGGCTCTATTACTATCATCCAATGCGAGAATCTTGTTTCATGGAATCTTGTTGGTCAATGTAAACACCCTCAATCGCTTTTATTTCCATATTTGATTTACACACTCTCTAGAAAATGTCATCTTCGAGAATGATCGTATATCAGATGGATGCGAACGTTTGATGTGTGTGGACCTAGGTATCTTTTGATGTGGACCGGATAGGGTTTCGATAAGGATTTCATTTGGGGGATCAACAATCTCAGCGCAGAATACCTGGTTGAATGTCTCAGAATTGGCGAAGGATACAAACGACCAGGGAGATATTCTACGTGTGACCACATCCGGAGGTCTCTTCATACCATACGATACCCTCTCTACATGATCTACCTATACTTCAAGCTCACTTCATAATAATATCGAATTGTTGTATTTTTACTTATATTTTCCCAGTCTTCTCCGGTTTTTCTCTCTTTCCTCTTTTCCGACATCACTCGTTCCCTTCTGCCACGCATTTGAACCATATCCCACTTTGCCAGCCTCCCTCTCAGACTGCTCTCATGCCGAGTACCACACAGCTTCGATGAATTTGACATCTCCATGCCATAACAGAAGTTCGAATATCCACAATGGCAGCGGTCGAGGCTTTGTCGTACGGAAGCGATTGCCCGGGGAGCGATTGTGGATCGACTACGACGTTTCCTTGGACGATTGGGTGGGATGACGGGGATATTTGCATAAGGTTAGGATTTATCGCGAGAGCTTGGGAGGCATCGCGAATACATAAGGATGTGTATCATTCAGGATTGGTATGCATACAATGATTTTCTAGTGGTTTTATTCCTATGTCTACTACTAGCTCGGGCTGGCGCAAAACACATTGTACTTCTGGTTTGATGTTTGGAGGAATCAATCTAATGGTCGCGAGCACTTGGGACGAGATGGGATAATCCGGGAGCAAATACATATATTGGAATTCGATCAGTCATCTCCGGTCATTTGCCAAATGCTATATATGCAGCAGCGGCTTCATTTTTTGCACGAGGTGGTTTATGCTTCGTGACATAGATATCTAACTTTGTTCGCAGAACAGATCTTCCCATTCGAGAGACGTGCGGTCTCGCAGACGTATACAAGGAAGGTTGAAAACCGCAGATTTATTACCAAGATGGCAATGTGATATGTCTGCACCAAACGACAAAGACAGTATAACTGACCTACACGAAACCGATTCACTCGCCAAATCCCGAGCACAAGACTTTACCGACCACCCCATTACTCCTAGAATCTCCCGAGAAAGAAAACGTGAACCTTCACAATTTGGCGATCCTAGGCTAAGTCCTTCTGTCGATTTTAGTTCTCAAGATGGATTCAAGGTTGCTGCGAAGAAGAAGAATAAAGGTAAAAGTTATGCGCCTGTCGCCAGACCAAGGGAAGATGATGGAGATGATGAAATGAAGAAGAACGAGGATGACGGTAATAATGGTGACAAAGGGCATGGCACAGGCGGTGATTCTGGGGCTAATGGAGGCGATTCCGGGGATGGAGGGGGCGACAAAAAGGACGATGACAAACGGGAAGACGAGAAGAAGGAGGAAGAGATTAAGGAAGAGGAGAAACCCTTTGAGCCAGCCGCCGAAGACTTACCGGACAGCTTCACTGTAACGACCAAGAAAGACAGAAAGAAGAAGAAGGGAAAATATGCCGAGCCGGAACCAGAACCAGAACCAGAACCAGAGCCAGTACCGCCTCCGCCGCCCCCCGCGCCCGAGATAAAAGTTGCCGATACATTCGATGACATCAAATTAGATGATAAACCTAAGCTCAATCTCAATCCGGATACAGGCGGCAGTACCGCAAGCCCAAAATTACCTGGTGTTCTCGGTGGATGGGGTAGTAGCTGGATTACTGGAGTATCAAAATGGGGAATCGGGAGCGCAACCAGTGCGAGAACTCCATCTCCAGTAAATAAATCCGCGGAAGATACTAAAAATCCTTGGAGTAATGATCGTGGTAAGCCCGAACATCAAGACCTAGGATTTACATTTGGCGCCCTTGAACAGGATGAAACTAAACGCAGCTTAGCGAATCCCCGGAAACTGGAAACAAAGCCTGACCCGAAACCTGAACCAAAGCTTGAGCCAAAGCCTGAACCAAAGCCTGACACGAAACCGGAATCGATACCAGAAGAAGATATTGGAATTGGCATTGGTATTTCCAAAAAGGAAAAGAAAAGGAAGAAAGGCACTGTAGCATCAGCGATAGACATGTTTGAAGTGGCTCCAAAAGAAGAACTAAAAGTGGAACCTCCGAAACCCATTGATATTCCTGCCCTGGACGACGCTTGGGGTGCCTGGGGAGCTACAAGCAAAAAGATGAAAGGTAAAGCAGCCAATGAAACCCCTAAAGCCAATGAAACTCAAAAAGTGGAAGCCGTAGTCGAGCCGGTTGTTGAAAAGAAACCACCCACTCCTGAGCCTGCCCCTGAACCTGCCCCTGTGGAAGATATCTGGAACATCGGAACAACCTCCAAGAAAAACAAGAAGAAAAAGGAAAAGCTTGCTGAACAATCAAAACCAGAAGACTCACCTCCACCGGATGCGGAACCCGAACCCCAAAAAGAGCCCGATCCCGATCCTATTCCTGAACCGAAAAGGGAGGAGGAACCCATTTCCATGTGGGGTAATTCAAAATCTGGTAAGAAAAGGAAGGGCAAAAATGCCATTATTGACGAACTGCCAAAAGTAGAAGAACCACCACCAGTCGTAGAACCACCCGAGCCCGAGCCTGTTGTTGAGGAAGAGGTTGAAGAAGATTTCGGTTGGGGATGGGGACTTTCTAAGAAAGAAAAGAAGAAGAAGAAAGAAGCCGTGGAAGAGCCAATACCTCCCCCAGAGCCAGAAAAACAGTCCGAATCTGAGCCACCACAATCGGAACCAATTGCAAACACTAGATTGTCCAAGAAGGAAAAGAAAAGGAAAGGTAAGAACATTGTTATAGAACCCGAGATTGTGAGGCCACCAACACCACCACCACCGGAGCCGGAACCGGAACCGGAACCCTCTTTTGAACCGGAACCTGAAGAAGATACCAATGTATGGGACTCGTGGGGACTCAGTAGTTCCACAAAAGACAAGAAAAAGCAATCCAAGGATATCATTATACCAACTGCTCCAGCGATCGGTGGTTTTGATTGGGGATTTGATGACAAAGTGAAAGATGAGCCAGCTGAAGGAGAGTTCAAGGATCCAGAACCAGAACCAGTCTCAAAATCCGTGGAATCTGTGGGTATCTGGGGTGCTCTTACCTCTAGTAAAAAGAAGGACAAAACCTCGAGCAAAGATAAAGATAAAACCTCTATCAAGGACAAAGAGAGGAGGAAAGGTAAACGGAGTACCGAGGAGCCTAGAGTAATCGAGGACTTTGATGAACCTGTACCTGCACCGGCTCCTGACCCGCCTCCAGCTGTTGCGGACGATTTTGACTGGGGTTTTACTACTACTTCAAAGAGAGACAAAAAGAAGGTTAGCAGAAACAGGGAATTCACTCCTGAACCTGAGAATAAGCCGGCCATGGAAGCAATTGAGCCCGCAGATAGTAACAACGGCTGGTTGAACTGGGGACAAAACACGAAAAGGAACAAAGAGGAGCCTTTACTTCCTGTTGATGACTATGAAGAGCCCATGTCACCTCCGCCAGTCCCGGATGCTCCCCCTGCCGTTGACGATTTCATGGGATGGGGTTTGTCTTCAAAAGAAAAGAAGAAGAAAAGGAGCCTTGTCGAAGAACCTCCAAAGCCTGAGCCTATCAAGGAACCCAAGTTCGATGACTTTTTTAGTCCGATCTCTTCCAAGCCACTTGTTAAGCTTAGCAAGAAGGAACAGAAAGAAGCCGATAGGGCTAGAAGGAAGGCAGAAAGAGAAGAAGCTGAAAGGAAGTTGGCAGAGGAGGCAGAGGAGGCAGCTAGATTGGAAGCCGAGGAACAGGAAAGAATTGAAACCGAAGAACGGGAAAGGTTTGAGGCTGAAGAACGAGAAAGGCTTGAAGCCGAGGAACGGGAAAGGCTTGAGGTTGAAGAACGTGAAAGAGTTGAAGCCGAGGAACGGGAAAGAGTTGAAGCCGAAGCGAAAGCTAAGGCTGAAGCTGAAGCCGAATCAGAATCGGAATCCGAGCCAGAGCCTCCCAGGAACGATTGGAGCTCAATATGGGGTCTAGCCTCGGGCAGCAAACAAAAGAAGAAGAGCGAAAAGAAGAGCAAGAAAAAGACTATCCTCGAAATTGAAGCTGCGCCTCCAGCTCCATCTCCAACTCCGCCAGTGGAGCCGCCGGTGGAGCCGCCAGCAGAGCATGAGACAGATAATTTGTGGGGTTTTGGATCCACATCGAAGAAATCAAAACCTAAGGAGAAAGAAGCTCGTCCTGTCAAACTTAGCAAAAAGGAACAACGAGAGGCTGATAAGGTAGCCGAAAGAGCTAGGAAGAAGGCTGAAAAAGAAGAGGCTGAAGCGAAAGCTGCAGAAGAAGCGGCTAGACTGGAGGCTGAAGAACAGGCAAGGCTCGACGCCGAGGAGCAAGAACGAATTGAAACCGAGGAACAAGCAAGAGCCGAGGCTGAGGCTTTGGAGGCCGAAGAGCAAGCTAGAATTGAAGCTGAAGCTGCTGAGGCAGAAGCCAAAAGATTAGCCGAAGAGGCTGAAGCAGCTAAACCCAAAATGAAGTTGACAAAGAAACAACAAAAAGAAGCCGATCGATTAGCTAGGAAGAAAGCTGAAGAGAAAGCCGAAGAGGAAGCCGCCGCAAAGGAGGCAGAAGAACAAGCTCTTAGGGAGGCGGAGGAGGAGGAGGCGGCGAGAGAGGAAGAGGAACGTTTAAGAGAAGAAGAGCGAGCGAGAGAGGAAGAGGAGGAACATGAAAGAGAGGAAGAGGAACGTCTAAGAGAAGAAGAAGAGGAGCGCATAAAGGAGGAAGAGGAGGAACGTGCAAGAGAGGAAGAAGAGGAGCGTATAAGAGAGGAAGAGGAGCGTGCTAGAATGGAAGAAGAGCGTGCCAATAGAGAAGCGGAGGAGAAATCTGCCAGAGAACAAGCTGAAGCTGCTAAAAGGGCCAGGAAGGAATCTAAGTTAAGTAAGGGTAAGAAGTCTAGACACAACAAGGAACCAGAACCTATCCCTCCACCACCACCACCGCCAATACCGGCCAAAGCTCCCACTCCAGAACCAGATGAAGACCTAGAACCAACCCAGGAAGAAGTGGACGAAATACTTGCTTTAGGAAATCGCGCAAAGCCAGCGTCGCAAGCCTTTAGTTTTTGGGGAGCTCCCAAAAAATCACCAGTAGTAGAGAAGCCGTCACCAAACAAGGATATTGAATTCGGTAAGACTAATCTTACTGAGGCATCCACCAAGGATCTCATGGCTTGGGGCACGGGACCAGATGAGATTGCGATTGCTGACAAAGCGACGCGTCCAGAAACCTCTTCTAAGAACAAGGACACGACATCTAAATGGCCACCACCCTCAATAAAATCAAGCTTATTAAAGAAACCACTTGGAGGAACAGTAGCTGATAGGTTAAGAGCATTTGAAACAAATAAATCCCCTGAAGAGCTCGATGAGCGTAATGAGCCCGACGAGGCTGAGGAAGTAGAGGGTTATTTTCCCGCGCCTTCTCCTTCCCCATCTCCTCCCCCGCCTCCGCCTCCACCTCCACCTGTCGTGCAGCCTGTGCCGACTAAGGAAGAAAGGAGAAAATTAAAATCATCCAGAAGAGACAAAGAAAGGTTTGAAGATCCAGAAGTATTTCCTGGTGCAGTCCCGGGAACCTCTTACGACGACGAAATTGTTGATGTTGTTGAGATGCCAATTCAAAAGAAGAACAAGAATAAATCTGGTAAGGTCAAGGAATCTTCTAGAGCACCACCTATACCTGTTGAACCACCCACACCACCTCCTGAGGTGGAACCGGACCTGGAACCGGACTCAGATCATAAATCTTCCAAGAAGGAACGACCTCGAGTTATTCGTGATGGATCTTCTTGGGGAGCCTGGGGAGCAGAGACTCGTAAGGAAGAAAGAGAAAAAAGATCATCCAGAGACCGTGAAGCTAGATTTGAGGAGCCTCCGATCATGAAAGAGGAGAGGAGATCCGCGAGGGAATCCGAACATAGGCACTCTAAATCCAGAAGACCATCTACCAGAGAGGAGAAAACTTCCTCATTAAAGGACTCATCTTCAGATAAAGCAGACAAGTCATCAAAGGCGGACAATAGACCACCGGTTTCTAGAGGGATATCAAATATGTTTGGCCCCCCAACACCACTATCAAGGTCTAATTCGAAGTCTGAAAAACGACCAAGTATAAGTAGAACAAGCTCACGCCGGCAATCCGCCAATATGGACAGCTCCGGTTACCCAATTCCACTTCCTGATGATTCTCGTGATCCTCCTTTAATGCCCGCAAAAGCCGCGAAAATGTTTGGTATTGGTGTTCCTGGCAAGCTTTCAAGAAGCAAGTCCGAAAAAATCAGGCCATCACGTGGTACGTAACTCCATACAGTTATCATAATTCTTACTTATGCTAACACCAATCATGAAGATGATGACGTGGTTGATGGTGACGTGGCAGATCCTATCCGCCATAGGTCTAGCCGTGATAGAAAAGGAAAGCCACAGGTAACTAATGACTCAATGTTTGGTGGGCAAGCGGCACCAAATGTCCCTATGCCTCCGCCTCCCATGGATATACCAATTCGAAGGAAGACTACGCCTACCACAGACTGGGGCGCTAATGCCAGGACATATCAACACAGACGCCGAGAGGATGATATTGTTATGGTAGACCCAGGCCCATCGGAAAACCTAGGAGCATCTGGATCTAAACGAATCGATCCAAGCGCTCGCAAATCTGGTTTAGGTGGCATGTTTGGAGGTGTTTTCGGGAAAAAGGATAAAGAAAAGGATCGCCCAGACCTTAAGCGTCGGAGTACTGCCCCAGCTGAAGATGCGAGTCGTGCATATAGACGGGATGATCGAAAGACTAGAAGATCTTCTAGAGATGTAGGCCCCGAAATCGATGTCACCATGACAGGTGCCGTTTCCGAAGAAGATCAAGAGGCAAGAAGAGCAGCTCGACGTGCACGAAGGGCTGAACGTGAACGTGAAGCCGGCCAGCGAGGTGGGGAGGATGCACGAGCGACCAAGGAGGAGGCAAGAAGGGATCGTCAACGTAGGGAAGAAGAAGATGAGCGTGAAGCACGAAGAGCAGCCAAGCGAGAGAAACGGCGTACTGCAGAGGCTGCTGAACGTCGAGTCGAAGAGGAAAGGGAAGCAAAAGAGGTCGAACGTGCTGAACGCCGAAGAGCTAGAAAAGAGAGAGAAGCTGCACAAACAGATGGAGAGCCACGTGGAGAAGATCCATCACGTTCTAAACGCAGACGCAGTCACAAAGATGGTGATGATGATGAAGCCCGTCGACGAAGACGTGAAGATCGGGTAAAATCATCAGATCCTCGGAAATCACGTCGCAAATCTGCACCAGCTCCAGAGCCAGAATTTCTTCCAGCGGATGGTCTCGTCTACAGCCGTTCAATACCTAAAGCCCCCTCAGCTTGGCCTCATACCGGTACAGACTCCTGGGTGAGACAGAACTCGGATGCACCCCCTCCACCAAATTTTCCTTCAAAAGAGGCATCTCCTGTTGATGACACCGTCGGCGGAGAAGCTGAGAGAAAAAGGATGAGGAAAACAAGGCCAGATGGGAATGACGATGATAGACGACGAAGAAGGGATGAACGAAAACGTGAAAAGGAGACAGAGAAACCTACGAGAAGCTCAGAAGGCAGTCAAGAGGATGCTTTAAGAGAAAATCAAAGAGACTCAGGTTTCGAGACGGCTAGAGCGCCAAGTGCTTCTGGTGGTCTCTTCGGTCGTTGGAAGAAATATGGTGGGTTCTGATGAAATGGAATGATTTTTATAACGAAATGAAAAAACGAAGATATGACCTACGATATTATTCTGGTCACGGAATTGGGTAGTACGAGCGTATGTATTTTTGATTTTGTTCTCATGTTTTGATTTTTGTCGTTAAAGCGAGCGAAGAAGCTTTGGAAGGTTTTGATTGCCAGGAGAATCTATCCGGTGTTATCGTTGGAGAAAGGTCTCATCGTTCTCTTCTATTGTATACCCTTACTATGTTTTTTATAATGTTATATCCCGCGCAGAGCAAAGTACTGTACACGTTAAGCTCGAAGAATCACAATCTACTTTTAGATGCCCTATTCATCCCAGGGGCATTTCACCTCTCTAAGTCCATCGTCCAATACTCAGAATTTGATCGCAACACTCAACCCTCAAATTACAAGCTTCAAACTTCTAGGTATTCACGTTCCAACGTCAAGATGAACAGCAGCCCATTTTAACCTAAGAGAAAGAAGTATATCTATGATATCTGATCTATACATTCTCCCAAATCTATGCATCACCTGATGTGATTCAATAACACAGTCTTGTCTACATAAAATAAGGTTACTGTACAAGTAAAGCACCTGCCAAAGTCAAGTTAAAAGGGAACAATTCGCTGAATGTAGTAATCAAAACTCTAAGGTGGGGCCAATCGGCACGGAATGTCGGGGTTGCCAATGTACGCTTAACCAGCTTAGGTTATTTTATCCTTTCGAACTGGTGGAATACAGAATTTGTGAGTGGTTACGAATGGTTGATATTGGTTGTATGGTTGTATGGCTGAATGCAGAGACCCAAGTAGATAGGAAGTCTTATCGATTGGAAGGATCACTTGGTCATATTTCTTGGAGATATGATACCTGATACCGGTACAAGATACCACGATATGGATGTTTCCTTGTATAGTTCGTACGCAGTCCATGTATGTGGCACGTAGGGGAACGAATGTGAGTGGAGAAAGCTGCACACCACTTCTTCCTTTATCTCGTCCACTTGGATCGGGATTCACAATCTAGCTATGATGATTCCTTCTTCTATCGCGATTTCCTTTCCCTATTTGAGATGGCTAGCTCGATGACCCGGTTGGTGTGCTTCTGTGGTACTGAGAGTTGTCGAGAAGACTCTTGTGTTTATATCTGAAGCAGGTCCACGTTTTCAAACTTCTGTGTAGCTTTAATATTGTGCTTTAATATTGAAGTTCAAGGTATAATCGCCTCCTGCGGAAGTCATTATCTCATTCCTTCCTTTGATCCATTACAGCCTTTCCACAATATGATATAGCCTATTTGTATCGCATTTGTTGTCCATTTTCAGTACACTTTATGGATTGACAACTTCTCGTACCTATCAAGTACACTTTAATACCGAACTACTTTTATTCAAGTAATAGATATTTGCGATTCCATATACATCCTGAAAAGCACGACGAGACTCGTCTACATCATTTACTCTCACGGCATACCGCACAACGACACCGAGAGCTTGGCACTTATTGGGGGTTTCCCAAGTGACACAATGATTGCGATCAATGCAACTTTATTATCAAACCAATGGCCTGTTGGTCTTGGTGTAATTGTATTGTTGCTCACTATCACTGCACTTGCATTTACACAAAGTTGGCACAGGTCCCTGTTCAAAAGGCTTCATATTCAGCATCGACGCGCATCTACCTCTGCAACACCCCCTCGTTCACTGTCTCCAAGCAAGAGAAGCACCGATAAATCGTTGAATTCCATTGGCAAAGCTCCAAATTATTACGATGTATTGCCTCCCTCCAGACGTTTCACGCTTCCACAGGTTGCGGAAACTATTCCTCCACGATTCGGCACAGTCTTGACCTCAACCAACCCATCAAATGAACACATGGCAAGGAATAAGTTACCTATGACTCAGGCTTATAATCTCGGATTCGAAACTCCAAAATATACACCAATGGGTTTTTCTACCCAGGAAATTAACGTCATGGGCGATTTCCCACCTTATCATATCTTGACCGGCGTCCCGCTACCTCAACCCTACAAAGGATTCAATCCCGAAACGGCTCTTGCTAGACCTTATAGACCTATAAGATGGCAATATCATCAAACTATGTGTAATTACATCCCCCTCTTCTGTTGAAGATATACTGATACATGCTAGCTTTTCAAAAAATGGAATCCGACTGGTGGCTCGAAGTCGAGAATACATACTGTTCTCGCATGGCCGAACGTCAGAGACTCTTCAAACAATACGGCAAAATGGTCCTCGACTATCTTCCTGGAAGTGAACTCGCCACTAAAGAACTCATGGAAATGTGTCTCCAATTCTACTGTGCCCGCTACCCCGCCTATTTCTCCCTCTCACCCGATAACAGAACATTCCACAATGCTCTCCTCAAAACTACTACCGAAATCAAATCCATGCATCCCTTACACGTCCTCCTCAACAACGTCCCCGAAGATTTCGCAATTGTGTTGAGAAATGACGAAGATGGAATGTATTATTTTCGCGCCGGCGTCATCTGTAGTTCACTGGGCTGGAATGTCGCCACGAAAATTGGTTTAAAACTCGAGGATATCCATAAGCCAATCCCAGATTACAAGGAAAAAATGTCTTTCAGTATGGATCGCTTTTTCACCAAGATGTCAGCCGATGCTCCAATTCAGCGCGGTAGCTGGGGTCTCGAAGTCGATTCTCCTTTATTTATGCCTGCTGGCCATCCGCATGAAAAATTGAGAGAAATACAAAAGGAAGATCTGACGATTGAAGAATGTAATTTGAGAGTTGACTGGCAGACACTAAGACGATTACCATTGAGTGGAGGCGTGGTATTCAACTTCAAAGCCTTATTCACGCCCGTGACGGAGTTTAGGGATGAACCATATATCCCAGCATTGATGTGCAAGATCTTGAAAGAAGGAAAGAAGAGTATGATGGAATATAAGGGAACTTGGCATGTAGAGCATGTGGTTATCCCGACAATGGAAGAGTGGGCCAAGGAACAGGTGGATAAGGGATGGGTGGTGCCGCAGGAGGGAGAGGAAGTTTGGAAGGAGGAGACATTAAGTGAGAGTCCGTATTTTCCCGGTTGGGAAGAAAAGTGGCATAGGCAGCAGGGATTTTAACTCGGATTCTTGGGAGGCTTTTAAGTTCTTTTAGCGGGTTTTGTGGATATTTTGCTGTTTTTTATGATCTTATAGCCTTCTTTTGTGTTTATTCTCAATATCGATATCCTCATTTTTTGATACCAAGTTTACTTACTTCCATATCAGGAGAGATGGGCGTGAAAATCAGTTATATAACATCTAATCATCAACAGTCTTGATATTCAGACAAAACTTGATTGATAAATTTCTATAAGCGCGTTTTATATTTGGGATAGCGGCTACGATAATTGTAATTTCGACCTTACATTACATGTCTACACCGCGGCTTTACTAAGAACATATTTTTGTTGATAGCTACCTTCTTCTTGTGATATTTTGATGAAACTTCTTCACCACAACTGGTAGGTAATTTGACACTAGTTCCAACATCAAATATAATTACAGCATGCAGCCTACATGGCAAGCGAGTCAAGCAAAAGGGGTATACACCCGTATCGAGAATTCAGAATTCATCAACGATCATTTTAAAATCAGATTGAACGATATACTTTGGAATTTCCACTGATGTCTCTGCATTCTGGATTTATCCGAGGATATGGTAGATGGTGGGATGGTAGATGAAAGCAAAACGTTGGAGTAATTTTAGTATAGCAATACCTAGCTAGGTACGTATGTGTACTAGGTACTGAAAATCAGGTGGATAAGATTAAGATGATAATGGAGGAAAGCAGTAGCCATAATCACTGTTCTTGGGACCTGGGATTTTGGATATATTTGAGATGTGTCTGCAGAAGGGGAGAATAGACAGTTAGTCGAATGGTGATGGTTTATGAGTGGGTTGAAGTTAATTAACTTCTTTTATGTTCTGTTCTGTTTTGTTCCGGGTTATTTTGTTTCATGATTGTGGTGGGTATTCTAGTGATTTTACGGCATCAATTAAATTAGGCATGTAGAAGGCAGACTTTTTTGAATGGATGAATCGATTTATACTACGTTGGTAAATGTAAATGGTGCTTGCTTAGTATTAAATGGTAAAGGTTAGAGACTCCATAAAGTTTTGGAAGCACCAAAGTATCTCAAGATTAAATTTATCAGTATATATTAATATAACCTCATTGCTCAACGATATCGATAATCTAGATTCTGCTCCGGTATTGGTACTTCTGGGCTGGTTGCACAGTGAGTTAGTTTCCTATATTCAGATTTTTTAGGAGGGAGAGATGGGTACGATGTGAAGTTATAAGCCATAGATTCTGCTTATATTAGATTTAGATATTTCTACCATTGTTGAGAAATAGTATCTCATCCCAGCTTCGTATAGTAAACTAGATTTTTCGGGAAATTTTGTTCTCATGCTCTTACTCGCTTACAATTGTATAAGAGCGCTGCTTACGACTTCTGATTATGAGTATGATCGCTAGATGTTCGAATTCCTAGTATTGATTCACAGTAGATTGATAGGGTATATTTTGAGTCAACGTTCTCATGTTACTCCGGGGAAAAATTGATGGGGTGTATAATTATGATAGAGCTGCTTTATAAAGTAAGTTAAGGTAGTCAAATCTGAAAATTAATGATGTGCTAATAAATTATTTCCTCATTGGTATCTGCAGCCATGAGAATGCACCTGCTTCGATCGCGAGAGGAGTATCGAAAAGTCTTCCCGTTGTGTATACCCATGTAAGAGTGAAGGTGTTGACCTCCTGGGATCTTGGCAGCATATGCATATATAGTACATATGCATATAAGGAGCAAACAAAACTCAACTTTTAATTCATTCTTTCCTTTTTGGTATACTGTTTGTTTGCTTTCAATATTTTGATTTCAAAGCACTTTAATTCCGAAGGCCGAATACCCAACCTATTCCTTCATTTTTTGAATATATGCTCGCAGCTTAACTGCTTAGCTAGAGGAAAAAAAATCAATTCAATCTGATGCTCTTTCTAGTCTCAAGAAACCCAACAGAAGGGGACTATTGGTATGGTGGGTGTGAGTCCTCAATAAAGCCATGTTGATTAATTACATTAATTACGGCGGCAGAAAAGTCGTTGCGGTATTTACACCACTCCACGAAACTCGTGTACTTATGTATGAGTCTTCATCTCTTTCCAATAACTTAGATGATCTGATGATTGAACTTTAGGAAGTTGCCCTGCACAGCGTTCCAGAATAGAAACTAGGGTAATACAAAATCTTTCTTTCACTTTTCTAACCATGTATTACTATCTTTGCGTTTTAATCTTCACCACTGTCTCATGTAGAAGTATCATGACTACTCTAAAAACAAGCAGCAAATCGGGAACGTGATATCAGGGGTATCGTCACTTCATCGAGTAGCTTCATTTCCAGTTAAAGGAGGGAGCATCTAAGAGATTTGAAGGAAAAGTATATCCTACTCACAGGAAGTGTAGGAGGTGTATGTTCATCCTCATCATCCACATTTACTTTCGCGGGATCCTAAAGTTAGGTGTAGTTATTATCTCAACGGAGGACTAGATAAAGATACAAAAATTCATCATGAGGCATGCCAAATAATTAACTCTAGCTTCGAATAACCTCACACTACTTACATTCCTCGAGATTGATCATTTAACGCTTCAAACCCAGATTTGTCTTCAATACATCCCCTTATGTTTAACTTCACACCAACATCATCTATCTACATCATTCGCAATACATAATTAGCTAATAAATCCCAACACCAGTCTCTATCTTCTAATTTACATCAGCATATACTTGAACCATTCTCGTAACTCCACTCCAATTTCATCTCACAGTCTACAAAAACCCCCCACCCTCCTTCTTATCTCATCTCATTCATTCATTCATTCATTCATTCATTAATACATATCCACAATCCCAACAATCTCAATCAATGATCCTCCCAAACCTACCTAATATACACCCAGATCAAACAAACAAACAACCAACCTCAACACTTCTAATCCTACAATACCTCCCTATACTATTAATAGCCTAATCCTAGAAATCCAATTATTCCCTCACAACCAAAAAAAGAGCCAGAGTTCTACATCCATTGCCAGAATCGAATAATAGCTTCATTCAGCGGGCGAGTAATTATGCTACTTCGTGAATAAATTTTTAAACATGAAGTTTTCATATTGATGAGATTTTTAAGAGAATACTTAATTATTGGGATATTGGATGCATATTTGTATAAAGATAATGAATGAGTAGACTGAGGAGAACTCCAGATTGCGGATTTTGCAGTTTTTATGGTAAGATTATGGGTTGTGAATGGAACAGTGATGAATGAATATGATTGGGAGGATGGTTGCAAGAATGGATAGGAGGGATGGATAGATACTGATGTTATTTAATTCCTGGTGAAGTAGGATGAATAGATATTTCTAATTAGATTTGAGATTTTTATATCTGTATTCTATATATCTGTAAGTCTAAAAACCCACTATCTGCACATATTAAGCTATGTAAGTTTTAAATTCTAGACTAAACCATCACTCTAATCTCATACTCATTTCTAACCAGTAAGATCATACATACATCATATCCCCTCATCTAAAACCAAAATCAAGCAATACACCAAATACACAACAACCACTTTCCCACACCGCCCCTCTCACCCACTCACCCAGACAAAAACTCCCCAATAAACCGCGCCACCTCTTCTCCCTTCGTAATCGGAAACTCATGGCCAGCCCCCTCAACAACCTTCCACACAATCTTCTCTTCAAATCTTATACCCTTCTTCCCATCACCTTTACAATCACCATTCCCATCATCCTCACCTTCCGCCCCAATACTCCCCACCACCCCCTCCAAATCCTCCTTCAACTCTTCCGCCAAAATAACATCATCACAATCTCCCACCACCACTAAAATTTTCTCTCTTTTGCTTTTACTTTTACTATCTTCCCCCTTTCCCCAAATTATACCATCACCACAGAAACCCCCAGAACCCCATAACTTTCTCCACGTATCACCACGACCCGAAACCGACGCATGCATAATTGAACTTGCAAATGCGTTTGCGTAGCCATGATGTTGATGTGTTTGCCAATGCATCACTTGTCCTACTGTTGTATATGGTATTGAGGGGGAAATAAGTGAATCGTCAAACGAGACCTTAATATCCGTATCCTGGTTTGTGATAGGAGATGCGGGAATAGTCGTTATGAGTTCTGAGTCAAGTTGTACTTGATCTTCATTTTGATTATCCTTAGATGAGGAAGAGGAAGAAGATGAAGAAGTAGGATTTGAAACCCCCGAATAAGCACCCTTAACCCTCCTCCTTAAAATCCACCCTGACAATCCATCAGGAAACCACCACTTCCTCATCATTTTTCCCATCCACCCAAAATGCTGCTCTCTAATCAACCCACTCGGCGCCAAAAGAACCACACCTTTAACCAACCCGGGAAACCCCACTGCAAAATCCACCGCAATACCTCCACCCATCGAAAACCCCAAAATATGAAACCCATCCCCACCCACCCACGCTAACTCAGAAGAAGCAAGAACGAGTAAAATCTGCGTCGTATAAAGTCTCTCATCATACGGTAAATCGAGCACACCATCCGAATAACCCCTCCCGAAAAGATCGAAAAGGAGAACTCTGCATCCGTGCGAGGAAGCGAGTGTCGTAGCGAGAGAATGCAGGGAGATACAGGGGGTGGAAATCCCGTGGATGAGGAGGATTTTGGGTCCGTTCACGGGTCCGAATTCATAGGCTCGTGTGCTGCCGTACTGTGCGGTGTTGGTTAGATCTTAGTTGTAGGATATTATTCATAGATGGGAATTTACGAACGGGACTGGGAATATCACGAGCCCCGGGGAATATATCCGGCGGATACGGTAATTTGGATATTTCCTCTTGGAAGAGAGTAGGAATTTGGGTGATGAGAGGACTGGGAATTATTTTAGATTGAGAATTTGAATTTGAATTTCTTTTTGATAAGGTAGTTTTGATGACATCTGTATCTGTAATTGTACGAATATCGCGGAAAGTAAAAAAAAGTAATGAAGTGGTAGCTAAGCCGGCAAAGAGCGATATCGATATTGGAATACCGAGGGATTGGTTCGGTACTATATTTGTGAATGTTTTGTGGATTGAGTTGAGACTTTGGGGAATGGTTCCCGTGGGAAGAAGCATCGTGTAATGAACATAAGACTTTTGTTGGTATTTGTGTTGATATCATTTTTGGAATATCGAGGGGTATTTGACAGGATGGCCGGAAACCGAGATTGCCGAAACAAGTTCCGCTGGGTCGTAAATAGTTATCACGTGTTTGAAGTTATTGATGAGGGGTGCTCCTGGTATTATAAATCGGAGATAAGATAGAAGATGGTGTATATAGGCTAGTGGTTAAGATTACAATGTTGTAGTCACGGCTGTCAAAGAAGGCAGCGAGTTAATGATCCTTCTAACCCAGTTTCCAAAATTCCCTTCAAGTGTAACAAGACATACAACTATTTCAGGCACATCGCTTGACGCAGTTTCAGTAATCCAGACTTTAATAAAGGTAGCGGATAGTTGCTCATCATGATACTGTAGTCTTACCTTTTCTCCCTCTCTTTCAGATGCGTAGGAACTAAAAAAGCTTGGATAGACACAACCATCATGTTTTGGGCAAGGTAAGGAAATCTGTTCAGGTTTCCTCCCTCCCATTTTCGAATACCGTTGCTGTGCAAGATTTGCAACATCTAGATACTCTAAATGTACTTTTATTCAAATTTCCAACTCATGGAAGATAATAAACAATCGACTGATCCCCATGATCTGCATATTCATCGACGTACCCGTCCAACGATCCAATTTCCTCGTGCCTAGATATACAACTATAGGTAGGCATCTAGTTATTATACATAGATGTAGATATAAATCACTTAACTTAAAAATGCATTTCCCCATCTCCATCTCCGCAAATGCAACATGTACGTAATGCTAGACAATATTTCTTTCACCATCTAATTTGACGGAAAAGAAATGATTAAAGTTTGAAGTTTGAAGATGAATACGGAAATCACACAAAGAGATTGAAGATACGACACCTGGATGGGCGTATATGCACAGCGAGACGCTACTGCAAAATTGATAGCGGGCGGCAAGGATCGAAAATGGAAGCTTGAGGGATGGGTAGGTAGGTTAAGGTTGTTGCGACAAGGGATGAAGGTGGGTTTCTCGGATTGATTGGAGATATAATTAGGTGTTGGAGCTCTCGCAATTAGATTTTGTGTATTTAGGAAATATCATGGGGATGTGAGGAAGAAGTCAGCAGATCAGTTTTCACTGCGAGGGAAGAGAAGATAAGACATTTGGATTGATATTTTTGTATATCTAAGTTAATCTATAGTGTAATGAGTGTTGTATACTCCGTAGGTGACAATGTATCGGAGCTACGGAACAAAGCTGACTCATGCGCGTAAAGCACGACGCGGAAAACGCGAATAAACGCGTTCATACGCGTGTACACGCGTCTTCCTTTTCCATGGAGCCCCTCTATTTGGTAAATTAGGAAGATGTTAGCATGACAGGGAGTAGAAAGTAACGAATGAGATAATACATCAAATGCACGATTTTCCAGGGGTTCGAAATGGAAAGTGTAAAGGATATGTTTCCATTATGTTGAAAACCGTTTTATATGCGAGGATGCTTGCTTGGAGAGGTGTGCAGACAGACAGGTGCAGACGGTAGAATATTATTTTGTTTTTCAGTACGGTATGTATTCAGATAGTAGATAAGAGAGGGGTTTGGAATAATGATTTCATCACTTTGATTAACCCTCACAACTTGGACAATATCGTATAATCGCAAGGGAAGCTTTGTATTGAGAGAGATGTCATTTGATCACTATGAGGTCGAACTAGTTGACATTTGGATATCCGACTATTTTATCTCCATGGTAAATCGTTAGCAATACGAACCGCTACACGTCATTGAGAATACGTATTGTGCAGTATACGAAAGACCTTAAAGAGATGGCTAATGCTGCAAGAAGGATACAAACCATTTCAATTAACATAATTACATCGTCTTACATGAACAGTAACTTGACTAAAAAGAGCATTAAAAAGACGTGCCCAAAAAGACATTTCAATCTCAAATCGACAAACTGAGATATGATGAAGAGAAGTGAAGAGACAGACATAAGTGATCATGAGACCATTTTAACACTGCAACTCTTAGCAAGACAGTCTCTGAGAGAAAGGGAGAAAACATCCACCTCTGTAAGTTCTGCTAGAAGGAGTGCTGAATAGAATAGAACCTATCACGCTAGATATTTGATTTAATTCCCGTGTTAGCTGAGTATGGGTTAATCGTCTAAAGTTTGCACTCCAAACTTCCCCTTTTCTCCAGTAAAAATGATAATGAGGAAACTAGAAAAGGTGGTGGAACTGTGTGAGGGTTATGATGTGCTACAATGGAATACTTGAGTCTTGGGTTGACTCGGGATGGATGGTAAGGGGATATAGAGAGTGAGTAGTACTAGTATTGTAACGGTGTCTGTATGGAAGCGAGGAAGAAATAGAAGGTTGATTACGGGAAAAAGAGAGAGGATCTAATCATCCCCCCACCGAAGGATCAATCTGTAGATTTTGAAGATGGGGAAGAAGGTGGATATAATGATTATTAACTGTATATCATTGCATTTCATTGAGAAGTAATTTACATTAATTGGAAGTATCTGCGTAGGTAAATAGTAGATAGGTAGGTAGGTAGGTAGGTAGGTAGAGACTGGGGACTAGAGACTAGAAAATCATATATTGTAAACCTTTCGGTTCTTTTCTTACTGCTAAATGTTGTCAGATTAATATTTAACTCAATCTTTCTCAAATACAGAGAGACAGAAGGGATTAATAATTCAAGATCCCTAGACTTGAATAGACATCTACCTACTACTATCTAATCTCTCTCTGTATTATATTTTTATCCCTGCTCAGACAATCACGCTAACTTTCATTAGTCTGATAACGTCTCCATAAAAGTCTAATGCAGCATTGATCACACGTTCACAGATCCATAAAAATCCATAAATCATGAGCCCTTGCCATAATTGTGCAAGTTATTAACGAGTGAGCATTAATTAACATTAAATCAGCCGCCCCCGTTGGATATTTTGGACCCTCTCGTTCGTCCTTTCTCGTCACGTCAACTAGCAACGGAAACGAATCCTAAAACGTTTTAAGAGAACAACAAACATAATTGGAAATATCACAACGTCATCATTATCGCATACGAATCTTAAGAATCTTGAACGATAGAAGAAATCCGTGCGATTCTTTTGATCTAATTTTCAAGAAAAAAGTAGAGGATTACAAGGCATCGACGCTTTCCGGCGCATCACGATTAGGCTTCTGTCGCAAGCATCACTTTACTTTTTGGCCTGGAGAATAAACAAACATCTTTCATTGCTACCTGCAACATTATTTTCGTTATAATATCCCACGCCTCAAATCATTCAAATATATCTCCCAAAATTACATCTAGCAAAAGATGTTATTACCATCCGCCTTCGCCTGTAGCGATTCTTCGCAACCACATCCACAACAGTCTCGAAATCGCAATCTCCTATTCGCATCACCACCTCTTTCACCCACTCTTTCACCATCTTCTACACCTACCATCAGCAATTTGTTCCAATCATGTCGCGCTCTACAATCCATGCTCACAACTCCAACACAATTACCTTCGCCACCCAAAGTTCACGCAGATATACCCTCATCACTTCCTACAATTAGCAACTCGCCTGCAAAACTAAGATTGCGCATACCATCCACAGCAAAGAAAGTCGGCCCAGAAGTCGCTGATAGGAAACGTATTACGAAGCGAGCGCAAAGAGAAGCTCCACGAGGAATTAATAAGAGGAGGAGAGCGATGGATGATGATATGATTTGTGAGGATATGGGTGATGTTTCGGAACAGGAACATGAGGATACAGAATCCCAAGCTCCCCGTACACCGAAACGTAGGCGGAGAATTGCACCCGAGGTGTTACCTTTGGGCTTGGAGAGAAGCGATTTCCATACTCTACGCCTGGCCGAAATGGAGAAACCTGATGATGGGAGTGCATTTGTCTTTAGTGCGGGGGGTATTTCACAGCGTGTTGAGAGTGGAGCACAGGGATACGAGGAGGAGGAAAAAGATGGAGATGATTGGTCAACGGAGGAAGATAGAATGTTAGTGGAGTTAGTATTGGGAAAGCTCAAGTTGAGTAAAAGTGATTGGCAAGATTGCGCGAGGAGTTTAGGGAAGGATAGAGGAAGTGTAGGGAAGAGATGGAAGAGTCTAATGGGTGCTGGAGAAGTGGGATTGAAGGGAAGGAGAAGGACAAGGACGAGGTTACATTCTACTTGGAGATGAATTTCTTTCAAGTGTGAGTTTTGGGCAGTTAGAGTTTATTCACCTGCAAGGTTCATTTAAGTTGTTTTTTGTGGGGAAAATACTTCGTCATAATATAGGTGTATAGGCGTTTGGGAAGAAAATCGCCGGATTGCAATGGCGATTGAATTATTTGTGTATCTATCTACGAACCCGTAAGATTTGGACAGAGCGCTATCTTGATAATGGGATTTCAAATCATGGTTCTTAGGATTGAAATAGGAGTTGGGTTGTATGGAATTGGCTGTTGTAAAGACTAAATAGTTGGCGTGTTTTAGTTATAATACCTATCTACTCATCTTATAGTTTATATATTCATATCTATTTATTTATTTATTTAAACTAAATGTTACCTTAATGGAAGTTTGGAATTATATATTGTAATTTTAATGTTAATATTAATATCGATATAAATAGAATATGTATAATAATAATAATAATAATAATAATAATAATAATAATGTTACGACAGGTAACGATTAGGTCACGTGGTTAGTAATAACACGTGATGCGAGGACTCGAAGAGAGCGAAAGGATCGAAGCTCGATCCCCTCGCTCCCTTCGAGCCACGAAGCATGAAGGTCTATATAATCAAGATGGATTTCCTTTGTATAGAGCTTCGTGCTCAAGATCAATCATTTAGTATACTCTACTATTAGTTACGAATTGCATCATTGTCATTACTTAAGTCCCTGCTTGACGCTTAGTTATAAACCACCTCGAGAGTCTAGAGCACTTCCACGTGATCTAGACTGCAAACCTCGTAACAAATAATGTAGGTTTTTAATCCTGTTTAAAATATTTAATTATAGTAGTCTTATTGTTAAAAGGAACGACCTTACACAGGGAATAGTGGGAAGCTGATAGGGCAGAACTGAGGCTATATTGGCCTTTTATATGAATCATCCATTATCTTAGTTCTACGGAAGTGCAAAGCTCTCTGTAAAGATACTGTACTGGAGGCAGCGGCTGCCTAAGGTTTCGTCTGGTTGGTAGTTATGGGTTAAGGCTTTATCACTGGTATTCACTTGGAAGTGAAGTCGTTACTAGATCAAGTAGAATGTAGGTAAACTAATTGATAACTAAGTTGAGCACGAAGATCCTAAACTATGAAACTATTCTGACTATATAATGAACAATAAAGGGAGCCCTCAGGAGCTTTCTGGCTCCTCAGGGCTCCTAGGGCTTCTTATCACGTGATTCTTTTCTATCCCAGGACACTAATCCTAATGGTGAATCGTGACAGGTGCAACCTTATGTGATCAGAAACTGGATTTTCTATCTTATATCGTAGCTATGTTTCTCTGGAAGATAATAATTAGCAGAAGATAAGAAACCAGTCTAATTATTCTAATGAATCTAATCGAGAGATCAGGTGGTCTATCTAAATGGTCTAAATATAAGTAAAAGAAGAATACCTCACATTAACGTATACGATACTAGCAAGTAAGCTTAGATATCCATAAAGATTCAAGCCTCCTCAATAGCTTTCTTAACAAAAATAATCGCAGTACTACTTCCAACCAGCATACTTTCCTTTCCACCCATAACTTTCCTCACTTCCTCAATATGCAGCTTCAAGATATCCTTGATACAAAATCGAAAATTAGTATATAAATAAAACTCCACCCGGGAAATAGAAATAGAAATAGAATAGATACCCAACTCATCACTCACCAACAAAACTAAAACAAACAAACAAACTCACCTCCTCGGTTTCCGCCTTCTCAGCATGCGCTTCTCTCCATCTCGTTACCATATTAGCCGTTCCCAACGTCTCCTCTACATCCTTCAGTGTAACTTCTCTTCCTCCACCGAAAAAATCATTGGATTTTGCATCGGAAAGGATCCCCTCACGATCGAAATCTAATTTTAGGAATTGCCAAGGGGGGAATGTGGAGGCCGGAATGGGATGCGGTATATTCCATGGAAGGGGAAGATGGTCGTACATATCGCGGGAGAGACGGTTAGCGGGGAGTTCGTAGGGAGCTAGGATTTTGTGTTCCAGGTTTGTGAAGATTTGGAGGAGTTGCTTTCGGTTGGGGGTGGAGGGGTGTGGGTAGAATGATGCTTTTGGGGGGGGGGGGAGGGTTAGTGGGGTGTGCGGGAGGAAGGAGGGAGGGAGGCAGGGAGGGAGGGGGGGATAACATAGAGTGCTACCGCCAGTCCCTTAGAGCAACCTGTGTTTATATTAGTAAATCTCATCTCAAAAATCACAAGAGGAAAGAGGTACTCACCGTCCCACCAGGTTTCAATGCCCTCGCCGCCTGCGCCCAAAATTTATCCATATCAAACCAATGTACCTACAAACAACACACCCAAAATAAGAAAAAATCCCCCCTAACCCCCATAATATCAAATCATATCATACCCACCAAAAAAAAAAAAAGATCAAACACATACCGCCATAGCCACAGTAATCAAATCCACCTCCTCCCCCCTCACCTCCCCTAACCCAGCAAATTCCTCCCCACTCCCAACAACCCATCTAATATCCCTCGCGCTCCGCGTCTTCCCCCCTATTTCCCTCGCTGTCTCGATCATTGCCGCACCGGCATCACATCCAATCGCCTCCTCAAAATACCCCGCCATATCTCGCGTGGCGTTTCCGGGTCCGCATCCTAGATCGAGTAGTATGTTGAATTTACCACCGGTTTTCTCATGGTGTTCTAGTACTGTTTCATAGAGTTTGGAGGAATAGGGGGGACGGTGCGATGCGTAGGCTTCGGCTTGTGAGCTGGTGTAGTTCCGGAATGTGGGGTCTGTGTTGGGGCTGGTCATTGTGGTGTTGGTTTAGTTTAGTTTTGTTTAGTTCTAAGTAGGTGGAGTGATTGGAGAATCGCTCTCGCGCTTGAGGTCTATGGTTTTGGTCTTTTATCATGTATATATAGATTGTATGCATGAGACCAATACCCGCACTGAGACGTGGCTAGACTCGGAGACCTCTTCTTGTTATCTCTAGCCTTGAGCTTTGAATCGATCTTGACCTAACAAGCTCATTTTCCTAGGATATTTTACTCCATCGAAGGACCCAAAGCTTCCGAGATATTTCTCTTCATTACACTAGTGATTCGGTCCGTCCCTTTCCTCTCGAGAAAACCACCGTGCCAATTAGATAAGCTTAAACCAAGATATAAAGCCGCCTACATCAGTTACCACAATTTGTCTTTTTCCCTTCGAGTTTCTCACCCCATTGGTACGCATCTAGTATGAAATCTGACGTTTCCCGTGGTCTGAAGAGCAAGTGGAGCACATGGTAGTCATATGACAGGCATTACTCCGTATTAGTGGGGTGAGAAAATTCAGCTCAGAAGTGTTCACCTGAATAAATGAACGTCTAGGCTTAATTAGGCGGATATCAGCAGAATTCTAGTATTAGGGTACTTTTGGATATAGACTATTGTGTCCTAGATGTGTCAAGCTGGTCGTTTAATTGGGTAGACCTTTAGTTATGTACCTAGGCTAGGGAGTTCGTTTGGGTGGTAAAGTAGGCGGAGATGAGATCTTAATATAGGTATCTCTGATGTCTTCTTTTTTTTTTGTCTAAACCTCTGGATGATTGTACTGTCTACGGAGTATATCATCTCAATACAAGCTTTAAATTTATGTATTCATATACAGATCCGGGTTTAGATTAAGATTCATGAAAAACAGGGCTAATTTTATTCAAGAGATCATAGTTGTCGAAACAGCCTTAATTAACACTCTTCTATTTTTCATAATCAGTCAATAAAACAACTCTTATACGATCCCAATTCATGAGAAGTGTCTTTTAACAATAGTCCTAGACTAGTGGGATGGGGAATGGCTATGAATAAACCATAGTCCTGGAATCAACAGAAGCTTTGATGCATAGTTGCCTCCTAGAAAAGATCGTTGTACTTGACCAGAACACGGAGCGACCACCAAAGACGGACACGCGGATACAAAATAGTAGTAGAGAGGACAGAAGAATGATTAAGGGTCTGATTGATATAGAACATACGGAAACTTAAATTTCTAATGTCTCGAGCTTAGGGTAGCTGTCCTCATCGCGTATGTTCATTTAGCCATCACGGTCCAACTCACAAGTACACATTACAGCAGTTACATGAAAAGTAGATCCAATTTGGTGTCAATGAAATTTATATTTCCTGAAAGTTTTCTAGGAAGAATCTATGGAAGGCTATGCCCAGTTGGCAGCAACCGCAATACCAAAGTACCACATATTCTACCCTCTGGCATCATTAATACCATGATCCTTCCGTGTTGTATTTATGCTGCAACTATCCCTGATGAAGTACAGTGTCCCTAAGGACGACGCTTGATATGTTATCCAGATGGGAACAAAAGAAGAGTAGAAGACATGTAGGTTTTTAGAAAGAAAAACAAAACAAAAAAGAAAGTTGTGAGTTGCCCATTCCGCCACATTGTTTGAACGTTTGCTAGGAATTGAAAAGGAAGATTTCGTGACCGAGGTTCAAAGATAGCATATGGGGAATGCATGTGTCGTGAAGGACTGGCACCGGCTGCTGAATAAGGGAGAATGAAGCATGGTGAAGATCACAAAATTCCACTGTAATCTCAAAACTAGTTTGAATGCAAGTCACCGATGCACAGCGAGACCAATCTGATTGTGCTAGAGTTACCGGTATTGTGCAGTATTATTCCACCAATTGAGAAACAAGAAAGTGTGATTCATCTGAACTCAGTTGTAATCTTCTTACTCTTCTTCGTAATGTCCATCCTCGGAGTTTCCCTCCTCGGATACATCGTTTTGTATCGGAATATACTCTTGGTGATTGTATCCACCATGAGCTGAATTGGCAACATGTTCCTCGCTGTAGTCAGATCTCTCATTCATACCATGGGGAATTTGCTCGTCATCAGGGAAGTCATTAGCGAGTCCATCCAGGATGTTTCGTAGAGGCTCGCTGGTTATAGTACTGCCCAGAGCACCAGTAGAGGCAACAATTGGTTGCTGATGTGAGCTAGACTCATACTGGTTTCTGGTGAACTCGGGGGTACCACTGAATTGTCGTCGAGTAGCGGCTGGAGTGGCAAATGGAAGAGGTGCAATCTTACGACGCTTAGCAGCAGCTGGCAGGGGAGTTCGGACTTGACATTCTGATTGGGGTGGCTCGGCATTGTATGAGACTGGTTCCTCCATAACTTCAAGAGTGCGCTTTCTGAGAAGATTCCGCATATCAGCCTCCTTCTTCTCCTTACGCTGCTCTGCAGGAGGAAGCTTCGAAACCCACTCCATATATTCCTTGTGGTGCAGGTCGGCCTCTCCTTCTTCTGTGTGAGGAGTATTCGGGGACTTCTTGGCAGCCTTAATTGGTCGGGCGCGCGATGGACGTGAAGGAACTGGGTTATTAACAACAGTGGTGTTGAAGGTTCCAGGTGCAATGTTTCTCATGCCTTGCAGCCTCTCGGAGGCCGTCAAGGGTCTGATTGGCTTTGGCTCCGGCTTTGTTCTGGTGTACATGTTCTCCTTGAAGTTATTATCAGGCCGAGTTTTGGCATTAACCTTAGTTTGGGCATTCCATACCAAGTCATCGCTGGCTGGAAAGTGTAGATTGTCTTCGTCCACTTTACGCACACAGTTCTGACAGAACTGAGTGTTGCAGTAGTTACATCTCTGCATGACTTTACCCTCTTCTCCAGGTAGAACGCTAACCTTTTCGTCGCAATAATCGCACTTTGTTGTACGAACAACGACCTGATGAAATCCAGTATGTCTGCTTGGAGAAACAGAAGCCCAAACTCCTGTCTTTGGCAGACTGTCCAGGTCGGGGACGTAGCGACGCGGAAATATAACTGGGTTTCTGAATTTACGGGTAACATTTGCACTGATGTCAAAGGTGACTTTCTTGGATGAAGATGGAGCCGGCTTGTCTTCAATACCATCCTCTTCAGAGTCGAGGCTCTGTTCATAATTATCTCCATCATCAGTACTGTCGTCCATCGTTGGAATGTCAGAATGATAGACGGCAGAAGATGTCTGGGCCATTCCGTTGTTGTCTTTTTGTCTCTTCGCAGAAGCTATGGTTATTTTCGACAAACAGTGGAAGATTGATAGTTGTTGAGATGAGAGGTGTGGGATAGTAGATTTAGATTGTGTAAGTTCCGGAGGAGGATTAGGCGATGCTCGCTGAAAATAATCGTGGGCGGTGCTGAGTATTGATTGACTTCGTTGTCGACGACTATTCTTACTTGGACGATAGACTCTGGATGGCAGGTCGTGATATTGGAGACTACCTTCAAGAATAATCGAACTTCAGAAGAGAGAAGGTGGACGGTAGATTATAATCTCGGGGAATATCCGAGAAAATAGTCAAAATTGAGATAGTAGTCTGCGGAGGATACTCCGTAGGTATATCACCGGTAATGAACCAGCTGAGAACACCAATTATGCGTCGATAACTCTCAAGTATCAAGTTGATGATCCAGAATATTGTAAATTCAACTGTTGTCTAATCGGTGATACGCAATAAGTTTTCGGGGTTGTTGATTAAAAGGAGTAGAATCTAGCAACGAACGTTGTGACTAGAATGCGGTAGGTAAGAAAGACCTAAAAGTGCTGAAAACGATGTATTAGTTTTAGATACAATGAAAAAGCTAGACAGTACGATAATGAGGAGAAAGGAAGGAAATATAGGGCAGCGTAGTATGATGCTAATTGCAGGTGTATGAGAAATTCAGGGAGTTACCGCTTACCACAAACTTGAACTTGCTAGCAGAGTAACGAAAGTAAGATCTCTTGATTTTAAACTGCTGCTTGAACTGTCAGAGTAGTGTTAGAAAAGAACAGATCTAAAGGCTTGCGGAACGAAAGGAATGGAGGGTCATCGTGCTACTGCTAAAGCTGTGCTGTCAAGAAATGCTGAGAGAGGTGATACTTACAAGTGTCTAGATCTGCTGGCAGAGCAACAAACGAGCAATATTTAGTTCCTCAACCACCATTTATGCGTTAGTTCGTTGATAAAGATAGATAAATTGCGAGATAGAAGGAGTAGAAGGAGGAGAAAGATGAAAGGTAAGAGTGCTATAGATTGAGATTGCGCCGTGAGATAAGATGGATGGCGGTACTTACAAGGTAACGAAATCTACTCGCAGAACAAAATCAGGCGCTCTTCTGGACCTAATCCACCTCATATACGGTTAGATCGCTAGCAGAGAGCTGTGGCACATGGGATTTTTAAAGTAAAGGAGGACTGGGTGTATAGAAGAGTGCTGTGAGCAGACGCTGTGAGGAAAGGTAGAAGAGGGGGATACTTACAAGCAAATATGGTTCTACTAGCAATAACGCGAAGCTATAGCCAGAAGTGAAATGGTTGTTCCCCAGGAGATTGATGGCAGCTGTGTGTGTTTGATTTAGGAAATAAAAAGGTCTATTCGCAGGATCACGAACAGGAGCAGAGGATGTCAAAACCCCTCGAGATAGCCACGGCTCCAGATTGAAGAGTAGTTAGCTAGTGAGTTGTTATGATTCTTTTGTCCTTAGTTGAGTATAAGTAGGATTATGATCGAGTTGTATGGGAAGAGTAAAGGAGACGAAGGTTGAAGTTTTGTTGGAGAAGAGTAGGTAGGCTTTGCAAAAAAGTCTTCGTGCCTTTTGAAGAATATGTAGGAACGAAAGCGGTCTAGCTTCAAGTGCGGGATATTTTCAACTAACTTGTCAATAACAGGTAATAGTCTTAATTTCTCTCGGGATGGCTGGGGTAGCAGATAAAACCGTTGAGATTAAGTGGTGCTGTCCCGTCTTTGGGTAGATTTAGTCACTGTACTGTAGCTTTTGAATGGTGAAAGTCCAAAAGGAATCCTGGTTATTATTACTTTGAGTTACAGCATTCTCACTCGATGACAGGGAACAAACTTGGTGATAGAGGAAGGTGGAGGAAAGTCTGCTACACGGGAGCCATACATATGCCTTTGTATCAAACTAGCTCAAACTACACCATGATTCAGAATGATGGGGCGGTGCTTCATTACCTATTCACAACTCATCATATTCATTCAAAGTCATAAGCTAGTTCGTCCGAACCTTTGTTTACAACTCTAGTCGTATGATAATGCTAAGATTACTACTTAATTCGGCTTAAGACGGGTAAGAAGAGCTGTTGACTGGCCAAATGCGAATTATATTATCGGGGGATGACGAAGAATAGTCTTGATTCACCACTTGCAATACTATATGATCACCACTCATGCTGCCTAGGATGGGTTAGAAGAACCGTTAATGGTTGGAAGGGTACCAATAATATTATCGAAGAATTGTGAACCATAGTGTGAATTTTCCATCTCCATGCATCATGTTCTGTCCATGATTGTGAAGTCTGGGTAGATGAAGCATCAATCTTGTAGAATAGAGACTTGAGAGGCCAGAGAGAGCCTCAATGTGCTAGATTCATCAAAAGTTAACGGTTTCTTCAAGATCCACTAGGAGATGCGGTTGCCATAAGCTTTTGTTAGTCTCGAATCCACTTTTACACCAGAATCAGTCAAAATACACGCGCCTCACTTCATTATTTTGAGATAATTAGAGGCTTTACCAAAGATTGATCTTACTCAATCGAGTGTTGTAATACACCGAGCCCCATGACTAATATTTTTCAAATATTATCAAGTCTTTGTTATAATGATGCGTCTTTGAAGGCTCAGTTATGGTCATTAAATACCTATTGCCGCAGCATTCGATCCCCCCTTCATTAGTCGCCCAAAAATGCTAATTTGTTGATTTCATTCTTTATGATATCAATAATCTTTGTGTAAGCAATTATCTCTGGTAATTCCGCAGCATTCTGAATGTCTATGCCAAAAGTTGAAAAGTGGTGGGAGGTCAGGATCGAAAGTTCCCTCGACAGAATGAATCACTTCATCATCAACCACCAAGACTCCATACTGCAAATTTGCTAATCATAAACTCAGCTATATTCTTACTTTATGCCATAATATTAGTAATTCTTCATTAATTATTAGTTCCTCGATCATTTTGTGCTTGTCAAGAGGCGTTTAAATCTTCACGACAGGCTAAAACCACGTATCAACTCAAACTCAACTCACCTCGATATCGACACCTTCTCTTGCAAAACAGCCACAAATGGTTGCTCGCAGATTCCGGGGGCTATCTGCGAGAAAGGATTATTCGCAGGTTTCTCCATGAGTTGAAATTGATATAGAAGGCGGTTGGGCGCAAAAGATATTGTATCTCATTGGCAGAATTTTGGATTCTGGTTATATAGATTCAAGTTTGAGATAGTACGCTACCACTTTTGATTATTGCTGTCTATCTTGTTTTAATTCATTGTGGCACCCATTTGCTGTAGCGCATACTCATTGAAAGAGAGTTTAGCCCGTCCAAATCCATCTCTCTGCGCATGTTATTCCCTTCAGTATAGATATATCAAGTTGTAGCCGACTCTTATTACCATTTCCTACCCTTGCTGGCTTTATTGCGTTTAAGGACCTTTGAATGGTTCTTTCCAGTAGTAGATAGATAGATACCTAGCTCGTTAGCATATTTTACTCCTGATTTATTCCTGTGAGATGATTGACCCGTGTTTGGGTTATACTTCTTAAGCGTGCTAATTAGGTTCACTCACAGGCTAATCCGTAACAAAGGCGACTAGGATAAGATTGAGTTGGAGGGGATGACCTCGTATCGTCGAGGTTACGGGAGGGCGGAAGTCTTGAGCGGGCGGAACTTGCTGTTTTGAAGGCGATTCAAATAACAGGTGCTTTAAACTTAGATGTTTTGTGTAGGTTAAAGTGCAGGTTGAATAGAATGTGCCTTTTGTCCTTTGCTCCTTCCCCACTTTCCGTTGCATGTATCATTAATCAAATAGGCTATCCAGTTTTGTGAAATAAGAGAAGGGGAAGCTTCAACACAGCTGGCACACTGAAAGAGAACAATTCCATGCTCCGAGGCCACGCAGTCGGTCCGACATTGGTATTTTTGTCTAATTGACATAGAAGGTTCGTACAATAGGTGAGCGTAAAATAATGGAATGAAGAGCCTATGCGAACTCAAAGTTAGATTCGGGGTGTGAGGAGGAAATTCGTGGGAGGTTGATGCTGGATGAAACGGCGAATTAAAACTGTGACTAAAACGAAGGGTATTCAGTTTGGCTGGGATAATTACTCTGCATGAATAGATCGATTTTCTCTATACATTCAAGACCCAGATTCTCATTCTGCGAGATTGTTCGAGGATCCTGCAGACCACCATGGTAATGCCCCCAAAATAACACCGCAGTATATAAGTAGATCGAGCTGTCGACTTGGCCTTCCAAGTTTTAAGGGTGTGACTGCCGTGAGTTGACGTCTAATCCGTTTGAGGAGGGTAGAATGTTGAAGATTCGATGAGCACAAAGAGGAGGAAGTTCGTATAATTCGACGCTGTAGGATGATTGAAATCGAGGTCTTAAGAGAAAATTTCGGAGGATGTTAAAAGGGAGAAAAGTTCCATGTACGGCCATTTACTTTCATTTGAAAACAATCTTTTCTCTTAATACGCCTTATTAATTGCAGAGTAAAATATATTTAACATTGATCGGCAGTTTCAAGAACTTACAGCTCCCCGAATTTGACTAGTACTATATCATCCCTTCACTATATGAGGACTCTTGCAGTCATTTCAAAATTTTCTCTCCCCCATTATTTCCGACTTTCAGGTCGAGGCCTGCCGCTAATTATAAATTAGAAGTGATCTCACCACCTACAGCATAAGCTATGAAGGTACAAGCCATCATCATTCACACCGGACTACCCCTCATTCATAACGTCTACTCACATATGATAGAACTCAAGTCATTGCTAACTACAAGAATTAAAAATTAGAGTATCTTTAGGTATACCGAAGCACGGTGATAGGGCATAGAAGACGTTGCGGACGTCATTTAACTTGCATTAGTGCGCGCCTAAACCACCATGGCTCATCCGCGCGATTAGCTCAAATACAGAAGAACTTGATTTCAACTCAGGCTGGATCCTTCGGAACATCTCAAATAACAGGAAGATGGAGAGGCTGGACCGGTTACCTGATTTAGCTATCTATTACGGTCATCAATTTTGGATAACAGCTTGTATTCATGGGCAGCTAAGTCAGCCCTGAATCGAAACAGGGTAACTTTAAAATTGATTTTCTGCAGATGATGTATATCTTTTATATAGCAGAGATGTTATTAACATGTCAGTTTCTCTTCCCATCCAAGTTCTATCAAGGTATCGAGTTCATCTTAGAAGCAGCTAGAGTCCCTCTGACCATTCAGCGCAAAGTCTTCTAGTCCTATATGTTAAATAGTAAGCTCAAGAAATCACCAAATGAGACTGGCTAGATTTCTCTCGAGGCTTGATAAATTGCAGTTCGCAGGGTGTCTCTACTGGGGTTCCATGGAGTTCTACTTCTGACAAGACGCTGACAAGATGGGGACACTACTTTCTCATATATTTTGCTGTGGATGTAATCTATTCATTGTAAATCCATAGATCTAGTGTCTGAATTCAATCGTGGACATTCTTTAACCAAATTTGACTTTAAAAAAAGGGAAATCTCGCGTGCTATTTACCTTTGTAATCTCCCTTGATCTTCGGCCTCGGAGGACAAGGCAGTCATAATCTATCCTACAGCTTGAACAGGGCAAATGAAAATAATGTATCTTTACTGGCAGTGAGAATTAGATTAGGTTTGTCTCCAACCACATCAGATACTTCAGAATCACTTAACCCTAACCATCAGATCCTTTCCTTTCATATTCAAGCGCGAAATATGCGAAGTTATCACAATCATACGCATCTACCTTCCAATTATCCAAAACTTAAGATCGGCCCATCCTAACAACTGCTAATACACACATGCCATAGGAAAAGAATCTCTCAAGTTCTACCAATACAGGCAACCGCACAACACATAACTTCGAGAAATATCCATACATCGACTGCTCAGTACTCGAAGCTCTCGAATAACTTAGCTCACAAGACGAAACTAAGAGCCTACGCCGTTGTGCAGGGTCTACAATCTACAGTAGGAAACAGAGCTTTACGGATACACGGAGTCTAGCAGACCAGTAGGCCTATTCTGTTCCTAGCTGCTCAGCACCTGCAATGAAGAAAGACGCTCTCCAGTACACCAGCGTACTCAAATCAGAATACCAAGCCCACAGATTCTGCACAAATCAAGGTCCTCAGGAAGTAGTTTTAAAACAGAATTAATCCAGCCAGCTTACAACACAGGGCTACAACATTCGCCTACTTCGCACAAACCAGCATCTACTACAGAAGAAGGAGCTACTCTTACTTAACGAATCAGTCTACCTAGCTCCGAACATGATATCAAAGAAATCAACCTGTTCCACACAAAATATTGCAACAGCAGTACAGGATTCGGCTTCTGAGGACGGTATCAATTAAGCGACATCCCAAGCCCAGAGAACTTGGCCCACTTCTAATACACCTGTTTCTGAAATAGAGACAGAAGCTCTTACAGACACAGCTACTTAACTTGGAATGTTCGACTGACCTCCCTCCTTCAATTTAGCATCTATACCGTTAAAAGGGGCGTTTACCGACAGACCAACTCAACAGCTCACCAAGGTAGAACCCTGCTTGCTTGCCTGCTCGCACAACTACAACATGTAAATATCAAAAGGGGCTCTATTAGACACAAGGAAATTAGCAAGCTAAACCATACAGCTTTTTTGCATATTCTGATTTTCAATTCTAATGGGGTCTTTACCAAATAATTTCAGTCTGCCAAATTGAGTGACTCTGTCCTCGGGGTTCAACTGGAGAAGTGTGTCTACTACACTAATAAATCTTCTAGTACTACGAAAGAGTTGGAAGGATGGGAAAGGAGGCAAAGCCCTCTAGTCAAGAGAGTTAACAGACTAGGAGATAACAAACATTGTTCGGCAGATCAATGCTTTCGTCGTCCAATCTGTCTTCTTCTCATGGCTACTCAGAGAAATGAAGGGTAAAGAAATTGAAGTAAGTTTCGTTCCATTTGTCGAGAACTTGTTTTGTTATCAAGCAATTATTCTCATGTCACCTCCACTCCACAAGAATACTGCACAAAGACTCTCCATCCTCAAGCCTACAACTATAATGGAATTACAAGACATAATTTGCTCCTACTTCTAAATCACAAATGACTAAATACATATCATGAGGACTAGCTAGATTCGGAAGGAGCTATTGGGGGAAAGGGGAATCCGGGGCGGAGGCAATCCGAGATAACTTGGACTTATATGGGAGGATAGACGACTAATGTCTGATCCAGTTGTTCCAGATATTATGAAGATCAAGGGACTTGTGATAATATATAGAGAACAAAGGTGGGAACTCAATTTGATTGTTTAATAGGAGGCGTCAAGTATGATCATGAGAAGTTGTGAGACAGCTTACCAATTAAGATCGACACATAGATAGAAAAAGGATGTATGGAGCATACACAGAAAGAAAGCTAAATTTGAAGCTAGTGTACTTGTTCGGGAAATATGAACTTAAGGACAGTGTGAGGACAGTGAACATTTGTGGTTCTTTTTCTTCTCCGTTTAGTCTTTGTTATATTAAATACTATTCTATCCTCCGATCAGACACTACTGCATGAATCTAACCCAGAATCTTGGAACCAAACTCGGCAACGTGAACCTGACTAGAAGTATGCAAAAGCCCATGAAATGTCTGCTCAAAAAAGCTGAAGTCGACTCATATAATCTATTATCTTCTTCTTCATTATCAATCAATCTATCAAGGGGCTCAACTAGTCTTTTTTTTTGGCAACACTATTAGAATTACACACTCATGTCAGAAAAATCCCTGAGTGGATAATCAGGATTTAAAGTAAACCTTCAAAACTCATACATAGGGGCTTAAGGACAATTGTGAAGTAGCATGATGTGGTAATCGAGAAAACTGTAAGCATGATGAACGGATCGAGGCAGAAGGACTTCAGGCTCATGCTCTGAGAATCTCAACTTCGTGGTAGGTAAAGGTGCCTAGAGGCACATATTGTGAGGAACTGATCACTTCTCTCTGTGGATATGATGCTTTCACGATAGCGGAATGTGTATACAATGGGTTGAAAATTTGTGCTGTTCATTTAGTCTAAATGCCAATAAGTGGTCTCCTTTAAGACTTGACGAGATAAATAGATATCTAGAAAGGTATAATGTAGGCCATATTTTATATTCAGGAAGCGCAAAAAGGTATAACTGTTGCCTTAATATGAATTAAACATGGAGTTGTGTGAGACTATGGATTGCTGTGATTCTCAATCTTCGTCACCATCGCAGTTGTCTCCACCGCCATATCCTCCACCTCCTTCATGTCCTCCGTTATTACAACCACCATCTCCTCCTCGCCCTTCTCCACTACCACCACCAAGGCTCAATTTTGTCATTGCAGAGCAAAAGGAAGGCCATAAGCTTGACCACGCCGTGTATCCAGGTTGTGTCGTTATCAAAATTCCTGCCAGGTTTGCAGATGCAAGCTGACTCACAAGAGCAGTTTGTTGTGTCGTGGTTCCTGTAAAGTCATGGATTGTATACGTTGACTTAACCCGTAAGGCCTTATCCAAACTAGTCAATGCAGTTCGATTGAAATTCGCATAAGACTCTTCGAATACGTTGATGCTATCGGCTAGGGTATAGAAGGACGCATCGACGTGGATACCCGGATTAAGAGATATATGATCTTTACCGGCCCCTAACAAAGTCCTCGCATATGCGGTAAGGTTACTCATATATGGGAATGTTGAGTTATCCGATGGTGATTCATCGAAAAAAAGTCCGCCAATTGGTAGTTGAGTTGCTGTATTCCACTTGACATACTTCACGATGTCTGCTGCAATTTCTGAGAAATCTCGAGATCCGTAAGATGTATAGATATAACCAAGAGTAAGGACATTTGGATGGCTATTCAAGCTTGTAAGGCCTGCAACATAGTTGACATCAGGATCCGTGAATGCTAAATTGGGGGAAACAACCACGTGAAACTTAAGATTTGGGTTAGCGACAATGGAGGTGGTAAGTGTGCTCCATGAGGTTGAATTGTATGGGTACATATAAAGCGGAAGGAGTACAAAAGCTGGCAGAACCATGTTGGCGATGAGAACGTTGAATAGCACGGATTGTTTCACACCAAATGAGCTCAAACGGGTGAAAACGAGAGAAAATCAGCAACACAAGGTGTGTGCAAGCAACAGAAGTGCATCATAGCAGAAGACATATAGAAACGTCACAAGAGGAGACTTCTCCTTCATCAAAATTCGGTTTCCTCATTTGGCCATACGGTCAACACATATAATACTTGGCAAATTTCCCAAGGAAATGGCGTGTAGCATATGTTAATTATTCTCCAGGCTGAATTTCTTCATCTCGAACCAACTCACAGTATATTATGCAAGCCTTTATTAATACCTTCCAAAAGTGTGTTATTTGGCTTCAATCACGGGCCTGAATTGGAGGGCCAGAGGTGGAAGATAAGTTGCCAAAGTGGACGATATTCTTAGGTAGGAATGTGCAATGGTTGAGGAAATGAGGAGGACGGCTCTGGATAAGTGGCTGGATAAATCAAGGAAAGAAGGGGGAAGCCCTTCTTTTTATCCTTCGCTTGTATTCAGCGGAAACACCACACCCCTAGATTTCCCTGTCTTTTCGGCCTAATCGGGAAAAAGAGGAAAGTGTATTGCAACTTCGAAAATTACACCATTCGAATCCTCCGTCTGTCAATAATTTCCTCTTTCATCTAAAAAACGGCCAAGATTTCGATACAGAAGGGCTTACAACCCTGTGTTATACCAAATTCTTCAATCAACACCCCTAGTGTCACATTTGTTACCCACGATTAAATCTCGATATCGGATTCGGAAAAGGATCCGCTTGTATGTTCCGCTTTCAAAAAGTTAGCTCACAAATAAAAGAAAACAGGAAACATGAAATCTTCTCGCAGAGGCTGAATTTATTTGATCCCATAGATGGGGCTGAAAGTATCAACACTCAAGTGAACATCACGACATTTTAAATCTGAAGCCACCTTTGCGGGAACCAGTTCATCGCGGGGCTCAAAATTCTTTTCCTTAAGGCTTGCTTTGCAATAAAACATAGTTATAACTGGCAACAGCGGTGAAGAAACGTTGGTGCTCAAGATAGTTTTGGTGTTAAGATTACAATATGATAGCCAGACTTTTGGCTTGCAGGATTGATTAGGTATTATTCCTACAATACAACATTGGATTCTACTAACCATCGAAGTAGAAATTACTAGACCTTGGCATGGCGCGATGCCTTTTCTCGGCGTTGAATACGCAGCAGCTGCCAAGTGGCAAGTGTCACTATACCGTTTGTCAAAGCTGATCTACTAATTAGTTCCTCAATTTCTCAATTACTTTGTTTATTTTTTCTATCTTCCCTCAAGGGCCTAATTCTGAACTATTCAAAATTAGGAGACCAATTTTCTTTTCGTTTCGTCCCTCTCCACTAAGTTCTCTCCTTTGCCTGGATTTGCGACTGCAGCAAATACTGATTTTTAGTAGACGTTGGTACACAACATTTATTTTCATCGAGCACTCATTTAAACTTATGTGCTTTTACACCTTTTTCATCCTCTTCTTTGGTCTTCTGAGTTGGCCATTTTGACTTCCTCCCCATCCTTAGCTTCACGCTCTCTCTGTCTCTTCGGAATTGATAAATCCAGCCTGCCATCGCAGTTTTTTCCTGGATAACCTTCACCACCATGTATCTCCGTGCATTGTGTGTATATAAGTTCTGGGAAACATCAACCAAGTCCTAATATCGGATGCCCTGTTGAGATGCTAATCGTCAGATGATTTGCTAGCCAGTCTCCACCTATTTCTAGTATCCTCATGCGTCCCAGCAATGTCTCCCTGAGCAGTCATTGGTCTAAATCTTTCCTTTTCCTTCTGAACTTGAGCATTCAATCGGCCTCTGCTTAATACACGAAAGTCCTCAAACATGAAGAACAAACGGTTCATTCCATGATATAACAAAATGGCACAATTATGACTCAATTGCAATTTGTGGTACTTTGCCAGTGGTAAGTTGCCATGCAGGTATTGAAATACTGAATCCCCAGTTCCTAAGAAGACCTTCAAAAAAATTCTTCTCCAAAAAGGCTAGTTATTTTCATTGTTCAAGCCGTTGAATTCACATGGTAGACACTATCTCATACTGAGATTTTCTGAAATAGATGGTTGAGTATTATCTTGCTGCAGGTGCAGCGCGGCGCAACGTTTCAGTTGTCTGTTCAACCTACATACACTAACATCCCACTCATGTACACAATTCAATTCGCGTATGGACTACCCAGCGTGGACCGAAGATAATTTTGGACCTGTAACTGCGGGGAAGCTGAGATGCCGGATAAATTATCGGACCTGCAGTGTTGCAGTGAGTTCTGAATCCCATGAAACTACCTGCTCATTCGCCCGATGTGTCTTCCTTTGCATATCATTCCTATCATGAAGTCCAAATCTCTTTTTAATTAAGTATATAAGATGTCTGCCTATGCATAACTATCCATTTCGAAAAGTTAACCTTCAAGAAAGGTTTTGCAAAAAATTGAAGGTCCTTTTATAGTCTTCCATTTGATCGTTCTTTTATTTTATCAATTCTGATGCCTACCTCATTCCCGAGACATCTGCTTCTTGCTGTGGTGGCGTTCTACGATGTCACCGTCGGCGCTTCGGCACTTCAACCTACTCCTCCGATGGGTACGTAGACTCCTAGTGTAATTTTGACAATAATTTCTAACAGACCTTCAAGGATTCAATAATTGGTCAGCATTTATGTGTGGTCTTAACGAATCGTTGTTTGTTGAGACGGCCCAGGCCATGGTGGAAAAAGGCCTACTTGCGGCAGGTTACAACCGACTCAATCTAGATGATTGTTGGAGTAAGGGTAGTCGGGAACCCAACGGAAGTTTGCTATGGAACACTGAAAAGTTTCCACGTGGTCTTCCATGGTTGACCAGCTATCTGAAAAGCTTGGGTTTTAATTCAGGAATTTACACTGATGCTGGAATCAATAGTTGTGGCGGATATCCGGGATCGTATGGTTATGAGGAGCTTGATGCTGAAGCTTTTGCCTCTTGGGGCTTTGATTACCTCAAAGTCGATGGTTGTAATATGCCTGTTGCAACGGAACAAGAGTATGAGCTTACCTATGGACACTGGCATAGCGTGTTAAGCGCCATGGAGAATCCTATCATTTTTTCAGAGTCCGCTCCGGCATATTTTGCAGAGCAGGATAATTTAACGGATTGGTATACTGTGATGGGCTGGGTCCCAAAATACGGACAGCTTGCTCGTCACTCGCGTGATACCCTGGTTTGGAACTCAACTTCATATTGGCCGGACATTACTGGATGGGACTCCATCATGTTCAACTATGGACAAGAAGTACGACTGGCACGATATCAGAAACCTGGTTACTTCAACGATCCAGATTTCCTCATCGTTGACCACTTTGATCTATCACTTAATGAAAAGAGATCGCATTTCGCTATCTGGGCTTCACTTTCGGCTCCTCTCATTATCAGTGCTTATATTCCGGCTTTCAGTGCAGATGAAATTGCTTATCTTACGAATAAAGATCTAATAGCTGTCAACCAAGACTCACTGGCATTACAGGCTACACTTGTTAGCCAAGATGGTACTTGGGATGTTTTGACCAGAAGTCTAGCTAATGATGATCGACTTCTTACACTTATCAATCGAGGCAATTCCACGGCCACTTACAAAATACCATTTCAGAGGATTGGTATCTCGGCCTCAACAGTTAAAGTTAAGGACTTATGGACAGGAAAAACATTATCCACGTCTAAATTAATCACAGCTTCTAATGTGCCTTCTCATGGTACTGCAGTATATCGGATTTCTTCTGGATATGGGGACATAGACGTCATACCCACGGGTATGATTTTCAACACAGCTTCACTAAATATCCTCACCTACTCTAGTCAGGGCCTATCATGGGCAGTTTCTGTCGGCTCAGATAACCAAATATGGCAAACGATTGTAGATGATACTGTCAGAGGGATATTTGATACTTCTAAGTGTCTAACGGATCTTGGGGGTGGAAAGGTATCACTGACTGCATGTTCTGGGAGCAACACCCAAAAATGGGAGTACTACGTTACTGGCAATCTCATTAGCCGTAGTACTGGTGCATGTTTGGCTGAGACTACCCATGGAGATGTTATAACAGCTCAGTGTCAGTCTGAAAGTAACAGTCAAGTGTTCGGCCTACCCAGCGGGATCAATGTTATTGGCCAATGAAAACCCGGGTCAAAATTGAAGAAACTTTGTACATCCCGAGCTCTAGGTATTATTCCACCATACGTATCAAGCGCATTTAAACCACTAGCACTAGAAAACATCATTTAGATTATATCACTTTAGTATCACGTGAGAGTCAGGTGCTAAGCAGCAAGTTTTCTCGTTCATAATCTCGCTACTACTTCGTATACAGATATCAATTGCAACATGAGGGCATTCAGCTCCATTTTCAGCTTGGATAATACGAGAAATTTTATGCGCAGAACTAGCAGCTGTTACGTTACAGCATGTACCCCGCCAAAAGCAGCCCCGCATCAAGATGAACCCGTTCGATGGACGGATGTCTAACTCCGAGGATATCCCACCACATCTTCATGATATTATCACCTGATATGGCATATTCACCCCTTAACAAATAATACCTAGTCATATAATACTTTGCTCAACCCTCAGTTTGTCTCCTGCCTCCACTACTCAAACCAAACAAACGACAATATCGAAAATGACGAAAGAAAAATCAAAGCTCCTCGAATCTCTCGAACAAGATGGCTTTGTTCTCATTCCCTCTCTTCTGAGTCAGACGGAGGTGGATTCTCTCCGCCTCGAAGCGAAAAGTACTGTCGATCTTGCTCGCTCTGGCTCATGGCCATACGTTCGCACACTCCCCAAACAATTTCCACCATGGAACATAGGTGAAGGAGAGTCACCTGCAAAAGACGGTATTTGGGGTGTCCAATCACTCATGCATCCCAAACTTCCAACTTCGCCATCATTCATCAAGGTATACTTTTCGGATAAAATGTTAGGCGTGGTGAAAGAGCTTCTGCAGTGTGAGGACGATGATTTCGTCATGGAATTGTTCAACTTATTGATTCGTCCTGATCGCGATTTTGAGCTCCGTTGGCATCGGGACGATATCCCGTCTTCTGCAACGGCTGAAGAGGAACTTGCGAGATTGGCGGAACCGGCATGGCATGCACAGTGGAATATGGCATTATATGATGATGCGTCTCTCATTGTAGTTCCCCGATCTCATAAGAGAGCTCGAACCGATGCAGAGAGGGAGATGAATGAATATGCAACGGGAGTAGAGGGCGAGATTAGAGTTCAGATGAAAGCAGGTGATGTGGTGTTTTATGACAATAATATTTTGCATAGGGGAAAGTATGAAAGTGGTAAGGAGAGAGCAACGTTGCACGGAAGTGTGGGACATAGGAATGGCAAAGGAGTAAGGGCGAGGAACGTGCTGCAACATGGATTGAGAGAGGTAAGTTGGATCCATTCTACCCCTTCGAGTGAATGGCTATTAAGCGACAATTCTGATTCATTGGTGATTTTAGTGGGTTGGCGATATTGATCTTAGTCTATTGAATGAAGAGGAGAGGAAGAGGGCAGAGGGAATGAGGGAGAGGTTGCTGAATATGGCGAATGAAAGTGGTGAAGTAGGCTATTCATTGGATGGTTGACATTGAATGATCATAAACGGGAATCGGTGTCAGGTTTTTGGTAGATTTTGTGTAGTGAAGTGATGGCTTGATGGCTGGATTACTAGGTAGCCGGAGGGGAGGTCCATTTGTTAAGCTTTCTGGAAACAAATCATTGGACAGTACAGTTGTCAAAGAGGTTATTAGTGAATGAAACTACTACAATCTTTTAATATCTCTCACACCCTCCCCAGAGGGTTTATGGTACAATTTTGCATGGTTTTTCATGGGTTTGTATGGTTCAATTTCTTAAAAATTTGTCACAACAAATCGAAGAGACCGTTCTTAAAACTTATGCCCTTTTTTAATGTACAGTCAATGACTAATTCTGCACAGCTCGTTCATTTCCATCAATATTAAAGCTCCACAATCCTCCCTTCAACACATTTCTTCAATTTTAAATAGTGTCCAGAGTCCTAAAGCAAATCGATTGACTGCGTTGATCTTCCTGAGCCTCATAAGAATACCAAATTTGGATACCAAATATCCCATCATTGGTAAGACCTCGTTGAAATTATTCGTGTTGATCAAAGCACTGATCATGACAGGCAGTACAAGCTTGCATAATAGCTACCATTTACTTCGATTCTCGTCTTTCAATCTCTCACGTTCACAAATTTGACCCATTGCGCCAATCGATCTCCCATTGCGTCGGTCGATCTTTACCTACATCTTTCCGAACCTAGGAGTAGTCGCGGTCTCATCACGAGCTCTTAGTCAATCATCAATTCCTACGAGACCACGCCCAAAATACAACCTCGCCCTTGATATCTCAAGCATTAGCCATCGAATTTACGGATCCAAAAAGCAAAATGGACAAAGTCAGGCGTGAAATGGAAGTCATGCTTGCCGGTCTAGACGACAATCTCGCGGCAACCATGATCGAATTTTGCTACAAGACAACAAAACATATCGAAATTCATCGCGCAAGGAAACTCAGACTCTGGAAGGAATTCTACGAGCCGCCACCCATCAATGATCCTGCTGACAGGCACCCGGCTGAGTATAAGAAGATAGATGATAAATACTACCAACTGAATAAGAAGCTTCCAGCATTGGAGAAATTGCGAAATCTTGGTAAGTATTCCCATCACTCTGTCCAAAACAGCTGACTAATTGAGAATAGAATTAGCAAGGAAAATTGCAGTGGAGGAATTGAATTTTCAGGTCTTGATGGCTGAGGAGTCAGAGAGGCGCGAGGATTTAAAGAAGGCGAAGGAGACGCAGGTAACTAGTGAAGACCCAAAGGATGGGGTCAGCGAAAAATAAGATGGCCAAAGAGGGTTATATGATTATGGTTGTGCATTTTTTGGTATGACATTTCGGCACAAGAAAGAACATTGATCAAGTATACCACGCAAAAAGGCATCGATTGATCTACGTCGGCGCCAAATCAATGATAAACTCGGATTTTCTTTTTGTATGTTTTTTGACAGTAGGGGCTCTATATGACTTTTTATGATATTGTCATGCCTGCAATATTTAATTTCATCGTTTCAACTAGAATGATCTCATGAAAGCCGTGAATATTCAGATTGATGTTGCAGAGAGAATTTTGAAAGTGGCATGTAATATTTCCATTGACCCTCTAAATACGGAGGCTGCTATGACCTATGGTAGGGAGTCTTGCGAACTTCAAAGTGGCAGTCAATCTGAAAGAAATATATCGAACAGTAGGGAAACGACATAAGATGACAGCATATGGAATGAAATCTGCTGACTGCACCTGTAGAACCTCGCAAATATTACTTGAAGAGGAACGATTGGGTTCACCTCGATGTTGAAGCTGTACTATGTATACAATCGCTCCTCCTTTCCTAAAGTGTGGTCGCCTAGACTACGGAGGGACAATGTATCTTGGTTTATTATCAAAAAGCTATTATGGCGAAACTACTCTTTGCTTCTGATCGTGCCTAGCAGAAGCAGACTAGAATACAAATAGACATTAGAGAAGAAAGATTCAGACAGAATGTGTTGACCTCCTGGGATCTTGGCAGCATATGCATATATATTGCATGATGCATATAAGGAGCAAACAAAACTCAACTTTTAATTCATTCTTTCCTTTTTGGTATGCTATTTGTTTGCTTTCAATATTTTGATTTCAAAGCACTTTAATTCCAAAGGCCGAATACCTAACCCTATTCCTTCATTTTTTGAATATATACTCGCAGCTTAACTGCTTAGCTAGAGAATCAATCAATTCAATCTGATGCTCTTTCTAGTCTCAATAAACCCAATAGAATGGCTGTCTTTCCATTTCAGCCTTCATTAACGAAACTCAATCCATTAAAAGATGTTATGAGCAAATCCTCAACTATTGGAATGGAGAAGAAACCCACGAGCATTTTCATCTGGTCACTTGCGCGAAGAGCCTATATAAATAGCATTTCCACATTCACTCATGTTTATTTTTATGCATATATTTATATATATCTGGCTATTTCAATCTAAACAAAGAAGGACCAGGTTGAGTCATTCACTCATTGGGAATTAACATTGCGGTATTCCAGAATCTTCATTCACGGATTGGAAAGATTGAAGAGGAGAAACCTAAGTTGTCAAGGTCTTGTTAGCATTTTCATGATGCGTTTCACTTGATTTCGGAAGATACATAGGGACTTGAACACAGTTCAACTCAATACTAGTGTATTATGATCTACGGCCACATGAGAAAATGGTTGCATTCATTGATTGACAGAGTAGAGGGACAAATTCATCGTTCAGTAGGTGCTAGCCTGATCTTACCCACTTCATCATTTGCTTAAAGAGAGGAAAGTTTCGTCTTCTTCTTCTTCTTCTTCTTCTTCTTCTTCTTCTTCTTCTTCTTCTTCTTCTTCTTCTTCTTCTTCCTCTTCCGTTGGTACGCAAACTGTTGCCTTCCTTGTAGGTCTTCAAGGTTCTACAAAGCGTAAACAGAAATGTTTTTCGCAATTGATCTTCATCATCTTCACATCGTTTTCAAGTCTAGATGTAATGTTACAACCAAAGAGCCATTGAGCCTCATCAATCAAAAACAACAACCGCAAGTGCTCGACAGCCTCAAGATTGCACGCAGTAGAAATCATTTAAGCCGCAAAAGAAGGGGAAGTTACCCATCATACCTCAAATCCCTTGTTGAGCCTTACCACCTCATCGTATCATCTTTCTGCAGGAAGAACATTCTCCCCTCCATTTCCGGCCCCTGTCTAGCCAGTATGCTGTGCCTCTCATCTAGCGTAAAACCAGATTATAGTAAGACGAAATGGGATGATCAGGAAAGCTATTACCTTGGCTGTACAGATCCTACAATTTCCCATACACACCGAAGAGCCTCCATATACATATACTGAAGCCAAAAACTAATTTGACACTGAACGAGATTTCTGGAATCATACACCGAGTCAGCCCGACTTCGGTTCCGATATATCCCACCCTACAGCTATATATCGGCAGTTCAAAACACAGTCAGCTCAATTCGGGACTTTGTTGTCGATTTCGGGTATGCAAAATTATGATATGCGCGTGTAAATTAATCAGACAACTGTTGGATACACTTCGTTTGTCATATACAGTGTACAAAAGAACAACAGTCGACGATTTTAAGCAACGGTTAACGCGCCAAATAGAAAAAGTTAGTGGAACCAAGCGAGCTCTCGGCATGCGACAGAAGATTGAGCCTCAAACATTGGATAAATGTAACATACATCATTTATTACACACAAGTATTCCCCATTGCATGCAATAGCAGGCTACGTATAATAAGTTACCAAACTTTTCACCATACCACATCATAATATACCATACCATACCATACTACTCATAACGATATCTGGAACCTTTTTACCGCGTGGAGATTGTCTAGAGCAGCCGAGCCTCAATGGCGAGTAGAAAGCGACAAGGAACGAATCCCGTCCCAAAAGGCTGCCATGCCATAATATGCAAAAGCGACCTAAAGCGAACAACCCCGCACAGGCACGATAGCTAAAAATCGAGCCACCAAGCGAGCTCAGCCAGTACTTACTTTACTGTAAGTATGTATGGGAAATTATATATGGAAACGCAATAATAAAAAGCACATGCACGATGAATCACTACAGCATCTAGCGATCGAGACCGCAAAGCAAAAACATAGCAATCAAATACCAGCTGGCATGATCTTCCCTCGACTCCACGATCCATCCGTCACGACTTTCCCATCATCCGCCGTTTCTGAAGATCTTTACTCGAAGCAGCGGTCGAATTAGAGACATTTCGCTCTTCGGCCTGTTGATGCACTGCGCCCTTTCCAATACCTGAATGCTGGGAACTTTGTTAATCATTTGACCTGCCTCGCGACCTGGCATACGATGTTACGAACATATCATACGTATGTGACGCGGATCTAAAAGGGAAAAGAGCTTTTTAAAAGTTGCGCGCCGCGGGAACGAAGAAAATGGTGCAATAATGCAATAATATTATCCCGAGCCCGTCTGTCTGTGAGTCAGTGTAGTGCTAGATTGAGATCAAAAACTTGATTTTGGGGGAAGGGGATATGTATTCCATTCAATTGGTACCTTGATGGCGTATTTTTTCCTCTCTTTCGAGTTTGAGGTTTTATGGATGCCTAGATAGATACAGTATGGAATCAAGGTATTTTTTGTTCAGATGGTTAATCATTTACCTCCACATATCACATATACATATGCATCCGCATGGCGATTAAAATTTTTGGCTTGCCGAAACATTGGGTCAGGGCTCGGCAGCATCATCTCATTGTAAATTATCTCAAGACTCAAGGCCCAAGGGCATCATTTTCACCAATATCATTATCATTAATCTTAAGAATTTGATCGAGAAGATTATTTCCTCGGATCAATCTAGATTAAAGAAAATTGGCAAACCCCCGGGCTGGGAACCGAATGCGAATTTAACGTCATGTACCTTTAGATGTTGATAGGCTTGGTAGAATGGATGGATAAATGTGCGCCAAGGATTAGAGACATGGCATTCTGGCATTCTGGCATTTTGTGGGTAACTAACTAACCTATGTGATGTGAATGAATAGCGAAATCACTATCAAGGAATGTATGTACGAGTACCTACCTCCTTACCTCCGGATCTTTTGGAATCTCGGACGATTCGGACGACTCGGAGGGGAGGGTCTACGATGATTGATGAATTGTGTACAGTATGTTGTCTAGACCTGTGCTTCCACCCATCCGGTTATTCTATCAATCTCAACCTCAACCTCAACTCTTGAGACAATTCAAAATTTTCAATTGAGATAGCATAGCGTAGAGTAGAGGCGAGCTCGGTTACAGAATGAGCTCCCCCTCGTTTGTAGGGGAATTTTTGATTTTTGATTTTACATAGATAGTTCAAAGGAAGACGCGTCCACATGCAAGTAGTTTCCACTCGAGGCAGCCTAACTATATTTCGTCCCCTTCCCACTTTCCATCATTCATCAGAAGTTTGTACGTGAAAAAAAAAAAAAAAATCAAAAAAAAAATCACAAGCAGCAAATGCACAGCCGTTGCCGTTTTGTTACTTGCGCGGTCCAGAATCTCGAGCCTGGAGGTGATTCTCCAGTATTCAGAAGATGCCGTAGGTTACCGGTATCCTCCATTGTTTTAAAGCACGTCCGTTTTGCAAAAATACGAGTTACTGGATTGGGGAGCTGGTTGAAGCTATTTATCTACGGAGTATCTCTACCCTGCATATTTCATTTTCGCAAGGGTGTTTCGACAACCCGGCCCAAAACAGAGTTTCTGCAACCACATGGCTGGCCTGTATTTCACATGGTTTTTTTTCGACGATGGAGATAAGGTTTTATGTACATGGGAACCCCGTAGTTTACGGAGCGACATCCTCTACCTACGGCGTATACAACCAGTAGGCTGCAGAGTAAATGCTTAGAGTTCGGTGTGGGATGCTCCTAGTTGGCGACTCAAAAAAGACCAAGACTAGATGGTTCATTCAGTGGAGTCCCGATATCATTCACGCGGCAGTACTCTTCCGCGCGAGAAAAGGGAATTCCGTTACCCGTGTTCCGTTTCTGGCCACGGGATAGTCACCATATCCTATTCATCACTTCCAGACTCCACCAAGCAAATGGATCAAACATAATGGTCAATCCCGTCGTCTGTTTCATTGCAGCGCATTTAGTCGCTCCATAACCTATATGAAAAAGTTATCACGAGCCAATATTGCAATCTATGGATACATAGCAAAGATGCTTAATAAGGAGCCTTCCAAGAACCCAAGCAGTGGAAAAGGGTCAACTGGTCCACTCTCCCCACTGTGACTCCTACCATCTGTCCACTGCAGCGACGGATATTCCCGTGATCATATGAAAGATTCACCATATGGGATGATGATTAATGGATTTTCGTGAATCATCAGGGTCCAAGCGATGAATACTATGGGGAGGACCTTGATAAAAAGGGTTACCGTACCCAAGTCAATCGCCAAGTGGGATCCACGACCTCTTGGTTGGGCCCCGCCGTCAACCGTGGAGCGTCCATGGAGTTGCTTTCTAAGCGGCGCTTGGGGGTAAAGTTTGACTTTGATCGTAGATCAGTATGTATTTAAAGTATCAAAATAAGAGTAAGATCTTACTTACCTAGAGTGAAGTGCTTACCACGCGCAATCAAATTAAAGTTCATGAATAATCATCGAGACGACGACATGCAAAGGACATTGCGGAGATAGAACGTCCTAGAAGTATGAATGAAGAAAAGACTTAGAAACCCCTTTGCCCAGATAGTAGATCTTCTCCTCATTACCAGAGATAAAGACAACTTTTGATTGGTTCGATATACGAATATCCTCGATCTCTCATAATTCATTTTCAAGGATGAAAAATTCGCGGGATAATATACCATAAATGTTTTTTCCCAATTGAGTATATGATTTTCCCACCCCTATCCTTATTTGAGCCACCAGAACAGAAAACGGACCTTGGCACTTTCGAAACCAGCCCCCAATAATGTGGCACAGATGTTCTTTTTTTTTTATCCCACACCCTGTGGGATTTTGCAATATATTCATAATCATATCATTCTACTGATCCCTAGGAATAGAAAGAAATTTACTAGCGTGGGTAGTGTCTTGAATCTCGAAGGGAAAGGTATCTCAAAACGATGGAATCATTTATTAATTTCGTTAACTGGCAATTACCTAGATACCAAAAATGCCAGTATGTAGCGACAAAAGAAAAGAAATTCAGGCAGGCTTGATAAACGAGGCTGGCGTATTCCAGCCCTAGCGTTCGTTGCATATTTAAGAATATCTATGGAAAATATTCCGTCTAATGTGAGTTAAATACCCCGAATAGGAAAGTAAGGCAAAGCAGAGCACGTGAAAGTACCAAATCCTCGACCTTTTCGCACAAAACTCTGGACGCTTTTACGACGGAATTAAAGAATGCGTGATCGACGGCGGTGAAGTCAAAGTATGGGGGTTTGAGATATTGCATGAGAGCTGGTAGATGTGTGGGTGGTAAAAATGAGGGTTTGATATCAAATGATCATATGAAATATGAATCTACCAATCTCGCGAGAGCTTTCTACTCGGCGTCTGAATAGGGAAGATAGAGGTTGGCTTCACAAGGAACGGAGAATGCAGAATGCACGCATGAATGCCACACGCACACATACACACGCCTTTTTTTCTTCAGCCTTACGCGGCGAGCTTTAATTTAGTTGCTGGGGATTGTCGGTGCTTCTTTGCTGCGGAGGCTCCGTAATAGTACGATGTGCGATGTACGATATGTGATGTACGATGCGGTGCGGTACGCAACCAAATTATGTGCTTGGTGAACACAAGCTTCAGGGACCAGAAGGCTTGATCCTTATGTACGTAGGTTGATCTGTTATGTTAACGTTACTTTCGAATCCATGATCGATGAGGTATGAATGATGCTGGTGATGCGGTACAATCATCCACGTTTGGCCTTTCGTCGAGTAATTAATTGAATCGACGTATGATCTACTCCTCGGCGTGCAGATAGATAGTTGGAAGGCGGTGAGTCTGTGATGTTATGCATTTTCGTTATGGTGGTTTTGTACCAAGCTCGATGGGATTCATATGGCCTATCAATTTGTAATGTTGATGACAGTATGAGCCGATTGTACTACATTGATTCCTGCCTCGGATGGACTCTAAAGAATCAAATGAATAATCGAATGACAAAGCACGCCAATGATTCAATTAGACATATTACCCAAACCATTGATTTATTAATCCCATTCTCATCATTATCGTCATTTGTTCCCTACAGGAATTATCTAGATCTAGTTACCCATATCATCTCGCACATCCCTCGTTCCCAAGCCAATCAGAATCCTCCTTTGCCACAAACCGATCGGAGCGCATGAAACGGTCGCGCATCATTTTCCCACAATGGGCTTTTTGATCTCCATGAGTCCATTGTCTATTCTCAACGTTAAACGATAGTCATGTACGGAGTAGAGTCATAATAGTGGGGAAGAAGGAAGGATGGGGAGACTAGATCAGTAGAGTCTGGACAAGAGAGAGTCGAGATTAATTTTAAAAGTCACGACATAACAAATTACCTACCTACCTAGTAGATCAATCTTCCTTCTCAACAACCAATCCATCCCATTCGTCCTCTCGTAAATACGGAATTTCCTTGCCCAATCCAATCCAGTCATAGCATAGGTTAAATGAAAAATCCACACAAAACCAAAGCCCTAAACATAAACTTCACAAACCCAGCCTCCCTCGAACAAGCCATATGTGCTGCGCATCCAGAGCATCTTAATCGGAAACACTCGATACGAAAATACCAAAAATCAAAACACTGTGCCCTCCTCCTGCGTAGGCGAAAACCCCATCCACAATAAGGAAGTTAATAAGGGTATCAAAATCTTCATTACCAATCAACCAAGTATACCTATCGACCCATCACGTAGATTACCAATTTTCACGTACACAGGTCGTACGAGAAGGATGTCCAGGTTTGAAATCACATCGCTCCGAGTTCTTTCTTCCTTTCTTCCTTTCTTCCTTCGTAGTGCTCTTGCAGGGAATCATATGATATGTATGGGTTATGTATCCGTCCATGTAAAGGATCTATCTATAATAACGCATGATCTACAGTACCTCCCAAAAAAGACAAGAGGTTGAAGATCACGGATATAAACAGTATGAATTTTTATATAGTTATAGTTATGATGTGTAATTTATGCATAAACAACAACATAAACATCAACATCGCCATTGAAAAAGCTCAAGGTCAAAAATTCGAAATCAATGAATGGACAAACATACGCGTGCAAGGTGCAAGATCCAAGATCCCAAGGCACAAGGCACATT